TTAGTTTGTTTCTGTCTTTTCAGTCGAAACACCTGCGTTCCATAACGTTTACGAAGACCAAATTCAGAAGGATAGGCCATGAACGTTGTTCTCCAAATTTCCTCAAAGTAACTCAAAAGAAATTTTTTTGGGGGAAAAACGTTGCTCAGACGTTGGTCGTGAAAATAAAACGGCTTTTGTATTAGTTGTTAGGTTGTTTAAAATCGTGTGAAAAACCTCAGGGGCAATTTGAAATTATAATTCTTTCAAACGAATGTCTGCCACTGAGCCTTTCGCTTTCCGCCATCTCGTAAACATGGTATACACGATTTATAACTCGAAACTGGAAATTGAAGAAATGTTTTTAGGGAATAAGAAATGATAATAAATTTATACTCTTTTCTCTTCATATAAAAATAATCGTTACTGCAGCCCACAGTATATTATGCACCGTGGGCACGGTAACTTCTGCCATTAGTTCTCGATCAACAAAATGTCATTTTTCGTGGTCAAGCTGAATGGACACTAACAAAGAGAAATGAACAAAAACGTTTATTCGTTTTGTTCATCGTTCTTGTTTTTTTCTTTTGTTTATAGAGTGACTCTTCACACTTGCAGGGACGATTTTGCTACTAAAAAACAGGAAGAAATAGTTTCCCAAGGAGGGGGGCATACAAAAGATTACCCGGAGCATTACGGCGATGTCTTTTAACCCTGAAAACGCTATAGATTAAAAACATCTTTCACTTCATTTCCTTCGGCAGGATAAAATAAATTGTGTGAATTGTGGTGTATCAATCTCAGGGGGTCTAAAAATTGCTAGTACTACACGGGTACACGGGTAATCACAAAGTTCACAAAATGTTCAATGCTTCCGTCCAGTCCTGAAGGACAGTCTTGTTATTTAAACAACAAACCCTTGGAGGTAAAACCACAAAACAAACTGAAATCATTTACGAAACTGCCATTAAAAAGAGAAATATGGCTTTGCATGTCTTGTGTCGTTTTACGTTCTCCCCACTCTGTTTCTATTCTTACCCGAGGTTTTTTATGGTTTTGTATTTTTTTATCCGCGTTGAAAGTCTTCTCTTCCTGTAGGTGGAAGGACAGCGAAAATGCTTGATATGAGACATATTTATCATTATGCCTACATCAAATTATGTAATTTGTATACATCTTTTTTATTTTGTCTTGTTTTGACTTCACGCGATCAGAAAGTGGCTTTTAATTTCACAACTGGTTCGAGGTGAAAGGAAGGAAGTATTGAGATCTATTATGTATATGAATTTTCTGCTGGGAAAAGACGCTGCTATGGAGACGCCTTTTCGATCATTACGACTTATTTTTCCTAATTTACAAAATCAAACGGATCCTAAGAGTTTAAAAGTTACTAATGGACTTTTAAAGCCGCGCAAGAGAAATAAAAGAAAAATCAGTAGCCTTTAAAAATTTTTCATTTAGGTGGATCAGTTTCATGCACTTTCTAGTGGCTAAAAAAAATTTTATTTAATCAAAATAATATTTTATTTTGAAACGCATCAAAGCACCGAAGAGGCTTTCATTACCTTAGAGCATTGCTACGATTGGTGAACTCTGGATGAGTGACAGCCGCCAGAAACTAGCGCATATAGGACGTTCGAAATTGTTCGATTTATGAAAAGTTTTTTTAATAGTTGTCGTGGTGGTGCAATCGATCTACTGAACAAAAAGACAAGGGCATATCTTAAAGCTTTACAAAGTAAGTATTTTAATTTCAGATTTCCTTCAGATGCTATACATTCAGTCATTTCTCATTTTTTTCAAACAGTAGTTCCGTTCTGTTGACAATGATAAAAAGTTCACCTGTCTGAATATTCACATGCTACTTTAAACATTGTTATGTTAACAAAGTAGTTCAACTATCTTTCAATAATTTTACATGGTCTGATGCTACTCTGGTTTAAAGATTTAATGAATGTAACCGAGAAGTTACAATTAATAGACCCAGCTTTTCGACACTCCTGTCTGGTGCCTTCAGAAGTGTCGAAACGTTGGGTCTATGATTGTAACTTCTCGGTTACATTCATTAAATCTTTAAACCAGAGTAGCATCAAACCATGGCTGATTGTCCACCTGGTTGCCATGTGAACTTTAATATATTTCAATAATTTATTGCAAGGCGATAGGAGCTAAGGTGTACATCGAAAATAATTAACGGTTGATTTTTTTTAGAGTCGATGTAAATTGATCACAAGATGAGGTCTGGACGAACGAAATAATTTCATTCTTTATTAGCGAATTCCACTCCGAAACTAGACAGAAAGGGTAGGGATGATTTCATTCTTGGTAAGTCTGGCCAAGAAATTATAAACTTGTAATCTCTTGGTCTGGCACAACTGAAAATTGGGCTGTTAATTTGATCGATTGGTTTCGCAAAGGAAGCGAGCAAACATTTCAGAGATGGGAGGGGTGGGTGACGGTGGGTGAAAAATTACAAGAGATAGTATACCCTATTCCTGGTGTGTTCGGCGAGAATATCTCATGGACTATGAGTTGATCTCGAAAGAAATGTTTCGGTTGGTAGTTTCTAGAGTAAATGAAAAAGCAGAGCTTTGCATATGCGCATTGTGCTTTGCATTGTACGGGAAAAATGTTTCGGGCCATTCTACGGGTAATAGTGACAAGCTCAACGAAAATCCACAATAGAAAGCACTTGCATAATTACGAGGACTGATTAAAAATGTTTCGTGTGATCAAGTACATATGTAACCTCGACAATGATCGTGACAGTTTCATACCTAGACTTGCTTCTCCTGTATAAATCACATAAGTACTGGGTACGAGATTTCTTTGTGAAGTTTCACGCGGGTTAGATTCATCAACAAGGTCAGATTCCGCGCAGAGTCTGACTCACTTGTCTGTTCGGAGATAAAGCAACCATTTAGAGTGATTGAGTATTTTTGCTCCAGTCTCTTCGCCGTAATCCTGACACTGCCTTAACAACTGAGTAATTATATTTTCCTTTTTCTTATTAGGATCTTCGATTTGAACATCGACCAAATGCGAACGAAATAGCGGGCTTTTGACATATTGTATTGACATAGAGTGGTGGTTCCAATTTTTTTCTCCCGACGTCCGGCTAGTTTTGGTCATTTTGTTTATCTCCACCGACTAAGTGCCACGTAGAAGCTAAATTCTAAGCAAAAAAAAACGTTTAGCGCCAGATTAAGGTTTTTACAATGTTACCTTCCAACACAATCACATAAAAAAAGGGAATTACTAAGTGATCGGCTCATCAAAGACTCAAAACAAAGAAGTGTTGACACAACTTTATGATGACACAGTCCCGCGCCTAAGTGTTATGTGGAATAAAAGTTTAATCTAGTTGAAAGGGCTTGCAAACTTCTAAAATATATTTTATTCGGTCGGGGTGATAGTGTGGAAATGTTTTTAAATAAATTTAATAAAACCAGTATTTTAATTTACTAGACGAAAATTTCTTTTCGCATGAAGTAACCATTTATTAATTAGTTTCGTATTTTATTTTCAACAAAGTTAACTCAGCTGCATTCACTGATATCGTTAGATGCGAAGAACTAGTTTTTTAATTCTAACGTTAAAAACCCGAGTCCCTACCTCAATTATCTTCGTGGAAGCCTTAGTAAAGAAGGTTCCTGACAATGCCAAAAAAAAGAAAGAAAAAAAAAACCCAGCTTAAATCGTACATTATTTTGTGAACGAGTGAGTGCATGTTTTTCTTGTTCGGTAATTGGTCTTCTCCTTGCCACCTGCACAGTCTTATACTGTTCTTTGTTTACCTGTTCCCGTGTTTACCTTATCGTTTCTCAACTTATAGTTACCACCTTTCATCTTGAAGATCTCTAAGGAACTCTGAATCACGGTTCAGCTCTGTTTGTTCAGGATTCGCTTTGATGACTAATCCCATTTTTTTTTCTATCAACCTTTTTTTTTTCAAATTTAATCATATGGAAAAAGGTAAACTGCAAATTTTTGAGTTAAAAAAAAAACACCTGACCTCAGTAAGTGGAATTTTTTTGTTATGTTAAACATTTATTTTAGTCAATGGTAAATTATATTAATTTGCCATGGGTTAGGCTATCTCCCCTGCAATCTTAAAACTCGAGAGAAGTGTTCCATTGTTTCAGTTCAGTACTGTTCTATTCTTTGATTGGCTTTCATCTTCAGATGATTGACAGTACTTTTTTCTTCATTTAGACTAGACTAGACATAAAAAAAGACAGCGGACGCTTATACAAATATATTCTTTTATTCACGTTGCGTCCGACAAATTAGCGCCTTCGGAGTACCAATTTCCATCCAGTAAGTTTTAAAAAATTGTTTTTGATCCAGCTTTTATGATCTTATTGTCTGAATTTTCTAAATCTGTGGCACGTATATAATTCTTTTAATCGAATAAAGTCGATAGACGTGCTGACTAATTTGAAAGAAAATTCAAGTTCAGAGCGAGAAATTCGTAATGAATTGCCTTTTCTATAAGAAAATGTTTCTGAGTCAAAACTTTAATTTTTATCTCGTTGATGCTGACTTTGGAGTTTATCCTGAATTGAAGGTCAGATGGCACATATTTTTTAGTTCTTTAGCGAAGCTTTTATGAACAGGTCCTGCTGTTCTTAGAATAATCAAGTGAGAGGAGCCCCGTTTTATAATATTATTTAAGTGCTTCTTTGAAAAATTGGCCAAAATCAGCGATAGTTTAGATTCAACCATACGTAGAAAAATTAAATGATAAGTCTAGAAGCTTTAATTGACCCTGATTACACACCACTAACGAGTCCGAGCTGTAATCGCATTCGTTCCTGATTCCGGCCGACATTACGACGCTTTAATCTTTGAAGAAGTTATAATTCATTCATAACTGCTGTGACCCACAATGTTTCTTCATAAGATTTTTTTTCTCTACATTATTTCCTTTTATCTCTGCAGTATGTATTTTTTTAAAAAATGAATTTCCTATTTCCATTTTAATAGAAGTTGGCAGTCCATCAACACAGTGAAAGATTATGAGGCCTAACTGGTTGTCGTGGATCTGTATTTTCTGTAAGTAACATAACAGCATCACGATCTGCGTTCAAATGTACATTTTTTATGGGACTCGACATATACACGATAGAACTAAAAGAAAAACATCCAACGTCGCGTGACTGAAGAAAGAAAATCCGACTTCGCGTGACTGAAGAAAACATCGCGTGACTGAAGAAACAAATAACTTCAATGGCTTGACCCAAACTAACAGCTAACATAGTGTGACGGAGTGAGTCATGTAATTCAGCGAGACTACGGCAAAAAAACCTTATATAATATCATGGAGAGAAAAAAATCGTTGGGAGTAAAGCATGACCCCCCCTCCCCCCAACCCAAAAAATATCAAACACCTGACAATAGCAGGGCGACTAAAAGGACAACCCAACAGTACATGAAACCTGTTATGAAAGGAACCGCTAATGCGTTTTAACATCCTCCCTAGGCCCGAACCCACAGGTATTTGGTTGTCGTTCGTGCCCCAGGGGTGGGGAATTTGCACCAGCGGATGACGCTTGTTTCCATTTTAAATGTAGAGGAGATTAAGGGCAAAGAGTCCACTTTCGAGAGCAAATGGCTCAAAAAAAGTTTTTACTTCGTAGAATGATGCTTACAGGTGACAAAACCAACACCAGTGCAAAAAATTAATGCGTGACTTTGCTATATTGTGTTAAAAAATAAATCATATAATTTGAAAAAACATAAATAAAAATTGTGCTTGATTGGGGCATTTGGACGGAACAAATATTCAAGTTACACGGGAAAATGGATGAATCCGTGACCGTAGAATCCCCACATGACTGACCATTAGAGGCGGCTACGAAGTCTATCGCGTCGAACATCCCAGTGTTTTCCTTTTCCAGGGTTTGTAGCAGAGAGCAGGACATTGGTGTGTGAGTCATACGATCACAAATGCAAAACGCTCCACTCCGCTTCGTTGAAAAACTCAACGTGTTCGTCGCTACAGCAGTGTGATGAGACTTGGCCTGGGTCGATTCCCGCGTGTTATGCATTGTTAGCTCAGAACAAAGAGGGAGGACTCAGTGTCCTGAGGAAGGGATGTACATCTCAGATTGGTAAAGAATGTACTCGATCATACGCGTGTAATGGACAACGGAAGCGTCTTCGTAACAAACTACAACCCCTTTACTACTGCTGCTGCATTGAAGACAATTGCAACCGTGATGTCATCATGTTTCTAAAAGAAGAGAAGGAGGAAATTTATACGATGGATGGTAGGAAATCTTTGATACGTTTGTTTTTTTTTTCTCGTAAAAAGGCTTAAAGATTTCAAAGAGCTTCTCCAACCTCAGATCATGTATTAGGGTTGAAGAAAGACAACCTCACGCATTGGGGAGATCAGAAGAAGCCACGGGTTGGGAGGTTTGAAAAAAATTTAGGCAGAGATTAAAAGTTATTGAGAAAGATAAATAATGAAAAATCGAATTTAAAATGCGATCTCCATTACAAAAAATTCTCTTTTGGTGAGATTAAAACCTTTAAAGTGAGGAAGAAGGCTTGATTAGATCCGCAGTACTGTTGTGACCCTTGCACACACAATAACGTAGATGAAGATTACTACTATCATGATTGTAACCGATTAAAATTCTGGGCTTCAAAATTAAACCCATCACATATTTTATCGTAGGATTGTGATCAATTCTTGTGCGCATAGTTGTAAGTAATTTTTTTTGTTCACTTCCTGGAGAGAAAGTAGAATATTCTCGTTTAAGGTACTTTTCTCCTTGTGCCGTTCTCCACCGAAGTCACCGAAGTCTCCGAAGTCTGTACTTATCCGACAAAACTTCTCGGAGAGACAAACAAAGCTGAAGCAAGATCAGTAGCTGGTTTGATACCCATTTATTTTTTTATCAAAAAAATTTCAAATCAAACTGATCAATCCACAGCAGTCTCTGCGCGTACTCAGCTCTTCAGGGCATTTCAGCGAAAAACTCAAAATATTTGTCATCAAATTCTAGTCAGATCTGCCCTTGAGACATTATTTACTTTGAAGAGTGAAACGTGCACGTCACAAATGGGACTAATCGAGGTGATGTTTGCTTTTGCTTTTGCTTTTTAGACACCAAAAAGGCTCTCATGAATTTAAAATGGTTGATCTGGGTTCATCTTGTGACAATAACTATAATTCTATTACTGATTGCGTTAGTATCACTGGGTCTGATATTGATGCTAAGCAAACGGCACAGAAAAACCAAAAGACATGGTAGACATTCCTGTCCAGTGCGGGTCTGCGATAAAGGTAAGGTTATCCTTTTCTCAGGAGACCATTCCCCTCGTATGAAAAAAAAACTCTGTTCCTTTACATAGTTGCAAGGAAAATTATCATTAAAGTCTCCTTTCAAGTTCGTCTTGCTTCGTTTGGGTTTTCTTGTAGGAACAACAGTCTATTCGACAAGCATCTTTTTTTCATGTAAGTTTATAAGCCAAGCTCCGATTTCGATTACTTTATCCAGGTTCTTTCCGTCCATGTATGTCAAATGAGGGATAGCCGCACGTGCAAGCTGCAAATGGGTTATTTCAATTGTTACGTATCAATTCCTTTGTAGGAAGTCATCATCACCATAACTCATCTCAGTGGAAGAAAGAGGACTTCCAACTGATCATGTGTCTCGTGCGAAGTTCGTTTGGTGAAATATGGCAGGCCAGGTTACATGGTTCCAATCGAGTAGTCCGCATTCGATTAACAGCAGGCTCAGACGATGTCTTTGTGTACGACAAACACGTTTTGTTTAAAAAAACAAACGTCGACACAACAAGGGTAGTATGACAAGAGATTTTATAAGTTTAACTGTGTACCTATGAAATGAAGAAGATATTCGGAAGTAATATCCCACTCATTTAAGTTAATATTTATGATCTAATTATTGTTGCATTCAAAAAATGGAACCTGAGCGTGTATGAGACCATAAAGAGATTTGGAAATTTCAGACTATACATCTCTTACGTATCATCTGTAACAGATATTGGGTTATCATGTCGAGTTCAAAGTCTGCCTAGTTTCCAAGCCCCTCTTTCGTGTTGTGTTCTCAAACTTTTGCAAACTTAAAAAGAATTGTCTTCTTTTGCAGATTGTTTAAAACGTATTATAAAACAATTATTGAATTCGATATTCGCATGATATCATGAATTATCAAACCGTGTGTCTGTGTTATCTGCCTCAGCCTTCGGCTTATTAACTCAAATTCGGGACAAAAAAGAATTGGAATGTAAGTTGGTTCCCTCCTTTTTATTTGTCGATTTTTCTGCCTTGTAATAACGGAAATATAAACATCAATTTGAACTCGAATTCTAAGCAGCATGGAAGTCTTCATTTAATCGGCACAGACAGATAAATAATGTGTACATAATTTAATGATAAAGTGTAACTTATTAAATCAAAACATTTTACAGGTATAGATTATTGCGTTGTTTCCCAACGTAGTCATGAAAATAATATAATTACATGCATGAAAAGTATTAACATGTTAAATTAATGTACATAATCTACCAATAATTTATAATTAAACTGATGTATCCATGTAAAAATTAAGGGTTTTGTAATAAAACCAAAGTCCACTGCAACACTGTTCAATTGTGTATCCTCTCTATCTTCGTTGTAATATCAATTATCAATTTGACATAACAGAAAAAAAAATTCAGTTATGAGAGAAGTGCTCACATCCCATGTTATATTTTGCAAAGGAGAAGCCTAAGAGACCATTATTTATCGTCGAAGGGGGGGGGAGTTGGAAGATTTCGGAGGAGGGGGAGGTTTTGACTGGTCCCTAAACTTAAGTGTTACTGACGACAATTTCAAAATCTGAATAGGACAGAATGCGTCATAAAAATGTGCTAAATAGAAATGCGTTTAAAATCTTCATCGTTCTGCTTTTTGAATATATGACTTTCCAGTGATATGGATGAGTCTTTCCAGGCGAAATGATCACATCCGAGCTCTTGTTCTTCGGCTCTTTTGTTCCGTGATAGAGTCTCAGGTGTCCCATTCTGTCGCCGCAGTTTCGACGTCATGATTCGTAGCCAACTGTTTCTTATGTATCTGTTGTCTTCACTAGAACTATCTCGGCGGTTTGGCCTGTAACAGCATGCACAACTAGAAACAACTTGTAGAACTGTTCCCATTTTTAGTGGTTAGCAGCTCGGTGAGGTTGTACCGAGAGGTCTTCACAGCTCGCAAGGCCTGAGCTCAAGCCCTACGGTTTAAAGTCGGTTTCATTCTTTACAAAGATGTAAATTATAAAATGGAAATTTGAACTCATAACTTACACCAAAATAAGTGGACATTCACTTGAAAGAACGGGAGGAAAAATGTTAGAATACTCAACCGTGCAGATGAGTAATTATCAGAGTTTCATTCAGCCAACTAAGATTTTTCCTCGACACAAGAAAGAGCTCACCTTTAGCCTGGACTGTTACCCAATATTAAGATTTCTCTGTTCCAAAATGTGAACGTACGTTCTGTCTAAAGAAAAATTTTTTTAGTTCCGTCAGATTATTCTTGGGAGAAGAAGGATCACGTTCAGTAAGCCATGTTCGATATCCGTAAACGCGAAAAAAAACCCTGCTTATCTTCCTGGTTTCAATGTTAATTTAGAAAAGGCACACAAAGTTTCCTTTCGTTCTTTGGCCTGTTTCAAAAAGCTTTTTCTTTCTTTCAATAATTGTTTACCATAAACGTAGTTTAGTTGAGTGGCGTTCAAAAGGTCGAGTCAAGTTAGAAAATTTATCATCAGCCTCCAGTTCGCGTGTTGGACTCTTGTTTCTCTAACCCTTTACACCCCATGAGTGACCAAGAGAGAATTTCTCCTTACAATATCAATACAGTATCAAGCATAGAAGTGATGAGAATAAAGTAAAATATCAATTAAGGAATAGTCAGTTGATTCAATACCAAATTCTCCAAACTGACATCGCAAGAATTATATGTTAGACAGTAAAGAAAATTACTAATGAGATCTTGGGAGTTGAGAGGTTAATTTGCTGGCGTTCATATAATGACATGTTTGACAAGGGATCTTACTGATCATGAATATCCCTGTTCAAATTTTTGTTCAGATATAAGTTTGCGACCTAATTAACGAACCTTGGGCAATTTCGCAAGCTTGTTTTATGGACTTTTTCTATTTAATCAAAGTGTACTGTTTAATTCCTTTATTCGGGCGGCAGAGTGACTTCGGTTCCCGTCTCACAATAGCCCCGACATTGCAATTTCTATGCGGTTAGTGACTTACGGCGAATGATTCTACGGCACGTGTTTATATGGTTAAATAAGCAACAGAATTATGCACATGTTTAATTTCCGGATTGAAAAGCACTCGCCAGACAGATTCAACCTGATAGTTTGTGAATAATAATTTGATTGTCACTTGGGGTACTACCTAAAAGAGTAAGGCAAATTATTATAAATTATCGTCGCTTCATTTATCGTTCCATGCGTTGGTCAACTTGAAAATTGGGCAGTCTCGAGTGCCTATTTATTGATTATCATGAGAACAAACTGACAGTATTGGATATGACGAATAAAGTTTCCACAAACATTTCACTTCACGATTGGTGATCTGAAAAATTAAGGATGTGCTGCACTAAATATCATTGAGAAAGTTTCATGCTATAAGCCTTGATTCGAATCTTTTACATTCCCTCTAAAGCTCCATAAATTTCTCTCATGCAGTTTCGAAAGTCGAGTCAATAATTGTTTCCATCAACTCGGCAAAATTACAAAAACACGATCAACCATCGTTATTTTCTCCTCTCCCTGTTTTCGTAAGCTATTCTGAAAACAAAAGTCACTAAAATGTAGAGAATCCACCGAGCATTTGCATGGGTGGGAATAATTTCGATTTCCCCAACTTCGACTGTTTGTTTAGTTTACTGCGTCATAGTCTATTCGCTAAGATGAATTTGAATTTTACTCACCTGGTGTTTATGGTCCCTCACTTCTGACAGAACCGCTTTTTCCTGTCAGTGATAACCGTTAAACTATAAAACTTTGTAGGATGCCGAGCTCGACTTTCACATGCTTCGACTGTTACGACAGTTCTGCATTTAGAAGAGCTCCAAAGCTGACGTGAACTTATTCATGCATGCTACAGCTTCCGGTCGATGATTTCTGGGAACTTAAAATTTCAATTATCAGCCGCACTCTGTTCAAGACGAACGCGACTTCTTATTAAAATACTTTAGATATTCAAACGGAAAAAATTTTTTGACAGGTTCACAGCTAACGATCCTCACATCACAAAAACGTGCACTGAGAAAATTTCTCGAAACCCTCTGAATGAAAATAAAAGACAACATATTCTGACATGTCCAGTGATATTGTTTATCATCTGAGGAAGTTAATCTATCTATAACATTACAATTCAGTACAAAATTTCTCTTGGATGTGAAGCATTTCTGAGGCGGTCCCTGCATTCGAGCTTTTATTCTCTTAAATGAAAATCGGTGTTCATTAAGTCCTTAAATAAACAATGACTCCAAGCACTTTTACACACGAGGCCAGTTTAAGTTTGAACCTGTCTAAAGTGTACAATTAGATCACGTCATAGCAGGTTGAAGTTACTTAGAGAGCGCATAAACCCGGCAGGTGGCGAAAAATGAATGCTTACTTTCAAATAAACTCTCCACTTCTTATAACGGAGAAAATGTACCAAAGCCTTAGCAAATGTGACTAAACTAAGCGCTGTGTTTCTCGTGCTGCAATTCGATATTTAGCACAACATGAATTATGAATGCACAATTATTTGACGTTAAAAGCAAAGAAAAAAATAACTTTGGTATAAGGAGCATTGCATATGAATGATTTTTAAGGGCGCGTCACTTATGTTTCAGTGAACAAGGTTTTTCTCAGTCTTGGACTGAGCCAAGTCAAATCCACAAAACTTCCATTTTGAGTTCCCGCCTGATTCTCCAGCTTTGAACAAGACGGGCAAACTGGAAAGCAACCTCTCCACCACGACTTTTATTTTTGCGTGAAACTGTCTCGACAAGTAGTCCCTTATCTCTCCACTCGTGGCACCAGCGGGGCACAGCTGAAGATACGAAGAAATGATTACAACGAGTACAAGCTCCTTTCCAGAGAGGCGCACTACAGAGGGTCCAAAATACACGGGGCTGTAACTCGCAAGTCCAGATGAGGCCCAAGCTTGGTAATAAGACATGTAACTCTGCTGATAAGCTGTCAGATCAGTTGGGACCTGCTCGTTAACTTCCTTTTCTCGCTCATTCAAAGAGCTATCAACAGTAACTTCTTTGCAAGCATCTTCGTCCTCAAACTGCTCGTTTACTTGTTCATCGTTTCCACTCAAACAACCTTGTGCATCTATCTCTTTATAATCATCGTCGCTGTCTTCACCCATATCGTCAATCACTTCGAACTGTTCATCATCAATCTGCACAAACCGGCCGGAACCTTCCTCTTCGTCGTCCTCTTCCTGTGTTTCATTCTTCGCCCCTATCGCCTTTTGCCCTCCTACTTTTCTCTCTGCATCTACTGAAGCGTTCCCTGGCTCCTCTCCTTCATGTGATGTCTCTCCTCTCACAACCACCCTCCCGCTTTCTCTCAGCAAGTCTTCTTTGTTCACCAATACTTCTCCATCGACGTGCTCCTCTTTCACTACAACTAGCGTCTCTCCCTCCCCTAGCCTTTCCCCTTCTTCTTCCAGGTTTCCCTGATTTGAAAAATTTGCTTCTCCAATGCACACAATTTCGCCCTCTTTTACGTTATCCTCCACTTTATCCTCGGTAACATCCAGTTCTTTGACTCCTTTATTAGATAATGTTGCCACCTCTGTCACTGTGTCGTCCAATTTATCTCGAATACTTGCTTCTGCAATCTTGTCAATTTTTGATGTTCTATCATCTTCCATCCTTTCCCTTTTTCCTTCTCCGTGTGTATCACAGTAGTTTGTTTCCACTCCATTTATAGCTGCGTGACTACCACTACTCAACTCCACAACAACTTCTAGGTCCTTCAATGGGTCACCAGTAGCTACCTACATAACAAAGCAGAGTACAACGCAATTAGTGGAGGTGCGCTTTTTGGTTGAGAATTGAAACTAAAGCCCAAATCAAAGTTATCGCAATGATTAAATTAGAACAAAAAAATATCGCAAGGAGGCAACGAGAACACAAAGTAAATACACAGATATTGTCTAAAGCGCGGGAAAATGGAGGTTTCCATGTCACGGGTCGCGGTCATTTTGAATCTGATTGGTTGAGAGGGAGGCACGACTTTGACCAATCACACAGCAAAGTAAAGTAAAACTAAAGAAATAAAGGGGGTAAGTTTCAAAAGAAACTGTGGTGCTACGTCGGTGGGGGAGTATAACAGGTAATTTAGTGTTAACGACTGAGTTGAAAACGTAAATTGGCCACCGTAAAGGGCAAAAAGGCTGAAGTTTCGAGCGTTAGCCCTTCGTCAGAGCGATAGAAATCAAGCGATGGATGTTGTGAACAGCAAGGACAAAAGCTAAAAATTTCTTATCCCGTGAAGATTTTCTCTTAATTGTTATGGAGCTGATTTCAAGGAAAACGGGCGTAGATGTGCAAAAGGGTACAATCAAAGCACTCTTCACAGCCTTTATACCCACCAATTCACCGCTGATTAGATCTCCCTGTTTGATGTTCTGTTTTATGTGCTCCAAAGCTTTTTGTAAGCACAGGATCTGTAAGTTAAAAGGTGAAGAGTATGTTAAATGAATAATACGTCCAGCTAAAAACCAATTTCTGTCACATCTCACTCTTGGGGGAAGTCTCTTCAACAATATCCCTTTACATACAAATGAGGAAATTACCGCCTCAATAACACAATCACCACCTTAAATCAAGGGAATTTCTCTCGAGTGTTAGCAGATACAGTAACCCAAACTCCAAGTTGAAATCCGTTTTAATATTTAACAGTCTCACAACTACGAACCTTTTCTTTAGTGGATTAATTGTTTTGTTTTTTTACCGCATTTTAAAAAGTCGTTCATCCCAATATATATATTTTTACTCTTGACGGTAGCCAATCTACGTTTTCAACTCAGTTGTTAACACTAAATTACATCCTAATATATGGTCCACTCAGTTCGGTTGCTAATTGCAAATGGTTGAATTTGCCTAAATCTCGTGAGACAAAACCAGTCCTTCCAGAACTGTTCAGCATATAATTTATCAAGTACAATTTTAATGCACTGTCAAACAGACAGGTAAAGAGAGCAAGAAAAAAACAACAGCCAGGGGATATAATTATTGTTTGAATATACCACCACGTTCTCAGTCAACAAAGAAATGTCTTGGGCCAGTTGGAAGAAATAGCATACGCTTGAGCTGAAGTTCTGTACCTCGTAATCTTTCTCTTTTAACCTTTTATCATACTGTTGTCTGGTCATGTCCACTTGATACTGATAGCTCTGCATGGACCACATTAGGTTGGTGTTCTGCTCGGCAATCGCCTTCAAGCTTTCAACCTGAGTGCGTAGTTTCGCATTTTCTAGCTTTAGAGCGTCAATGGAATCTGCGCCTGATTCTACACCTGAAGGAAATCACATGTTCAACTTAAGGATTTAGGAAAAATATATGACACTCACGCTTGTATGATGTAAATTACATTTTTCTCTCTTAACTTTGGAATGAGGAAATGACACGAAATCTTTAGAAGAGAGATAAATATTAAGAATATTTGTAAGTTTCAATAACAAGCAATGCAACCACTTTAGTGGGGCAGCTCAGTAAATTCTTAGTAAACAATTGCCAATTGTATATAAGGTTGACAAAATTTCACATCTGAAGAAAAAAAGCATTGAATCTATAATTTTCAGGGTGCCACAAACTGTGTTTGGTCATTCGCCCTACAATAATGTAATGGAATATCAACATGTAACAAATTAATTTTCAGAATGATATAATAGGTAAATAATTTGAAAGGCAAAGGCTTAGTCCACAGAAAATGTGGAAACTATCACTTGGAAGGTAAACCCAGACATCTCATTGACTCAGGTTACGATGAAGAGGTCTGTGGCACATTTGCTCTAGCTCTTTAACTCCCAGATCAAATTTTTAATTCTCCTTACTGTCAACCATACAATTCTTATAATGTTAGTTTGGAGAATTTAGTACTGGATCAACTAATTATCCCAAATTGATTTTTTATTTATTCTCATCATATTGTATTGATATTGTAAGGAGAAATTCTGTCTTGGTCACTTATAGGAGTTAAAGGGTTGATATAGTGTCAAGAGACACTTACAAACACAGTGAATAGGAAATATATAATGAAACATCTGAACCACAAGAATTCCCCTGCATTTTCACCAAATTTAACAGTTTAACTTGTTTTGAATGAGGAATTTGTCATATATAGAGATTAATTAAGAATCCTATTAATCAACTATGCAGACTGAATCGTTAATTATTCATAAAGTTTGAAGGTTTGAATTGACTGGCTGACATGTCGAGAAAAAAGCCTTTGAGAAATTACCATAGACAGGGTAGAGATGCATATCTTGACATGATGTTAAAGAAGAAACCAACAATACATTGCGACTTAACCATTTACCTACCTCTCAAATCCAATCTTGATATATTTCCCTCCTCTTTTTCAGAGTAAAAATGAGATGTAAGATAAGTGCATGTAGATCAAGAAAACCCTACTTGACCAGAGAAGAAGTTAGAATTTGCAAAGTCAATATCTTGGCAATGGAGCTGTGCGCTATTACCTGAAGCATCACTGCAAAGTTTCTTGGCAGCTGCTGGTGCCAAACTTTCATCCTCTTCTTGCCTCTGTTCTTGAGCCACTTGAAGTGCTGGCTGTTCAATAAGCCCACCAAGGTTTGATGCTTCATCATCCAAATCCATACCTACCTCCTCACGATTTTGTATCTCAGCCTCTTGGGCTGATTTAATTTCCTGAAAATGGCACACAATGAGATCAGTGCAAGTTGCCATGTACCTACCTTTGGGTTCAAATTCACCATGGTTGCCCAATGCCTGACCTGCAAAGTACTTCCTAAATACAATTCCATATGTGAGACTTGCACATGGAACTGCTAGTTTTGTGGTAGCTGCCACTGGCCTTGTATCAATAAGAGACATTACTAATTTTAATTGTTACTTACATTTCTGATAACAGCAAACCACTGAGAGATAGTTTTTCTTTGTCCCTTTGTAAACTGGTCCCACGCCTTTTGTTTAGTTGCTGCATCAAAGACTTTCCATACAGCATCACCTGAACAAAATACACGTGTTGAAGTTGTTGGGTAGACCATTCACTGTTTCACAACAATTTCAAAACTGCCCTGCCACAACTCACTCATGCCACTTGTATCGCACAGTGAATTACACAACAGCAAACCTTACCATTCAGTTTTTAAAAACCAGACTTACAGCACTTGCTTGACAAGAAACTCCTTACATGACTCTTAAAAATGAGATCTGCATATTTTGTTGAAACTCCGGTAATTATCAGGTGCCAAAGTCTTTTTCTGAAATCCACGTACCCTCACTCTTACAATAAGACCTCAAGATCAACTAAAAATTACATTACGGTTAGCAGTTTGAATCCAGGAGTAACATTTTATCGAGTAGTCTGATCATCGAGGTGAGAGTAGTCCTGAGAATGAGATTGTTGTTCATAGTAGTTAATGAAGTTTCAACAACCATAGCAGTGGTCATCAATAAGGTTGTGACAATGTCCGTCACTTCTACTAACAACACTCCTTCTCCAAACTACTATCACCTCAACACTTAGACTAAAGTATAGAGTAAACTACAACTTACATTGCTGTTTGATTTCATTGGTCCTCTCTGCTGCCTCTCTCTTTTGATTTTCCACTTGTTGCTCATGCTCTTTTCGCTTGTTGATCAGTCGTTTGACAAGACCATTGACAGTGCTAAGCATTGTGTGGAAAACATTGACTGTAGAACGGTTACATTCACCTTTTACTAACCAGTGAGTCATCATCTCCAAAGAATTCACCACAGATTTGTCATGACGTATCAGATCCAATAACTGGAAAGCTTTTGTATGGCTATAAATCAGGTATGGGTCATCTTCCCCAACATGTTGATAGGGCTTTTGTTGGTGTTCAGTGACAGTGCTGGTGGTTTTAACATCTATCTCATCTCTTGTTACTTTGAAGTAGTTAATGCGAATGCGACTGACCTTTGTTTTGGTGTCATTTCCATCTCCAATAACCAACAAGTAACCATTTAGTTTGACAGCCATATCAACATCACCAAGTTGTGAGAATGTCAGATGGCAATGTCTAACATTGGTATTATTCTTCATAGTTTTAAGACTAAGGTTCTCTATAGTTCCAAACACACCAAAAATCTCTCTAATGATAAACTCGTCAGCCATTCCTGGGAGGCTGCGAATAAATATTGAACGACATCCAGGTTCCTTATCATTCAGTGGTAATACATCCAAGTCATCTTCAGGAGGTACCAGGTAGCAGTTTGGATGTAACACTGCATTCAGAGGAACAGTGAATTCATCTCTCCTCCCATGTTTCATTTCATTTGGATTCAGTCTAATTGGTCCTCTGCTGTATTGAAATTGATCATGACCCTCTGTTCGAAGCTTAGAGAGCTCTGGTTGCAAGTTAGGTTTTGAAACACCATAACCTCTTCTACTGACCTCAGCTTTTCCATTACTTGCATCCTGTAAAAGAAAATCCCTCTTTGATAATACAAAGTCTGGGAGAATTTCATGATCAATCAGCCCCCCTATCCTTCCACAATCCTCACTGAGGTATTCTCTTTTATCAATATTCTGATCATGATAGCGTTTTCTGAAGCTCCTGTTATCATAGTTATCAAACCTTGATTTGTCCCTTTCATTGTAAGTATCAGAGATGTGTCTTCTATCCTCTGCATTTGCATGTACATATTGCTGTTGATTACTGTGCTGTTGCAATTGGGCTTGAACCATTTGTAACCCTTGCAACTGATGAGAAAACTGTTGAGGGTTCCCCGAGAGATTTCCAAGTGCAGGGATCAGATTCAATCCAACATTGGGTGGCCATCCAGCCATGTTTAGTATCCTATAATGCTAGCCGGTAAGAACCTAAGGTAAATATTAATATTGAAGTGATTCCAGTCAAAACTACTCCAATTGCTTAGTTCAGAAAAAGAGTCAATGTAACACATTCCATATTTCCTTGGATTTTAACGAGGCCAAGCAATACATGCAAAATTTATTTAAAATCCGAGGTGCCATTTCCTCAACAAATTGTATGAGCTCAAAGAACTGAGAGATTAGCTTTTCGCAAGTTTTTTTTTTTTAATTCAAAAATAATTTCTGAATCCTGCGGAAAGCAACCAGAAAATAACAGAAAAAATACGTCTTTAGAGCTTTACCGTATTTCAAAACACAAGGAAAGCACCGCGAACTCTGCTGGTTTATGCACCTATGCTCCTCTCGTTTTGTTTGATTTCTTTTCTCCCGGGCCAGCCAGCCAAGGTATCTTATGGTACACACTAGGGTGGCCTGGGGAAGTGTTTGTGTTACTGAGAACTGGATGAGAGAAGACCTCTCAGATTTAGTTTTAAACGAATCAAACACTTGGAAAATAAAATTTTTCTCAAAATTTCTTTTAAATTTGTGTAAAGCTTTTTAGTTTAGGCGAGTCTGAAAATAGTCTTCACCTGTATTTTTCTCCCCAACTCCTCTCTCCTAGATCACAGATACGAATGGCATGACAATAGAGGCTATTGACTGAGCGTCCAGGCCTTCTCTCTTAATAAAAACATAGACGCCTGTTGGAAGTCGTACTTTCCACGTAGTTCATCAGGACACGCTCAGCTGATATTATCACGACACCAATACTACTGCAAAATGGCGACTCCAACACGGTCCAGAGGAGGTACGTCATAAGAAAGAAACAACAGGCAAAATTGCAGCGTTGAGGGTTGAAACGATTTTTTTTACTCTTTCAAAATTTATTTACGATTCGAACGTCAAAGTCATAATTTCGGTCAAGTGTTGGAAAGATATTGGATGAAATAAACAAGCTGTAATATAGTTTATCAAGTATTCATCTATATTACGCAAAAAAGTTAATAACTCTTCCATATCAGTAATATTGCTGAATTACAACATCATGTGTGTTAAAATGCATAAACTCGCTTACAACAGAGCGAAGGGCCCGGGGGTACTTTTCGAAGCGCTTTTTAATCCCAGCTTAGCTGTTGTGGCTAAGTTTAAGTGTCGAACGATATTTACTAAAAATTTAAAGAAGTTGTTCGGGTTTTTAGAAATGCAGCCCTGCCCTTGATGATGATGATGATGATATGGTTGTGTGTCATATGTAGATTGAAGTATGTTTGGTTTAGTAGAGAACAGTCATGTCTACATACTTTTAGCTATTAGGTGGGTAGCCAGCTCTTATTTTTTTGTCGCTAATGAATTGTTTCTTTACATTATTGCCAGTTGTTGAATTAAAATGTGCAGTGCAATGTTATGCCTGGGGTAAGATTGGTTTAAACAGCACAGTTGCACAGCTTGCTCTGACTAGTCCCTCATTTCATCTTGAAGAGGATAAACCATATTCTGAGGTATCCTGTGGTAAATTTCTGTATTGATATCTGTTAATCAATTGAGATATACATCAGATGACCTTTAAAAACCTCAAAAAAGTTTAGAGTGTATTATTGTTGAAATTAATTTTTACCTGCTTACATAAATTAGAGGGAAATGTCTTTTAACTTTGTATGAGCCAAATTAGCTCAATACATGTATGTTACTTTGGTTTTTTCAAACATATTTGATTTTTTCTTTCCTTGTTACACACTCAAATAACAAAGACATTTTTTCAATATTGCACAGAGGAAAATCTAATAGAATGTTATGGACTGTAATGAAATTACTAGTGCTAAACACAAATGAAACAACAAGTTTCTTTACCTTCTTTAATTTTTTTTCTAATTCTGAATAATTTTCTTTTATAGTTTTGGATGGGAACACATCCAAATGGGCCATCAAAAGTGTTAAAGGAAGGAAAGGAATCACTGTTATCTGATTGGATAGAGTCAAACAAAGATGTCTTAGGAAACAAAGTTAAAGAAATATTTGGTGGCAAATTACCCTTCTTGTTCAAAGTACTATCAGTTAACAAGGCTTTATCAATTCAAGCTCACCCAAACAAACCTCATGCAGAATTGCTTCATGACAAAAGGCCAGATGTATATAAGGATCCTAATCACAAACCAGAGATGGCCATCGGTAAGGAGCTCTATAAGTATTTTTCAATAAGTGGTTTGAACCTAGGAGGTTGGAATAGTTTGTTAATATGTGCTCTGATCATCTGCACAAAATCAGTCTTGAAAAGAACGGTACGTTTCTACAGCAGTGATCAACATTTTGACAATCTACAGGAAGCCATCATCAGAGTCGGGTGACTTCAAGTCACTGTCATTGACAACAGTTTTTTTAAGGACTACTCACCCCTAGGATCAGACTACTTGATCATTAATTACTGTTAATGGTTATCGTAGACTGATGTAGAGTTTGGCACTAAAAGAAGACAGACTCTAGAGTGACTAGTCCATATTTTATCATGTATACCAAATGAGTGTATTTTTAATTTAACAATATCCTTAAATTATAAGTCATCTTATTATCATCTAACCCAGTATTCACTCAAATTTGTTACTAACAGCGCTGACACCATTTGAAGGCCTGTGTGGTTTTCGTCCTCTGGATGAGATCCAGAAGTTTGTAAAGACCATACCTGAACTTTCTGCTGTCATTGGACAGGAAGCTACCACTGCTTTAGTCACTGGCTCAGGTTTGTGTGACTTGCAGCATGATGTATGTTCCTTACAGCTATGAGTATATAAACATGGTTCTTAAAGGTCACAAAAAACCAGAAAGGTTGTGGAAATTGATTGTGGGTCATATAGCAACTAATTTATTCTGGAAACTCAAACAAGAAAATGACTACTATAGTATGATTTCCTCATCTTTTTTTCTGCAGACCCTCATGCACTGAAGAAAGCTTTCACCGCCCTCATGACAAGTAGCCAAGATGCTGTAAGTGAGCAGCTAGGTAAACTATTGTTAAGACTTCAGGAGAAGAAAACCTCAGGCCATGACATCTCCAACCAGAGCAGCGAGCTACTATTCAGATTGAACAGCCAGTTTCCTGGAGATGTTGGTTGTTTTTGCATTTATTTCCTTAATCACATTGTTCTTCAACCTGGGCAAGCAATGTTCCTTGGTCCCAACCTGCCTCATGCATATCTAGCTGGTGGTAACTAATCTGACTTTTTTTTCTTTTAATAAAGACATTTTTTAAAGAAGTAGTTTTGTTTTGACTCTCTTTATTACCAAGCTTAAATTTTGCCGTCTTCCTCTGTCACAATGTCTGGTTATGATTAGGACCTCAACAGATCATATACATGTACATGTAGTCTTGTCTTCTGATAAATAATTTATTTATTATTATTGGTCAAGATTCTTAAATTATGTTTGTTTGTTTGTTTACTTATTTGTTTGACACTGCTCCTGAATGGAAACAATTTTTTTATTTTGTTCTTTTGTTTGGAATTTATTTTGTCTTCGATCAATTTGCTTGCATTTATTTCTTGAATCACTTACTTCCTCACTGAATGGTGGCTTGTTCATTAATTCAACTCTTTCACCCCTTCTTCCCTGTCTGTGCCTCTCTATTTCCAAAACAACTTGCAATCCAAAATTTATCATTTTATAACCTCACATGTACATCAGTAATCATCACAACAATACATTTTTATGTTAATTTTTTTTCTTAATTGATAATCAATGTGTTTTACTTTTCAGACTGTATGGAGTGTATGGCATGCAGTGATAATGTTGTACGAGCTGGACTGACACCAAAGTTTAAGGATGTTGAGACACTCTGTGAGATGTTGGAGTACAATTGTGGTTCTAAGGAAGAGAACATTTTCCCATGTCATCAAGATCCAAGTGATTCGCATGTCACAATCTATGATCCTCCTGTCTCAGACTTTACTGTTTCAAGAATTAAGGTACATTTACCACTGTCAATAGCATAATTTTGTAAACGAGTAAAAAAAATGTCATCAGAACTTCCACATTATCACTGGCCAGTTTTAGTTAACCTTAAGTAGCAATTGACCACATGGTTTCTTTTTTCAACCATTTGTCCACAGAATTTGTGAAGTACCAGTAATTTATTCCTTTGCTAAACTCTTATTGTGTAACGGTGTTATTTTTAGATACCAGCAAGTTGTCCTTCATACAAGTTCAAAGCACTAAGTGGACCTAGTATTTGTGTGGTGATATCTGGTTCTGGTGCTGTAGAAGATACTGCTTCAAAGATTTGCTTGAATCGAGGGACTGTACTTTTTATTCCTGCAAACACCACCCTTGATGTAACATGTAAAGAAGAAGACATGGAAATATACCGTGCTTATTGCGTGTTGTAATATCAACATACAAAATCTAACATACAGTCCAGTTGAATTGATTTTCAATTTTGTCAGGTTATAGAATTCCAGGGGACAGAATATTTCACAAAGACCTTTAGGGAGTTTTGGCCTATTCATTAGGTATTGAGCATCATCATTTTGCTTTCTTTTCTTTTTAATTATTTGATGTATGCTAGTGGGTTTAAAGAAAATTTAGACCACTCAAGGAAGTGGGAAAATATAAAATTTTTGTTTATTTTTTATTGAGATTTAACCTTAATGGTAAACAGTCTTGTGTTAATGGTAAACAAAACAAGTCTTAGAACAAAAAAATTATCAATGAGTAAAAAAAAAAATCAAAACAAGCTCTGAATAGAAAAAAAAAAACCATTTTATTATTTCTTTTATAAAATAACTAATGAAAGAGTAAAAAAAACCGTTTTACATTTAAAATGGTTTTATGGCTCAAACAGGAATTATTTTATAATGGTAGTTTCTGAAATAAGTCAGAGTTAATCATTATTACAGCTTCTATAACTCATTTTATTTGAATTGAGTGTAGAGAGTATCTTGATTTTCTGAAAGGACTTAATAACTGTATGGACGGGGTGGATTGGAATTTTGCCAATAATTCATTTTAGAATAATTTTGTAGATGAATGGTTAAGTATTTTCTATGGAAACAATTGAGTGTTGTGTTGTGGTGTCCTTTCTTTCAAGTGAAAAGTAATTAATTTAAGGCTTGTATTTTGAATAAAATATAATGCTAGAGAAGTTTTTTGACATTTTTGTGACCCAGAAAGTTAAAAAAAGGTGTGTTTTATTTCCTGCAAATTGTTCAGTTTTGTAAAAAAAAACCAAAAAAAAGTCCCAAATTGGTCATGTACGCATAGTAGGCCTATACTAATGCAAGGGGAACAACCCAGCCAAAAAAAGTTGTGGTTATTGGTTTGTAAAGAATATTTTTAAACAGCAAAAACAAGAACAATAACGTTAATTTTGTGTCATTTTCCCTGTTTGTGATTTCTCTGTAAGCCAAAACTGAGAATGACCAAAATGCTTCCTCTCTCTGTGTGTCCACCCACCCCTCCCCGATAAGCCTCGAGCGCCTAGCCAATCAAACGCGTGAACGTGTGTTGGAAAATTTCTTCAGTTTACCTCTTACAAATGAACCAAAATTAAGGAATATTGTTCTTTCGTGCCTGGAATGAAATAGGAAGCTAAAATGACTGCTAGAAAAAGGCACAAGCAGATGAAAATATTAAATTTGAACGACGGGCCTGAATGTCGATTCCGTTGCATCCCTCGAAAGAAAGAAGCCGTGTTTACCCATCTGTTAGGTCACATGTTCAACAAGAGCCAATCAAAATTCGATATGGTGAAGACTTACGTCACATTCTGCGAGCTTACCTCTCGTCTTCCTTTACGTTTAAGCTTTGTTGTGGTCCAGTTGTGATCGGCCTTGAGTTACTTTAACGCGATCAAGAAGTCCTCTGAAGATGCCAGCTAAGCAGCGAATGCGTGTTGCTAACGAAAAACACAGCCAGAATGTTAATACGAGAGGAAATGTACCCAAATCTCTGGTGAGTGGAACCGTTTTGTCGCATGAAAAAAATTTTCATCAGCTACGAATGACGATCGGGAATATGAAACGTTTGACTTCGCCAGGTTGTAAACTTAAATATTTTTATATCTTTAGAAACCACAAGAAGAGAAATATCCCGTCGGTCCTGTTCTTCTTGGACTATTCATTTTCGTCGTATGTGGATCAGGTAAGACTAAATACGAAATGTGGTTTTAATTTACGCGTCTGTGATCAGCTTTGATTCTTCATTGCGTGTCGTTCGCTTTAGATTCACAGCCTCAAAAGCCATTGCCGTTGTCTCTCTACGTGACTGCATTTTTGTTTTCTTCCCCAGCAATTTTCCAGATCATCCAGAGCATTAGAATGGCCTAGCGCCGATAACATGAAAATTTTGACCGGAGAGGGACTACACAATTTACTCTTGCTTATTACATATTTGTGAGAGATTGACACAATAACTTGAGAAATGTAGTGAAGTGCTAAATCTATTTGTTTCCTAAACTTCTTTTAAATTCCGTGGTGTGAGCTGTCCTTATCGCACAGATTCAGTCTATTTTGTAAACAAGTGTTGGCTTTTTAACTTTACTTTCTGCCCTCTAAGTTCTGGTTGGATCGATATTATATCATATAAGATTTCGTAGTATTTTCTTACAGTGTCGCGGAAGAATTCACAGTAAATTCATGGCAATCTTGAAATTAGCTTGTAAATCTATTGAGGACTACTCGAGCTCTCTTTAAAATCTAATGTTCACAAAGATACTTTATGTGAATAAATATGATTATTTAATTAGAGAAATGCGTCTTGGTGTGTTCAAGTGTAAAATGATTCGAGGAGGAAGTAGCTTAAATTGAGTCAAAGCTGTGTGTGATTACGATTTCAAATACCCACAGTCACGAAATCAGAGGAATTCCCGGGTTTAACGTTTTACACCCTACCATCAGTATGCATATTCTTCAAGTATACTGTTCTCCATACATTTCCAAAGAGGGTGTCAAAGAGAATTTGTTTCACAATCAAGAGCTGCTTTAGTTGGTGATCATCTCCTCTATTCTCATCACTTTCATGTTAGATTCAGGGGTGAAATTGTAAGGTGAAATTAGCTGCTAGTCCCTCTTAGGGGCTGAAGGGTTAATAAGATATTCTGTTGGGTACCAATTGCTTGATGCCTTGACTAAGCCCAAATTTGAGAAGACTGGAACACAGACATTGAAAAGCTCAATTCAAAAAGCTTTGTGTTAATGGTTCCAAGATGTTAAGATCAGATTCCAGTTTCCATTTTATCCCATGCTTTATATGGCAATGGTGGCAATCCCATCAGGCTGTTTTAAGGGGTATGCCAGCTTTTTCTAAAGTAGGTGGTTTTTGTGGGGTTACTATCTTAATTTGGTGTGTCGAGCAAGGGTCATCAATCTTTCCTTTATCTCCTGGTTTGATATTAATTAAACATTGTTAAAGAACAGGAATGATTGGATAATGCAATTCAAGAGTTTTCATTGGCATTGCCAACCCTTGAGTCATGAGCCATTACACCACAATGACAAGTTAAACTGGAAGTGTTTTTGTACATTGTCACATTCTGTTTGCACTTGGAAAATGAAGTTGGTAAAACTTATTTGTATTATAGGCATTTTTAATAGAATAATTATTTGACTATGGGATGACTATGTGGCCAATGAGGCCTACGTTGGCTATCTATCATCTCATACCTGGATACCTCTAGGGGTCTTAGAGAGAAAAATAGCCAGTGTGAGAGTTTCCTGACTGATAAAGAAATGATTACAGATTAAGAGGATTCCTCACAAGGAAATTACTGTTAGTTTAAAATCAGGGGTTGAACACCTGCACCATGAAATGTCCAGTTGATAAAAGTTAAAACAGGAGGACATTCCCAGTGTCTACATGACATAGGGCTCAGGCCATCAAAATTCAGCTGAAGAACTCTGTGATCTGCAATGCTTAATGACCTCTCTATTGCCAATTTCTTGAACCTTGCAAAAAGAACTGCAACATTACAGCTGTCACTGATAGGGGTATTACTGACCAAGCAGGAAACAAATTTAAATCCATGTTGTGGAACAGATAGAACATGTTGAGGGGTGAAGTTGAATGGTGGTCATTTCTGGGGTTTAAAGTCTGATGCTGCACTTACATAGTATAACAGAGAAATGTTACAATTTGAAATGTCAATGTCGTGATTGTCTTTATTGTTCCTAGTACGGTAGCATCAAAGACTCCTGAAGGATATGAGAATGCTTTGACTGGAGGAAAATTTTCTCAACAGACATTTAGGAAAACATGTGAGAATCAAAAAGGCTAAGCTTACCTACGAAGTTAATTCAACAGCTTTACCATTTTCCAATTAAAATAAATACAAATTTGTTACTAACTTAAGGTAGCTGTAACCTCTTATTCTGTGTAAATCAGCTTGTCTCAAAATAATGCAACTTTTTCTGAGGACAATACTTTCAATTTCTTTTTTACAGAGAAAAATAAATCTATGTTTATAAGCTTATCACAACCATTGTGGGACTCTCTGTTCCATTGCTAATCCAGTGAGGTCATGGCCATGGATGTCACAATGTTCATTGATAGTAAAAGCAGCTTTTGATAACTTGAACAAATTATACATATCCAGGATAAATTTCAATACATCTTCACTAATTACTGTTGTGTTGAAAAGCTCTGGGAGATAATATCAGTTTTTTTGATAGTGCACTTTCTTAAACCCAAAAAACTTGTGGAGAATCTTGCCACAAAATTCAACTCTAACTGTAACACTCACAAAACCATGAACACCCAAAATATTTCTGCAATACTTTTTGTGGGAAGTCCATTATATTGGAGATCAGGACTTGCAAGAATTCCACAAAAGCACTACTTGCCAACAATTAAATTTTCTCATGTCTGATTGGCCTACTTTCTACCACACAATCACAATCAAAAATATTTTCTGTGTTCACCATCTTCTGAGTATCAAAGAAGCTAAATATTTGTAACTTGCATTCTGTCCAGAAAAGCAGTGGTCTTTGAAACTTCTTGCTATTCAAAGCATACCCAGAATAATTGCCAATTTCAGTTTTGTTTCTTTGCGGGAAGCTTTTTACTTATGGTATATTTCTTCCTCCATGGTCCACTTTCATTAATATCACACTCCACAAAGTGTTCATGGACAGGAAAACTTTTTGCAAAAGTCTAATGACCAACAATTCGCAATGCTGCACAAGATGCCCAGCTCTCAAATCTGTTATTCCTCATAATTATTATTATTTCAAATAATTATTACCAAATGTCTCAGTTAGTAACACACAAGCTTTTATTAAACTAAGGCAATAGTAAATCAGCGGGCAACTCTTTCTTCTTTATTGTGCTTGTTGGCTTGAAAGATAGTTTTCCTCAAGGAGAGCCTTCTCAAGGGTTACTCACTCTTCAGAGGTAATCAGACTTGACCCCAAGAAGCCAAAACCTTTGCAAATTTAGTAAACACTGTGTGGAAAATTACTAGCACTTGGCTTTTGATGATCAAAGCTCTAGCATTCTGTATTAAGTCTTCAGTTGGACCATTCTAACATGCTGACATGATATAGGACAATTCAGTACTGGAAGGATCTTGCATTAGCTTAAACCCAACTTGGAAAAAGCAAACCGCTAAAACATCTTGGTACAATCCAGGAGTGAGCTAGAACATGACGCTGTGAAATGCTTACTTGGCCTCTTTAACTGTCAAGTCTGGTGTTGTCCAAAGTGCACGACTCATTGATTTAGGTGGAGTCTGTTGTTGTTATCATTATGTTGATGTTTTCCTGTTTACTACCAAGTTCCGTAATTTTTCATTTTCTTGTTTAAGTTCTTGATTCTCCTCGGTAAGTTTAGATATTGTTTCTTTTAATGTCTGCACTTCTTTATTCACAACACTTAAGAGGTCTGACTTGATCTGAGTAATTTGTTCCTGCCAAGTAAAACAAAGGTAATTATTACTCTCATAAAAGGCATCGTCATCTTTTGTCTCTCTGCTTTTACCTGGATGATCTTCTTAAAAAAAAAAAAAAAAAAAATCCTTCTAAGACACACTGAAGAGTGAAAGAATAACCAGGGGTTCCTTCATAGATTGAACAGCCCACATATCACCAGGCCAGAGTTGAAGACATTTATTTCACCAAAGTGTACTCTTCACAACATAATCAAACTATCACAAAATGCTTGAACACGACTCGTTATCACCAGTCCAATTTGAATAATAATAGGACAGTGCAGGCCTCATATTTGTAACTGGACAGCACAACAGGACAGTTGACATGTCATGCCTATGTAAGTGGACAGTAAGCATCATACCCTCATGCTGTTGTCTTTCATTTTGCGGAGTTAACAATTGGTTTTTTTTTTTTTAATGAAAATGTGTTATTGATATCTAGTTTCTTTTCCAAATTTTTTCATAGTTTTGATTAACTTGTAACAGGACTTTGTGTCATTCAATTCTGTCTGTAGTCATATTTGTTATTAACTAAACCAAGCTCCTACTTAGTGGTCCTTCACTTTTGTTAATCACTTGTATGATCACAGACCGAATTGGACTCCACACAGTCCTATCACAATTATTGACAGTCCACACTTGTCAACAAAAACCCTTTTTTGGACTGACACATTATTTGAGCAAATAGGAGATGGCAAAACACAGTCAATTTAACTGTTTTCAGATGGCTCTGAAGTGTACAAACAGAAAAGGAGTATTTGATAGATTTAAGGGGCCTACACAACCAGGATGTGTATTGACAAAGACACATTAAGTTATTAGAAAAAGATCTTTCTCTAAGCCACACACATGCAAACAAATTCATCATCAATTTGCCATGTTACAATGACAATGTTGAAAAGATGAAAGGAAATACATTTTTAAAAAGTCAGAGATTGCCTCATAAGATATAGCCTCCTGAATTACCCCATAATATTAACAAGGACCAAACCACTCCTTAAGAACCTGTCTGTCCATAAAACTACCTCTAAACTCAGTGCCTATAAGAAAAACAACTCCTTCAGTGAGAACTGTGGCAAAATGATGAAAGATCCAAGGTTGCCTAAAGTAAGACCTCTATCTAATCTCCAAAATTTTAAGGAAAATTTGTTATGTACATACCATTGCTGAGGCAATTTTATTAACAATAGGTAACTCCGCCTCTCCCACACTGAAAGATAAAAATTCACAACATGAGAAACATTCTTATACAGGATACATTCAGAAAACTATCAGTTAATCAATAATTAATGTTGCAAAATAAATTAACCTTAAGTATTGGCCCAACAACCATTGGATTTTAGTTACACAAATCCACCTCTTACAATATTTGACTTCAATGCACTTGAAAAACATTCCTCACATAGGAAGTAATAATAAAACTATGCACAGGTGTTTCTGAACCAAATGTGTGTTCCAAGGAGGGTTACTTTTATACAAGAGACAAATCCACATAAAGTTCACTGAACTAAGACTGACACTGATTTCTTTCATCAACATATTTGTAAGTTAGATTACTCAAGTCCAATACATCTTACCAACATACTTTCATAGCCTTTGGTTCTTAACATTTTTGTACAAACAACAAGCATCACTTCATCACCCTTGGCTAAGCTCTACAAGAATGACTGGATATTAACAAGGCTGGCTTGAGTTACAGATGCTCTTGACCAAAAAATCTAAGATGTTGATAACTCTTTAAAGCCAAATTCTTTAAAATCCTTTCCAAATCATGTTTCCTTGACTACACTTATTTAGCCCACATACATCACATTAGAGACAGAGAAGAATAAACTTGCATCACTATCAAATAAAGGCAGTAAATATTGAATAGTCTACTTTTTGGAGCATACATTCACACTTTAAAAGATGGACACTACGTCTTGTTACAATATCATTCTATCCTTTTGTGTTGTAATAAATAATTGATGAAAGAAATCAGCTTAGCAGCAGTGAAGGAGATGCAAGCAGAAATGTGACAATTCCAGAGTCAGGAAATAAACAACCCAGATTTTCATTTTGTTTACATACTAATATCTTTCAGTATCTTGTAATTAACTTAAAAAAATCGTTAATGAAAATGCTGGGAGAAATTATAAGTGTACACTGAAGTTTGAATTTCTTTTCCCAATACTCATATTACACATTAATGAAACAGACATGCTTAATATTTGTAATACCATTGTCTATGTTCACTCATTGAAACAAAAAAAAGGTAATCTAATGCCTTTTTCAGTCACCATGAATATTTTTGCCAAATATTGCTCTTTGATGCTGAACAAATTTCCTTGACCTACACTGGGTCTGCAAAACATACTTTCTTGCTATTGGCTACGTCTTGTCTCCTTGTAATAACTGTTTTCATATCCAACCAGGAGAGAAACTTATATTTGTTAAAGATCTGCATTACCTTTGTTACATTCACAGCATGAAAAATATACAAAAACTCTTCAACAAGGCTCATTAAAAGCATAACCGACAAAGAAAAGAATTCAAACAAAGCTCTGAAATGATAGCAAGGTTGGCAATTTATGTGGCAGGAAAGACTTTCTCCTTTCTAGGAAAAATTGATTTTCAACTTCAATACTTCTTTTAATTATTTTCATATTTGGTTTTTATTCATTTAATTTTGGAAATAGGCTTTTCTGGCCTGCTTTAACACAGGAATGTTAAATTAAACATTTCTAATGAAGTAAGTAAGTCTAAGAAAGTAGCAAAATTAACCACTAAGAGATCAGGATGTGACTTAAAATATTACAATCCTCCTAAGATGTATTGAGCAGCAAGGCTCTAAAAAATTGTATCTTTTCATTTTACCTCCATGAAATCATCAAAAATCCACCTTAGATCTTTAGTGAAAGACATAACAGATGGATTGCAGCATATAATGGGCAAGAAAAAAATGCCTGCTGAAATAATAAGAACTAAAATTGTAATTTCAGTGAAAAAAAAAAAAAAAAAAAAAAAAGATAGAAATTAAAACTTCAAACCACAGTAAACCGAGACGATACAGGACACAAAAAAAGGATACACCCCATATCTTCACATTGAATAAAGCAATTTCTCAAATCCAAACATTTGTGGCATTTTAAGGCTCTTACTTTCTTCTGTTTTGAAATTGCAAAGCACAGACATTTCCTAATAGAGTGGCAACCGGCGTTTCCTTCTTGTACCACTAAGATAGGGCCGAATAATTGCGAGCGATTTCCTCTCACGTATTTCGTGTTTGCCAAATCTTTTACGCTGAAATTCTTGGTGATCATGAAAAAATAGTTGAGATAGTTCGACGTTGTAGGAATGAATTGTTTCACTTTCCGGTAAATGATATTTGGTACAAATTTTCATCGACATCGTCATTCAAACAAGAATGTACTAAAAATTCGTTGATGAAAATAAAATAAGCAACGTTCAAGCTCAAAGCAAAACTAAGCTGTTTGTTGTGCTAATTCAAAAATATAGCTTGGTTCAATTCACGTGAAAATTATACAAAATGTAAACAACAAAGGCAAACTGTAAATCAAATCGCATTTTACAGCACTTCCAGGGTCGATGTAGGTCAATTCATTCTAAAATACCCGATCACAACAGTAAAAAAGTTTATATCTGGATTATCAACGAACCGCAACAATGATCCAAAAGATACAATGCTTATGGTTGGCGCTGATCGAGGTATAATGTTCAAACAAAGAATCTATGAACGAGTAAACCGCGAGTAAATTACCAAGCTGTCTGGGGAAAAGAACATCAATAAATCATTGAGTCAGAGAGAGTGAGTAACTTTTAACACTGCCATTTAGGACTCTTTTGAAGTGAAAAGACGTAGAGATCGTATCCATTCAAAAAAAGGCCCCCCTAAAGATGTCTGTGAGCAATTATTAAAGCCGCTTTCATGTGAGAGATCGCTAAGGACATCAAATCGATTTCACAACCACGTTGTACCTCACAGGTAGCTCACTGTTCAAAATTATCTTACCTTGCGGCGACGGCAGCGATCGGCTGCGCTCCTTCAAGCGATGGCGATGCTCTGTCTGAAGTATCCAACGCTGTAGATGAAACTCTGGCTATTGAAATATCACTATGTTTTGCAAATTCGCTAGGCGCCCCTAACCTCGGTTCCGAATCCTTCTTTTTGACTGCCACAACCGCTTCACCCGAACTGGAATTCTGTTCATTTACTTGCGTTGTAAATTTCACCACAGAGCCATGAGTTTGAGAATCTAACGAATGAGAGTCCGTTTCACTCGTAGGGTGATTTCCAACAGAATTGCTTACATTGCTAATCTTTGTGCTCGAAAAAGAGTCTGCTTTGTCCGCGCTGTCTTTCGACACATGGGTAGAAATATTAGTAGAGCCCGTTGCAGAAACACTACCTGAAGAATTCTGAGCAGATTCCGCATCAGGATAATCGTGACATTTCCATCTACCGCGTACAAAGGATTCATTTCTTTGAATTTTAACTACTTTGAACCTAGATCCACCGTTGCCATTTGCAGTTCCTGGATCTACAAAAGGATCAAGTTCTACTTCGACTTCGTCCACTATATCGCTTTCGTTCAGTTCGCCATCGTATCCATTGCTATCGCCACGGTTGGGGATTTTGCTTTCGGTGACACTGGTAATTTGAAAAGAACTCTTTTTCTTGTGAGCGGGATTTGGTCCCGTATTAGTTCCCACTGATGAAGGCCGAGTTTGAACTCTAGTTTGAGAGTTTGTAGACGAGATGGCAACCTCTACTTCAGAAGAGCGAACCGCCTCCTTGCCATGCGGAGCGCCCTGTCCGCGTTGATGTTCGCTCATATCATTGTCGACTCCCTCGGCCATGAATCAGCTAGAGACGTCCCAAAGAAAACATGATATAGGCCAACAATGTGAAAATCTCCATGCAAAAAATTACGGAGAAAAAGCTCACATTTTAGCCGAAAACAACCTACAAAGTCAAGTCAAAAAATGGCGACCCTCCATCTTAACGCTTCACGAGCGACCTCAGACATGACGTCCTATTCTGTGACCGAGGCAGCCAATCACAGAGCTTGTTGCCATATTTGGTCCAGGCTCACCTAGAAGATGCAAGGAGCGCGGTTTGCCGGTTTCATCGATATCCAAATCCGTCGCATTATTTACAAAATCTTCCAAAAATAGTTTTCTTGATTCCGGAATAAATTACTTATCTTCACATTATTTATTCACTCGTCCATCAAATTTTATCAGTGAGGTAATCTTACGTCCACAGTTGAAAACGAAAATTTATCGACTTTCTCGGTAGTTCAGCAACCCTAAAGATTCGTAAACGCAGTAGCAGTTATCTTCAAGAACAACACTAGCATATAATCATCATCCATTCATCGTCAGTCACGAGATGTTTTATCCAGAAAAATGTCACCAATGGTGATATATTCATGAAAATACAAATACATCTTTGGTCAACAAACAAAAAAAATTATCATGTCAACGACATTCGCGGCGAGGCTAGAAGTTAAGCCGCCTATTTCTTCAAATTATTTTATGCATGCCTCAAATTGGCCTGAAAGTAAAAAATGTTGAGCTAGAAATCGGCCAATTTTCCAAATGTGCTGTTAAATAGTCTTCCTTTAATCGATACTTAAGCTTTTTTAAATTTATGTAGGCATTTTCGAATAGGAGAGTATAAGAAGCGAAAAGATTTGCAGTCAATACTAATGGAAAGGAAAAATAAATAAATGTATCGAGAAAAAACGAGAGAGATATTGGCATCAATTATTCTTCGCTGTGGTGATTAATTGGATAATCTGAAACGCAACTGAAAGAATCCTCTCATCGAATCATTAATTTTAAATTCATTTTTGAGGCATTAGTCCAATTGAAGAATATTTGGCTTCGAAACGTCGACAGGAAATGCCAATAGAATGTTACGAAAGAGAAAAGCTTGTAAATACCGGTTTTTCCGTCGAAAAGCAAAACTGAAGGTTTGAAAACAAACATCAGTACAAGTTTGCCGAAATTTTAACCATTTGACTTTAATAAGTTATCACGGAATTGGCACATTTTGCCTCTGTTTCGGCTCAATACTGTATTGCCTGGAGCTAAGGTGAGGCGTACATCTATCATCTTGAGAACATCTCTTAATGCTTTGTTTTGGCCTTAGTACTTTGCGACTCAAATTGCCCCCCACAAAGCCCTCTCTGCAGTTCTCTCGCATTACAAAAAAAAAAAAAAAAAAAAAAAAAGTTAAAAGGAGGAAGGAACACTTTGGACAAATTGATTCGCAACACATAACTTTGTATATTCGAGAGTCTCAAACTAAAATACTTACAACACGAAAACTGATCGCAAAAAACAATGTAGCTCCAAAATATATTTAAAAAGTCCGCACTTCTCCTATTCCAAATTATGCCAATTCTGATTCTAAATGTCCTCAGATGAAGCTGCCTCAGTTTCTAAGATGTGCTTTACTTTCAAAATGCCTGGCTTTCGAACCTATCCGTTGCTAACCCTCTTCTACTACGCTGATCATTGTTTGATTTCTCTTTTTTTTCTATGATCTATCTACAGCGATGACAACTACTCCAATGAGAAATTCTCCTTTTTGAAGCAGAGGCAAGACGTCGATTTAAGTTCAGAGAAAATATACTTGAACATTAGGGCAAGCATGTAAGCAATCATGATTGGAGAAGCACGTTTATGAAGTAATCAGCATTTTCAAACAATACAAGCTCTTCTAATTTTCAAGGGTGTTCTGTAATATGCCGTTCTTTCAGCCATTACCTCTCTCTTGGAAAACGCAAAAGTGAGAAGCTATATTGTAAAACCTGAAAGCTTGCTCTCGTTTTTTGATTGACTTTTGGTTAATACTATGTACCAACTTAAACTGTTATGACCTGGAGGTTAAATATTTTCAGAGTTCGCGATTTTGCGACACGTCTTTCCCTAAGCAAATTAATATCTAAAACTTTCGCACTTTTCCAAGTTATTGAACTGGATATTACGCAATTAGACTCCGTATCATATGATATATGCCTTTTTCCAAAATGGTAAAAATACATATTCTTTATTCATATCATATTTTTGATTGCCCTCACGTTGCCCTTATCGCATCTTTTGATTTAAAAAGAATTTTAGCAGCGTTACGACGGAAAAAAGCAATTACTTTTTGTCATACATTTAGAATAAAAATTCCAAACAGGAGCTCATCAGTAAAAGGCTCCTGTTCAAAATTGTTACTACCATTTTAGCACCAGCGAGACTTCATAAGTTGACCTTTGGCGGGCCAGCTGAAAGGTTACTAATAAACCTTTCCGCATGGATAAAACATTCGTATGGCAGGCTTTCGAAGCACTGCCTAAAATAAGAGTTGATTCAACTTAGACATTGAGCTAATATTAAACGGAAATTCACCATTTTCAAAATTTGATCGTCAAGTATTAACCATTATCACCGATGACAGATCGCATTTGATGCCGGTAAAATATTTAGGGACAATATAACAGGCCATTTTGAGCATTTTTCGGTCCATCGACCCTCTTATGCTTGATGTTTATCACTAAAATGTGATTGATGAGTTGGTTTAGTCGGTTCGACGGCGGAATCTATTGCATGTGGCCTGGAGGCAAATAATCTTATCCAAATAATTTTGGCCCTAAGATATTTTTTTTAAGCAAGGTTGCTGGTTTATTCAAATCAAAGTTCATGAGAACATTTCAATGTGGCAAACAAAAATACTAAATTATGAATTGCAATTTCCATTCCAAAACTATTTGAAATAGGTTTACAGGTTTAAATATATATCAGTAAACGTCCCTGCGGAAAGTTTCATATCGCACACACCACTACACCCGCTATAATCTTCGGCAATAATTTAACTTTTAGTTTCTGAACACAGAGAATTTAAAGATGTAGAGCCCAGCAATTGTTCATTCTCTTTTCGAGAACATTCAAGGCAATTAAGCACTTATTCGGAAAGTACTTTGGACGCGACGGCAAACCACAAGCATGTTTACGACTTATGCGATGGGTTCCTGTTAATTTAGGGAGAAATGTTCCATCACCAAAGTAATCGCTAGATTTGCTTTCGCTCAGCTCGAGTTCAAGTATAACCGAACACTGAAATAATTCACCGAATATGATTGGTCCATGTCATGGAGATAAATTATTGATCTATTAAAGAGAGTACACACAGCAAGATAGCGTGAGGAAATCGGAACAGACGACCTCTAACCGAGTCATTACCGGTTCACCGCAGAAAGGGTCGCACCTCACGGGTTTTTGCGCCAGCAGTTCTTAAATGGTCTCCAGTGTCAGCAATTAGTTCTTGACATTTATGGCTTATGAGACAAATGGCTGCTGTAAACTCTGATGAAGGCCCGCTGAAGCTCCGCAGCACACAGCGCTCGTAGTTCAGACAAAAAGGTGAGCTCAAATAGACTGGTGTTGTGAACTATCAAGATCGTAACCCCCCGAGGAGTATATTTTTGTCATTCGGGTATGAAGCTTAGCTGAAGACTAGTATCGTAAATCATATTCTCAAGATAGTCAAAAGCTGCAAGGAACACAATTTTATGCTGAGTCTGTTGGGATGTTAAACTGAATTCATCTCTATCGCTCTTTTACTTTGCAGGCAATTTAAGGTGCTAAACGTAAAGCAGTGGTTTCAATAGAAGCCTGTTACTAGCGGTCTACCGCTGCCTATAAGACTTCTCACAGCTATCTGTTGAGCTTGCGACAAGCTCTTGTGTTTGTGTTTCGTCCTTAGCCTCTTCCTCTTCCAGCCGCCTATCACACTATATGCAGCAGCTTATGGAAAACCCTCCTAAAAGGAGTTTGTCCTACAATAAATTCGCCCCTTCCCTGCCTCATCATCGTTTGTAGGTTGTTTAGTTGAAAAATTCGTATCATCAAATCAATATTTCTCTTCACCATCTGCATCTTTGATTGCAGGTTCATCTCACAATCTTGTTTTTTTCGAAAGTATATATATTAAAAATTCGATTGGTTCATTGTAACGCCTGATTGCTTATTGATCGCATTGAAAAATTACGACAACAAGGGATTATAATCCCTTGACTGAACTCGTTTACCATCAGTCAACACCATTTATTTAGTATTTTCATAAATAGTTTCTACACATGTTTTTTTCCCCCGAAGGTTTACAGAATCATTGAGTTCAAAGTGTGCTGCCTTCGTTAAGTTAGACATGAGTCGTTTCCATGGCTCTACGAAAAATCAACCAAAAAAATTCCCCGGGGTAATGACTATCCCCATTCTCCCATGTTTGAAAATTTGAAAGTCTAGGAAATCCGGTAAAACCATTCTTGTAAACAATTAGAGACATTTTCAATCTGACTGTATCGAAAAACTGATTCCAAATAATGCCCTTTTTAAAACTTTTTTTCAAATAAATTACGCTGAAGATATAATGGGATTATGCAAATAAAACTAACAATCGGAGCAGAATTTAATTTTTCTCATCTTCTGGACTATCGATCAATTTTATAGGCTGGTCATATATTCATACATCAGCTATTTCGATAATCAAAAATAATAAATTTCAGTATATTTTTCAACGTTTATATCTATATAGGATCTGTTAGTTTTGATTTTATAAATACTTATTGGAATCTTCGAAAATATGGAAGCTGTAGCCTAGCTTGCAAACGCGGGCAAGTCGCATTACAAACGCACTTTGAACGAGTTTTCTCTCTTCCCTTCCTGTCGGGCTCAAGCTTAAGAAGTTTCGTATAAACACTACCATGACGTTAGACTGTTCTGGCAGCTCGTTTACTTGTCCGCTCTGAGCCGGAACTCATCCACAGTTTTCTGCTTCCAAATTTCCACAAGGAAATTCTCCACAGCAAAGGAGCGAGAAGGAGGCTAATTGTTGTGACACTGAGGATGATCAGATAAACCTGAAAAAAAAGGGATGAGGGTTCATAAAACTTGTTATCTCAGTCGCAATATCGCACGGAAAGAATTACATCTCCTCAGAAATTATCCAAAGAGGAAAATAAACTAACCTCTCTAGAAATGAGATGAAACCTCCTTGCTCGGCTTCCCAAAACGAACGAGAATTCACTGACTTGAGCGAGTCCCGCAGCAACGATGTATTTTGTGCTTCGTGACTCACATAAAAACATCCGAAGAACAAATACAGAAACAACGAACTGCAATAAAAACAAGAGTCAAATTAGAGAGCTTTCCTAGTGAGTGTCGTAATGCCACCATCACACCAATAACCACCGCCAATCAAAATAAAGGTCGACATGGCAAGAAACCATTGAGAACTCAAAGGAAAAGAATATAAAATATACTATAATATAATATTTCCGGGCCATCAATCAAGCTATCTGTCACTCGAAGACTGTTCAGATGGCAGACTCACCTGTCTGGAAAAACGAATTAGCATTGTTTTCCGAGCAGAATCGCATGGAACCGTTGTGTTTCAAATTCTAATTCTTCAGTTCTGGAACTCCAATTGCATTGCACGTAGTGCATGTGGCTGCCGGTAATGCCGTCGGGTACGGCATTACGTGGGAGGGCTGGGGGGAGGGGAGGGGAGGGTACCCACCTTTACTGATACAACCCCGAGGGTAAGCGTCAACACGAGAGGAAATTCATTCAGCACAAACGTAGGAAAAACGTGTAGACCTGCAGGTGGAATAAAAGCAGCGATCAGAAATAATTACTAATTCCCAATTTCCAAACTATATCTTGAGAAGCTTTTGCATTTAACGATGATCATTCTCAGGTAAAATGTATCAAACATTCTGAGGGTCCTTCCCACCTATTAAGGGACTCTCTTAAAACCTCCCTGAGTTGACGCCAAGGCTTGCATATAATTTTTAACATCGTCATTTTCAATCCATGTCGATCCTTCCCATCTTTTGCCATCCTCGTCAATTTTTGGTTAAATCTTTTCTATTTGATACTCATTTACCCAGGTAAACTATCATTTTGCGCTTTTCTTTTGTTTAAACGGAGGTTTTCTACATCGGAATAAAAGGACTCAAAAATTATGACGTCTCCTTGATGTACCGAAAAAGTTCTGTTCTTACCTATTGATGCGAAGAAGAGACACGAGAAGAAATCACGCAGAGGCTCCACAAGTTCGTTCACCTGAAAATAATAATTCATTGACAATAATGATGATGCCGTAGATCAACGAAAGCTCGGAAAACTAAATTATCGTAGCACACCTGGCCTCACTTGATTTACACGTCTGACTTTATTGACAATGATATTGAATATTGAACACCACTGTTATCAAGTTTTGACGAGTTTTAAGCTACATGGGGTCATTAATTGGATTTAAAGCAAATTCTCAGATTAACTACAAGAAATGTGTTACGATCAGTAAGGAGAATATTGATGCTGACCTGATGAACAAGATGTTCTCCGTTTGAGCTCAACACAACACCAGCCACAAAACAGCCCAGCTCCATGGAGATTCCTAAATGTTCTGACAGCTGCAGTGAAACAACACATGATAAACAACTCATCAGACAAAAACTAAATGAGGAAATAAATTTGATTGAGAGACTGTTACTATATTGTCCATTAACCCCTGATTAAGTTGACACTTACCATCAACAAAGAAAAGGCTGTTGAAACAGTTGCTAAAAGCAGCAGTTCTTTACTTCCGCTGTCTTTGATAAGTCTGATGGAAGAAGAAGAAGAAGAAGAAAAAGAATTATTGAGAAAGGTTTCCTTGTGGTTCATGGACAAAATAGTGCCTTAATAAATTCACTGATGGAATCCAAATTGAGATGTTTGGGTGTAAGCCCTGGCTAGTTCAAATCAGTGGTGTTCTTGGACACTTTATTTTCCACCCGCCCAACCCAGGAATATAAATTGGCATCAGTAAAGTGTAAGGAAAACCTGATAAAATGGACTCGCATCCCATTTAACTTAACTTCCATCAAATACCTGGAAGTAATGTTTAAAATCATTAGTAAATAAATGTTGCTTCAGCTAATATAGAGGTATGGGTTATGTGAAAATGTTTGAATCTACCCCAACTAGTAAGTCATTTGACAGTTCTTTACACCATTATCTTTTGTTTACAAGATGCAGGTTACTTACTAGTGCAGGCAATCTGCTGGCTTTTTGTTCACTTAACTCTTTAACTCCCAGAAGTGATTCTCACGTAACGTCTCCCTACAATATCCATCCACTCTCCAGCAAACAGGTAATGAGAGTACTCAAATGTATCAGGTAGAAGTTTTTATCTTGATCTAACACCAAATTCTTGCAACTAATTTACAAGGAAATGTGTAACAGCTAAAGGGAGAATTAGCAATCATATCCAGAGAGTTAAAGGGTTAATGCCAAACATTTGGTCAGAGTGAGTAACATGACAGGCAGATAACAGGCTGCAAATTACTTAACCCAAAGGATAATAAGAACACTCCTTGTGGCTTCATGTTACAGAAACTACACAAATACTTACCTTAATATTGGTCCAATAACTTTAGAAATCACGAAACACACAAACATGAGGATGACAAAGGAAAGCAACACCTCAAACAACATCACTATGGTGTTTGTAAAGTCATCTAAAAAATAACAAAAAAAAAAAAAAGTTTTAATTGATACATTTCCATTGCTAACAATCTGGAAACTCCAAAAACAAGCTCATCATGTTTTATTTAAACACCACAGGAATCCTCCAAGAGTAACACAGGTCTGATATTTTTACCTGAATTTCCACTGTCATGCCCACTGATGATGTTGTGCACAGCACTAGTGCTAGCTTTGGTATTTGCTGATTTCCCATGGCCCGCAAGTGCAGGAAGTAGTGCAACTAACAACCCCAAGTGCACATCTTGCATGACAAGAATTCCTAACAGAGAACTGGTGTAGTCACCATCTCCATTAGTGTGTTCTGCATATTAAAATAATATCATTAATAATTTTAAAATTTGTTGAAGAAATTTTAAAAGTTTGCTTTAGTGTGTTTTAGGTTTAATTTTTTCCTTTTTCAAAACATAGCCACATTGGTGAACATAAATTTTTACCCCCCTTGGATTAAAAAATCAGGACACCATAAGATGTCACATGTTTAGGATGCCTTGAGGCTTGCCATGAGGCTTGCCATGAGGCTTGCCATGAGGCTTGCCATGAGGCTTGCCATGAGGCTTGCCATGAGGCTTGCCATGAGGCTTGCCATGAGGCTTGCCATGAAGGCAGTGAAACAGAATTCCCAAGTGGTTGGCTATACAGAGTCTGACATCTGACTTCTGACTTGCACACACAAGTGACAAGATGAATGGCAGTAGCCTCACCATAAAATTGTTACCAAATACACTACCTTTTGAAGACGTATCTCTATTCTTGCTCTCCACAAATTTTGCCACAAGTGGTGTACTGGAAAGAGAGAGACATGCTGCTACAAATGCGCTCTGCCTGGGGAGAATTCCAAAACAAATTCCCCAAAAAATACCAAAGACAATCATCAGTGCCATGATTAAAGAACTTCCACCAACTGCCACTTTCCATACCTAAAAAAATGAAATATAAATGAACAAGTATTGAAAAACAGTCAACAAGTTCATAATTTAAGGAGTCCCTAAACTAACACCTATCTGGTATTTGACATAGGCCAGATTGTTTACCATATTTAATTGAAAAGTGTCACTTTGTTCAAGAAGGGAAATAAAATGCACTAATCCCCCTTTAGCATTCAGCTGTGAAGTTATCTGAATGTGATCAGATTGTTACCTCTCTCCTCTCACTACTTCAGTTTACTAGTAAATAAGTACCAAGAATTTGGTCTCAGATAGAGGTAACAAGTTCTACCTGATAAGTTTGAGTATTCTTATTACCTGTTTGCTGGATAATGTGTGCATATTGTGGGGAGAACTAACATGTTAATCACTTCTGGGAGTTATAGGGATTAAAAAGTTTTTCAATGTTTTACTTCCTTCACAACAAACAACACTTTAGCAACTTATAATAACTCTTATTCTATCAAATGCACTGAAAAAAAACAAGACAAAAAATAAAAATTACTTTACCCGTTTTATTCTGTCTGGAGAAAATTCCATGCCAACTGCAAACAGAATGAAAAAGACCCCAAATTCACCGAGTGTCTCCACCTGCACAACTGTCTGTTTAAAAGAAAATATTTCATATCAGACCCCATATTGAAAATCATACTTAAAAAATTAAACAGTATTTAATAAATAATCCTCCCTGGCTACTTATCAAGTTTCACTTCATTTGCATACCTTTAGGTATATCTCATTTTGCTGAAAAGTTTCAACAAGCTTTGCATCAACAAATCTAGTTATGAAAAATTAACTTACTCTTTCATTATTTTCTTGAAAGTCTCCCATCATAATGTAGAATAACCCATTTTTCATTAAAATCAAAACTGAACATTTTACATTCTGTCAACCCAGGTAGAGTTCATAAATATAATCCCTCAATTTTCAACCTTTCGTAAAAGCAGATAGCTCTTTACATAGACAAGTTTTCTGGCCAGCAGTTTCTGTATATCATTAGCTGGAGCATATGTGCCCCTACTTGGGGGCTCACAACTCCACAGACATATTGTCTGTTTTGATTTAGAAAAACAAATTTAGTTCTTAACCCTTTAACTCCTATGAGTGACCAAGACAGAATTTTTCCTTACAATATCAATATAACATCAAGCAGACAAGCAATGAGAATAAAGAACAATATCAGTTAGAAATATTGTCTGTTTTTTGAACTAACATAGAAAAACAAATTTAATTCTTTGGAGTGAAAGGGTTAAAGAAAGATGCTTTTGTCTTGTGACTTGAATGGGACATTAAGGGGTTAAACCTTAGACCTTAAGATCCTGATGTCTCATGGTGAATAATCCCAAGCCTAAAACAAAAGAAAAAAGTTCTTTGTAAATAGAATAAGTGAGATCTCTCTTATTCTATTTACAAACATGATGCTATCAAAATCACTGATCATAGCAGCATGCAGGACATGAGTCCTATATGAACTTCGCAAAGGGGCTTGCTCACCATAGAGTCTCTGTGGCTCAGAGGTAGAGTGTCAGAGTACAGAATCCAAAGGTCTGAGATTTGCTTCCTCACGAGGACTCAGAATTTTCTCTTTGTCCCACAACCGCAACAAGATGAAAAACATTTTCTCTCAGTTCTTCTTCAGTCCATTTATGAGCTCAAAAATTAACTTTTGGTTTATAAAATTCAAGTATTTTGTTTTTATCCTCTTTGTTATGTTTTTGTTATAGTAATATTATATTAATAATTACTAATCAAACCTTGATCATATTTAATCCAGATGGTCCTAGAAGCATACCACTAATTACAAATGCAAACATTGTTGGCAGCTGAACCAGTGTACAAATACAGGATCCAGAGAATGACAAAACCAGTATATAGATAATATCTTTGATGAAGTGGACATCTTCATGTGGAACAGTTGCATCTTTAGCTTTGGCTAAAACAAACTGATTGCTTTGAGAATCAACAAGAATACTCATTTCATTTTCATTACCAGGCTCAGACTCCAATGTCTCATTATCACTGTCTTGCCTTTCTTCATCCGCATTCAGTCTCACAACGGCTTCAATTGATGCCCCTTTAGCATTTCTTGTTTTTTCAAACGTTTTCTCGTCAAGTTCATTTTCAAGTTTATCAGCTGCAAATGAAACATCATCTAAAATACCCTCAATAATTTTCTCCATACGTGTGCCATTGGTCTGCAAATCTGCATGTTTACTAGCAGAAAAAAATTCTTTTTCTGCTTCGCTGATTGCATTAAATTGATCTTCTTGTTGTAAAGCCAAAAGTTTGAGTGCTTCCAGTCGTTGTTTTATAGCTTCTTTCATGTGGACTACAGACTTATAATCCTCCAGTAGTAGTTTTCTCAAGCCATTAATTGCATCAAAAACTGCTCTTTCTGTAACGTTCAGCTCGTTCTTAAAGATTGTTATCGCTTTTACTTGAGCGTTCGTGAGTTCTTGGCGTCCTTTCGGAATTTTACTCCCCAGTATATTACCTAACTTGTTTACCACCCTTTTCTTCGCCTTGAATAGATGGCTTACATACTGGCAAGTTGAAGGATTCCAGCGAGTGAGGTCATCTTTGGAGATAGCTGCAAAGGTGCTTCTCGCTGCGTCACCGGTACCTCTGACTGCAAGGAGTAATATCCCAAACACCGCCAAGTGATCGATGATAATACTTCTTAGCCGCATCGTACCAGATTTTTCACTTTGACTGTCCTGAGTGAGAAATCAAGCTGATGTATTTTGTTACTGAAACCTATAAAAAGCCGATATAAAGACATTCTTGTATGAATATTTCAGGTTTCCAAGACACAAATGTGTACTCTTCTGTCATCCTCATCCGCCATTTTGATTCTTACCCAGAGTTCAACTCGGGAAAGGCCTTATCCTGCAATGGTGTCTGGGATTGTATGTTTGAATTTTGGCGCGCCTGGCGAAGAAGATTGTTTTCAAAATGGAACTTGCTGTGTGATCATCGGCAAGCTAATTTTCTTGATAAATTTCTACTTGCCAGGACTTAGTTTTGCGAAATCAATAATGAGCGACGATGAATCAAATATTTTCAAAGCTGAAGAAGTCATCAAGTTTTTAGAAAATGGAGGTAAGCGAATGTCTAATATCACATTTTTATTGGTATGTAATTTAAAGTGTTAATTTTTATCTTAACATCAGCTGAGTTTTGTTTCTAGATCCGAAAGTCGAGACTTCCCTAGCAGTTGAAAGGATTGAAAGTGTTGCTCATAGCGATGGTCTTCCACCTGATCAACTTGTGAATTTAGTCAAGATAGCCACTAGTGGAAAATATGGTTAGTCAGAATGATCTGAATCAGCTGGCTTGGAATAATTTGTTTACATTTTCTTGTAAAGAAGATATTATTTGCGTTTGTGTTGTAGTCTATAAATAATATTTTCATCTTTCAAGGAATTATTTAACCTAGTTGGATTTGAATTTCCAAATCATCTGAAAAATTGTTCCAGATGATTTACTTTAATCCCCAAACAAAGCCAGCAGAATACAGATCAGACTTCTTCAAAGTAATTTTTGAGAAATCTGAGGTGAATGGTATAATTGTTATTACTTGTTATCATATTACTTTACCACTGAAAGAATACCTGATCGTGCAGTATCAATATTTTAAATCCATTTAATTACTAGTTGATAATAACAAAAATACTATCATGATGATTGGTTAATAATTTATACCTATTACAAATCAAAGATATGAATAAGAAAAATAAATCTGAAAAAAAAAAATTTTTTGTTGATGATTTTAAGTTCTTACTTAGTATTTAATTTGTTTCAGATGATAGTATTTCTTCAAGACTTGTCAGATCCTTGATTCCACAGAAATCAGTTCCTAGTATAACAGTCGTGATCATAGCCTCAAGGATTTGTAATATCCATCTATCTATGAGGATAAAGGTACCAAAGAAATATGTACATTTTATGATAATAAAGTAACAATTACAGTAAATCCATGCTTTAATGGTGTAAACTAACGCTAAAAAAATCAGCTTTAAAAATTTGTTACCATGGCTAATTTACAATATTAACTCAGTTGGTAAAACCAAATTATCTTGTATTTGACACTCCACCAACAGATCACCACAGTTTCTTTAGAAACTTACTCTCTCTATTCAATTGACAGTTTGATGAACAAAAATTGGTTTTTAGGTGATTTTGTAGTTTCTAACCTTTTTTATGAATAACTAGTAATGTATGCATTATTCTGACCTATCTTTTAGATTATAGACTGTTAAAATACCACTTAATATGCTATTTAGTGGACATTATTTTTGAGCCCAGTCTTTACAAGTATTTGTCCTCTAGAGTTTGTTAGTTCGATGGATTATACTCATCTTTAACTTCATTGATGATCTGAAAGATGTGCATTCTCTCTATGGAATCTTCTTCCTCCTTTTGGAAAGTGAAACTTTGGTAAGCTTCACAGAATTCTTGTACAATATAGTGCTAAACTGATTAGTTTATAACAGCTCATTTGGCCGATTTTCTGTCCTGTTCTGTATTATGAAGAGTTCTCTCTCTTCTCACTTGGGCTGCTCAGTTGTTAGATATATCCTTGCCATAGACTTAGGGCAGGTTCTCTTCAAAGAATTTGGCATCATAGTTGCGTTTTGATAGAAAGTTTACTTAGGTCCAGTCAGTATTTGATGGCAAGAACATTTTGGCTAGGAATAGCCTTTCAGCTGAAATTTGAATGGTAAATACTTTCTTTTAGTATGTTTTGAAAATATAAATCAGTAATGCAGAATTTGAAAAAAATGATGAGTAAAATAATTTTTAAATATAAATTTTGGTGTTTGAGGCAAAGCTAAAATGTACCTGATTCTTGCATTCTCTGATTTTGTTTCTTGATGAAACTTATTAAAAATTTATTAAATTAAAATGGACTTGTTTTCAGTGTCCTCACTTATGCCATCTCTTGTATTATCTGACAAGAAAGGAAGATGGTAAGATATGGAAGATAAAACTTAATATGAATATTATGTTTAGAAAGTAGATTTCTGTAGAAGTCTTTCCTGTTTTGATGAAATGCAATACTTAAATTTGTCTTGGTGTACAGAGTGAAATATCTGGCTTACTATGACCAGAATTGCAAGCATTTATTTTAATCTTCATAACAAAATTGTTCAAGTAGATCAAGATAATTTTGCCCACCTTTTACTCTAGTCTCATGTTGATATTCATCGTCTCAACACATGTTTCACTGGAAAATACACTTCTTAAGTTATACAAACTGTATACTGATTCTTGAGTATGTTGATGAGACATTTTCCCACTCTAGCGTGCTTTTTTGTGAAAATTGTCAATGAGAACAGTGAGAAATAGATTTTTGAAGTTCTCACCATGAATGTAAAGAATCAAAATAATTGTTTGTTACAGTGGCTGCATGAAAGGAATTATAGCTGTCTATGGCCATTAAGTCTTGTTTTTGGAGAATAAAATGTGTGATAATTTAATACATATTAAACTAATCTTTCTTAATCTGTTTTATTAGTAAAAAGAAAATTACATGATGGCATAAGGAATGAAGATACAAACTTTAAATTCTCATTTTTAAGATCAGCATTTTACTAACCCGCTGCCCTTGTTCCTAAATAATTGTTTTACACACTAAACATAACTCATTTCAGTATCATCTTTTTAATCTATCAATGTCTTGATTAGTGAAGAATTTTAGGATCAGAAAACTGCTGGATCTACAAAATCACAGGGTGAGTTTTTCAGCATGGCATATCTGTAATAATATATAAAGTTTTTGTCATATATTTGTGAAATAACTGTGGTATATATGATATTCTATCCTCAGATTTGAGAATATTATGCTAAATCAAACGACATCCCTCAGTCAATATTTTTATTACTTCTCATTGCCTTCCTAGACTAATCTGCTCAAAAGTGTATTAAAATATTTCATGGAGGAATTCGTAATGACTACTCTTCAGAGTAAAAAAGGTTAACAATACAATGAAATTAATTATTCCTTACCAGCACAAAGACCTCATAGCTGATGTCAAAATATTAAAAGAACTGTTTTTGTTTCTTGTATTCAGGGAGTGAAGCCTTATCAGTCTGCCTTACTTTCTGTTTACAAGATACATTGTCAAAACCTTTTCACCATGACAGCAACAGCTTCAACTAAGGTATATTTGGTTGATTTATAGAAGTTCTAAAGTTTACATGTATTTGCCCCTGTAAAGTACTTTTTAGGTGAGGGTTTTGTCTCACAATTTTTCACACATGACAACAAGATGATTGCCCACAATTCATGTTTAGAACACTCCTACACTCATGCTTATGGAATTCACTGCATTGTCCCGAATTCTTTTCATAGAGATTATGGTTCAAGGAAACCGATGAATCCTGGAAAGAGGCAATCAAGAAAGTTCAGGTACCTAGTGAAATGTTAAAAACCTTTATTTGAAAATAAAATCGAAAGTTTTCAATCCCAGATTACGGACAAACAGACTGATCACTCTTTTCATTCGTTAAGCACCACAAACGCATACGTATTAAAGTAATCTATGTTTCCAGATCAAAAACTAAATGTGTTTGCTGAAGAAGCTAACTTCTTTGTTTTAGTGCTAACTAGCACCTGTTTGCTCCTTTTCCTTCACAGCTCAAATATAATGCAAGAAAACCAGTGGAAAGTTTTTTTCTTCCAGTGAGGACATCTAAGCGTGCTTCGGTGAGTAAAGTACCTCCCCCCCCTCCCCCCCGCCACATAAACTGAAAACTTTACGGCCACTTGTACTGTGGAGTGCAACCTCAACCCCTACCCTCCTCCCCCCCCCCAAAAAAAAAAAAGCAGGAATGCAATGTAGCGCCCTTACTGAATCATATCTTCGTCAGTTTTCAACAGATCACTATTGCTAATTTAAAGAGCTCTTCCCAACAGTTTTAATGATGTTCTAATAATGATGTTAATCCATGTCAAAAGTTGAAAACAAAAAAAAAAACGTGGAATGTACTGTTTCTTGTTCACATCATTATTACTAACATTGAAACCTTGACTGTTGCAAACAAAAAGACTCACTCTATACTTGTTATCATTCTCCGTGTGTCTTTTTTTTCAGTATTTCTTCTGGTTTTTCTTTTCGTAAGAGAAAACTTCCGACCAATGAAAACTGAATCTTCCTACTTTATTCCTGTAAAAATTTCGCGATTTGTACTTTCAGGTGACAAAGAGACGAAAACTTCCCGGAAACATAATTCCCGAACTACAGACTACCAAGATAAATGAAAAGAAAACTTCCATCGAGCAGCTCTTTTCCTTTAAGGATCTACTTGCAAACATTGAAAATATAGAGGTAAACGATTCACATTTAAAAGTCAAATAAATGCCACTGTCACCTCTGGTTTTGTAAAGACCTCGCGGCGTGCAAATCCTCTCGCTACCCTAACATAAACTCGCCTCTGCTGCAACCGATACCAGTTTTTCGAAACCTGTTCTTTCAATTTTGTTAATAATGGTAATTGAACTTAGTGGAGTACAATTTGGGCGGAAATCATAAGCGTGATTTCAAAATCGAACGAGCGCGCAGCGCGGGTTTGATTTGAAATCACAAGTATGATTTCAGACCAAAATTGCACGACACAAGGTTCAATTACCACTTTATTACATCCATTTTGAAATCGCCCAAACACAATACTTGGTCAGTTCAAATATTTTATTGATGCAGTACTGAGCCAGTCTGAAACTAAATTCATCCATTTTTGGAGGGGAAAAGTAAGAGTTTTGGAAACAAAAGTTGAAAAATTTGCCACATGACACTCTCTGTCTTTCAGTTTCCAGAGATTTGATCAGTTACTTTAAACGAGCCTTAAAATCTGATTGGTTGTTTTGTTTTTTGTGTAACCTCCACATTGGCTGGGAAAAAGATGCGATTGAAAGGAAAAATTGGTGCCATTTGTGAATAAATTGCATCAATTAGAGCCAATCAGATTACAGGGACCACCAGTGATTTCAAAATGGGTGTAATAGATACTGAAAGCTGATGCCCTCGAGCACGGATTTTAGTATTTACATAAAGAGGACAAAAACTGAATTTTAGTTTATTCATTGCATCTTTGCGCGCCTTTGTGCAAATCTTCCCTTTCCACATTATATATAATTTAATTCATGAAGAATCTTATGTTATTTTGTTTTGATGCCAGTTTCCGAGTCAGGTAGCCTCAGTGATCAACTCGCCGTTCCTGCAGCACGTTTTGAGCTGTAATCCAGACTTTGTCGTGTTACAAAGATTCAACTTTTGGGTCAATCATACTTTGTGTGAAGGTAATTTGACAAAGTACTTGTAAAACTACACGAAAGAAGTATGATACAAAAAAATTATTATCGTTCTGTTGAGAAGTAGCAGAATTAAAAACTTAGAAGAATTTTAATAAAGGGCTATCGGGGACTGTTGTGTATGATACCTACGCCTCAGTCACGCGCAGACAATCGGCTCGTGCCCTGAAAAAGCACCGGAGAGACTTAAGCCTTGGGACTGACTTCATTGCTGGCTGTAGAAGGAACATGGAAATACAGTACCAAAGTGGAAAATCGAAGAGTGAAAGGATGTGATTCAAAATGTTTTTCTCGGCCGAAATAGCAGTGATGACGGAAACAATTAGAAAAAGATTTCTAAGAAAAGATGATCTGGACAGATGTAGCCTAATAACATTTTTCAAAAATGTTTACAAATGAAAGAAGAGTCGTGAAAGCTTGAAACCGTTCTAACAGTAGCCAGTGAGATTCCAGAATTTGTATATCGCACGAGAAATGCGTGTTTCTTAGTCATTTTTTTTAACACTTCACCTGGCAAACTAGGATTAGAAGTGAATACCAATACTTATATTTTGAATAATGAAATTATATTTTCCACAGAGTTACTTAACAGTTCAACGTCAAAATCTGATTCTTATACCTGGATGTTGTTGCAGCATTTAAACCACTTCACAGGCTTCCTCCAAGTAAGTTATATAAAAGATTGAAATTTATATTTTAGTTGTGATGATTCTGTCCTTCGACTGGAAACGGCGATGTCTGGTTCGTTAGATATTTATTGTATATATTTTTTTAGATATTTATCCCCCACGTTGTAGATTTTACGGAGGCAATGTTTTCTTTTCTCTAGGAATCTGTCCCGGCTGTGGAGGCTTTCTTAGTTCGATTCCTTTTTACATGGAACGGACTGGATTTCAGACCATTGATTCTTCAACTCATAACTCATCTTAGTATGTGGCCGTTTCAACGTGAGTCGAACGTTCGTTGCACTGTCTGGGTAATGTGATCGCTTAGTTAACGTTTTCAAATTATTTAATCAATCAGGGTGAAAAGCTCACCTGCGACTATTCCAGCGCTTTACCGCTGACAGTTGAACATATGTCAGATGATATGGTTTCCTTCCGTTGTCACCTTGACACTCGTGCAGCCAGCTTTGTCGAAGCTTTGAGTGCTTAAGAAATTCTTAGTTTATGCAATAAAGATGTATCTGTAAATACTAATTAGGATGTTATATTTTCAGGTTTGAATGATTTAGTTCTTGAACCGCTTAGAAAACTTTTCTTTTCATCACCAATTTACGTGAAGGTAAGAAATTCAGAAAGGTTTGTCGTTCCTCTTTTCTTTCTTGACTTAGTCTCTCCAGATTATATTTAGAATTAACTTGTGGTCTGTTTCTTTTTAGTGTCAAGTTATTTATTGCTTTACTGAACTGCTGAGAAATTTCTTAGCGGTTGAGTTACCGCGGCAACAAGAATTACTTCAAGAGGAGCGTTCCCAAAGAGCACGTGATCTGGCTAAGTAGGTTTGACGTTTGAAATCTATGGGAGTGGCCTGAGTACTAATGACATTAAAACAATCAAACCAGACGCGTTCTTAGCCATTCTTGAGGCTGTCACGCGACGCAGCCTTGAAAGAAGAGCGTTTCGTGACATCCTAAAGATTGGATGCGAAAGAGATTACGGACAGTTGCTCGATCAGATTGTGCAGCCTAGTGCATAGCTCTCTGTTTTGACCATGGGCACAACTAAGCTGACTTAAGTGCACAAATTAGCGGTTCATTGGGCGCTGATCTCTTGACCATTTTCTATTCTTCTCTTCAGTGTCTCGTTGTTTGTTGAAGACGAAGTTGAGGCTTTTGATCCTCTGAAGACCATTTATGATTTCATACAGTTTGTGGATAGGGTTTGTGTTGTGGGTTTACAGGTGAGTGAAACGACTCCATGCGACGGTGATTTGAGATTGCTTTCAAACGGAACAAGCGTGAGACAAACCCATCGCGTCACATGCCGAACTTAAGGGTTTGCATTCTCTTGAAACATTTGCTTCTTCGTTTGCTTCTTTTTAAGGTCGAAAAAGACCATGCGCTGCTGCAGCATTGGGTTTTAAACTTCTTTGAACTGGTAAGTTGTCAGTTGGTCTGTTTAAGAAAGTGATTAGTATTTGTTAACCACTCAACCTTGGAAGTCGGAACATGGTCGGGGTAGTCGACTCTTTGGCTGGCGTCGGGGGGGGGAAGGGTCAGAGCCCAAGTTCGAGTCCCGCTCTTTCCAGCAGCCGGATGTAAAGTCTCTAACTCAACTTCTCGAACACCGATCGTATTTTGTTAACCTTGTTTCATTTTTTCAGGTTTCAACTTCCCATCAACAGTTTTCTTTGCCATTTGTCCTTATTCCTTCCTCTGGGATCATCTACAGAATGTTGTTTTCTAGCAATTCCATGGCTTTGTCAAGATTGTGTCAAATCATTGTCAAGTAAGAGTAAATATTTGCCAATGTAGTCTCTTTAACGATTATCTTCACCTCGTCCATTTCATTACTTTGTGTGGAAAGTTTTACTGATAAACATCCAACTTCATGGCTGTGTTCACGCTGAACACACTTCTAACTAACTTTATTAGCATCTATGAAAGGATATTTTGTGGCTCAATCGTCCTCTGAGTGCAACATTATTCTCAGAGTATATTCAAGCAAATGCTTAGGAAAAAAAACTTGACGTTTGGAAATCCAGGGATTGCAATTTTCACATAAATTCACTGATTTATTGACACTTAAACCTTTCAGCTTCAAGAAGGAGTTTGAATCTTTGAAGATAACACAAGGAGAGTCTCAGGTAATGGAAGGAAATTAAAAGTTAATCACGATGATGCTTAGCTTGCAGACTATGCCACAATACTCCTATTTGTCTTCAAAATTGTGGAAAAGCGTTATCTCAGATTAAATTCCTTCTTATTTTTGTCTCTCAGGTTTCTCCTTTAGGATTCCCCGATGGATTTCAAAGCATCCAGAGATTTAACCAGTATATCTTAGATATCTGTGACAGTTTGTGGAGAAACAAAGCTTTTATAGACAGAGACAAATCATTTTGTTTCAGCATGCCAAGGTAAAGTTGTAACATCCCACACTCGCTGAATATCTTACCACTACTGACATACATAGGACGATTTTCGTACGCGAAAGAAGGAGACATTTCGTTCACGCGCAGAGATAGTGAGGCGTTATATAGTTTTGTAGTCTCGTTCCCCTATGCAAACGTACGTTTGGGAATTTGGATTTGGATTTGAACATAACCTCCTGTAACCCTTCCGTTGGCCAATGGGTAACGATAGCATCGGCGACGAATTAGATAAACTGAACCTTTTGTTAATTTTCTAGTAATGCTTTAAAAGGCACCTTTGATAAACAAGTCATTCATTAGCATAGGAGATCAGTCTTTACACGGGATTAATTAACGGTGAACTAGAGATTTGAATGGTTAGTTTTGAGGATTCATTATGTACCCTGGGATGATCGACCATAATTTGTTTTCTCATCAGCTCGGTGACAGACTCCCTCGATGTGCGTCATATGAACGAGTTGTTCTCAATCCACCATCATATATCTTTGGCAGGGGAGGCCTGGAAATTTCTTCATCAGGTTAGCTTGCTGGAAATGAGTCGTTTTCTTAAACGTAGAAGTTATATACAGCATGATAGAAATCACAAAATAAAAGTGTGGTAAAATAGAAAAAACACTAAAAATGATGAGAATAAATTAATTAATTAATTACAAGGAAGATAAAAGATGGAGAAGTGAACACTGAACTTGAAATATTGAGACTAACTTCTTCGAGATTGACCATTCGCCACTTGATTTCTCCGATACAGAATAATGGTGATACCAAACGCAACAGAAGGGCACCAACATCTGATTTTTTTATCCACGATAAACATTTTCCTCTCCATAGTAGCTTTCCTCAGCAATATTAAAATCATTATTGCCCTCAGAAAGGAAACCTCTCTTCATCTGCCATCGTTGTTTGGCAAAAACTGATCTTTACGTAGGTCTTGTTGGCCAGCTACTGGCTGTTACAGTTTGGATGTCAATCCTTGTTCACGGAATGCTTGATTCGAGGAGTGTTCATCAGTACGTAGATACCGCAAGTTTTGTGACAAGCATTTTGCTGTGTGCAATGTCGGCTCTGTTAACTTTAAGTGCCATAGGAGTGAATAGATTTCTCGCCTTGACTTTGTGGCTGAGATACAGACAAATTGCGACCTTGAAGCGAACATACCGGCGCGGATGCTTAAATCTCAAGCAGACATTTCGGCATCGTTTTAACATTACCTTCTGTATGCTTCCTTCCAGACTCAGCCGACCGGGATGAAGCTCACGCCAAGTCTTATCAAGGTAAATTTTGCAGTTGTCAGTGACGTGTTTCGTTCGTTCTCTTGTTGGATGCAATTTATTTTTATTCCATATCGTTTTTGTCAAAAGCGTTATTAGCTATCGCGCAATTTAAAAGACCTTTTTATTAAGGCATTGATTCCAAAATTTTCACGTCTCACGAGGTAAACTTAATGATTTTATAAAATCAACAACTCATATAATTTCTATTTTCTGGCACTCAGTCTCCAATATATTTTTGACAAAATTGGAAAGGTTTATTTGTCAAAAAAGTGACGGGTTTTTTGTGGGTGGCAGACTGAAGAACTTTTAAACTTGTTTGGGAAAAAAAACCGCGAAAAAAAATTCTCTAGACTTGCCTCATGAGGTTGGTTACTTTCCCCGAACTTTGAGCATCACAACCCTTTTATTTCCATAGGGACGCTCTAGACGTGCTTACATGGAGTTTTTGAGGCAGAGAAGCTTTGGTGGGATTCTGGTATTTTTGAAAACATTTATTAGACCACGTTCATGATATCAGCTCGCAGAGTGACGACGGTAGTGAAGACTACAAATACTCCAGTTTCAACGGCCCTTTTAAAAGCTGCGTGACTTCAAACAGAAACAGAAGCCAAAGAGAGTTCACAATTACATCGAAGGAGAGTTTTTCTTTACTCTTTTACTCCTGACATATCTTCTTTGAGTATTGTTGAGAAAACGATTTGAAACTATATAAGAGGTGACAGACGTCAAACATGAAATAGAAGTGTTTTGGAACCGGAATAAGCCTTATGAGTCTTCATGAAGGACTATATACCGCAGCTTATGTGCCTTACAAGTTTAAATATTCATGATTGCGCCTATTATCATGTAATGTATTTTTAAGAACAAAAACGTTCGAGGTAATACACACTGCCAAGTCTGCCTATGAGACATTGTGAAAAAAAGTTTTATTGTTCATTATTTTTGGATTCTTATACCTCTCATAATTGTATTTAACTGTACCGATATCAGCATCTTGTAAACTAGGTATGGCTAATCTTTAACAATAACAAACAAGCAAACTGATCATTGAAAATGTGCTATTCAAGGTTCCGAAGGATGTCTAATTTCAGATTTCAAACAGGCCAAAACCATAAAATGTTCAATTGATCAGACCATCTCCAAACTTTTCATTGCAATTTGCTATTTCTAATTTCCCTTTTTTAATTGTATAAATGGGAAAGACTTAGTACCTATTTTTCAACGCAAGAAAGCGGCGCAAAAAGTTACAAGAAAGTTATAACTCGTCTCTTTCAAAATGCAAAACCTGGAATTGCTTCAGAATATTTTTGCGTTTCTCAAATTCATCTGCCTTATTAGGGTGCAATGGACCGGCGATCAAGCGTTCCAATCGATCAATTTCCTCGCTTATGATACCAGCTCCGTAACCCATTACGCGAGTCATAACAGACATGTAAAAATGAGCCTCGGTTTGGAACTTGTGCTTAAGGGCTTTTATTTTAGCTTCTCTCAATATTTCTTCTCGCCTTTTGTGGTCCTTCATAAACTGCACGGCTATTTCGTTGAAGTCATCCAAAAGGCCAGCCTGTTTAAACAGCAAATTTCAATAAACTCCATGCCGCTCCCGATGGTTAACAATATGTAATGGCGTATAGCAATTTAAGTTAAGAAGTTGGGTTGGTCGAGGGGGGGGCTAACATTTTCGTTTTCAAGTAGATGCGCGTTAAGTTTTCCAGCGAATTAGCAATTTTCAAGTAAAATAAATTTGCCTCTTTTAGTCCTATATCCCATTTCATAATTTTATTCTTGAATTTCTGACACTTTTTTTAAGTATAGCCACAAATTTTCAGTCCAAGGAATTAATGAGTCTCATCCTTGCCAGGTAAATAAACCTTTCTCAAACAACACTATATATATCTTTCGTCTGTTCTCAGTGAAAGCTAAAAATCACTGTGGTTTTGATTACTATATCGTTATAAGAAACCTATGTTATTTCGATCATTCATACGACCTCCTTAACTGCCTTTATTTAGGGGACCCAAGAAGACTTGCGCGACCACGAAGCAAAGTCCCTTGCGATTACAGAAATTCTACAATCCTAACTTCTCTTTATTTTGCATCAATTGGCAAGAGGGCATGGTCTCTCTGGACAGCGGGTTAATGCAAAAATTGCTTGCAATGACACTAAACGAGCTTCGTAGCGGCTGTAAAATTTACCTTAATTTCAACTGCTTTAAAAACTTACCTTTTCGTTCAGTCGTCCTTTCAGCCTCCTTTGAGTTCCACACAAGGCATTCATAAAGGAAGTTATGTTTGTCTCGCTGTAGCTTTCCTGGTAGGTCCCAGGCTCGTAAATGATCCCGTCCTTGTTATGCTGGGAATATACTTTGAAAGTCGGGTAATGCGGAATTGTTTGTTGCACACAAATCTGAGGCTCCGCGTCGCAATCAAGTCGGCCAATCAGGCACTTCGGCTCGTTTCTAAACGTGACACCGACATCGTGAATCGTGTTTTGTAAAGTCTTGCACAGTTCACAGTTGCCGTTATAGTAAAGGACCATGATGCTCCGCGCCCTGTCTTTGACAATTCTTTCAAAATTTGAAGAGCTCAGATCGATGACTGGTGTTTGGAAGATGTCTGTGTTTAGATGAAGGACGGATTTGGACCGTATAAAACGAATCATATCGGCAGGAAGATTACCATTATTATAACTGAAAAAAAAAACCAGAAAGTCAGATCATTAGGCTCTGATGTTTGCTAAAAGTCACATTTATTGTTAGAATATAATAGACATTTTGTAATAAATCGAACAAAACACTGCATCTACTTACGTTTCTTCAGTTATGCTTCCTTTTATGAAGTAACGAAACGCAGGGTATTCATCCACCCAGTACCGTGTGGCCAGTTTAATTTCTTCATAAGCATTTGCTTTGGCGATAACCACATCCTCACGGCTTGAAAATGTATCACCAACCTCTTCATACCGTTCTAACAGCCTCACGCATTGCTCGTGCCAAGGAGCGTAGAAAAACACGAACGCAAATTTTTTCCCGTCAACGACCTGGTCAAAATTAGTAAGAGTGAGTTCCTTGACGAATGAATCCTCCTTTGCTGAAGTTAGCACAGTGTTCAAGAAGACGATTGCGAGAAGATTAAGTCGTATAAACATTTTCTGATGCGACGATTTTGAGTCGATGAGTTTCTTCAGTAAAATACTGCTGTGGCCGTTCAGAGCGAAGATTTTTTCAGTGTTTAATTCCTGTGACACAGCTGTTACCTTTCTTCTTTTCAGAAACTGTGACTATATAGCAGAGAAAACGAGAAATCAAGTGATTCAGTCGATTCGTTGTCCAGAAATGGACCAATAATCTCAAACTAAGTCGTACTTGTTTACTGTAAAAGGTTTTGTATCTTTGTAGGATTACGTGTTACTCTGAGAAAAAGAAGGATTTGTCCACTAAGAAAACCACATGTGTAGATCCTGATTACCAATTTATTACAATACTGCAAAACAGCTGATTAAATACTCGATAGAGTTTGTTGTCACGTCGCTCTGAACGACACGTCATTGTTCACATTTATATGAAATCATGATTCTGAAATTCCTCATGACTTTCCGCTCACTTTTTTCTTACAACTGCTACTGATGAAGTTTTTGTTTTTTTTTCCTTTTTCGCAGACTGTCGTTTTGATTTAACCAATTTTACGCTTTCTCCTGATAACTTTAAAGAAGTTCTGTCTATAACTTACTTTGATCTCTAATAAAAGGCTTTGGAAGGAATGATTTTAAAATTTTCCTCAAATGGCTATTTTGCTGATGAACTGAAGTTCTCAAATTAGCCTCCATTCATTTACTGCATTCTTAAATCCGTTGTGATAAATGTAAATCAGTGTTTACGACCACTGAACTTGCAGCAAACATCAGCCTGAGATTTAGCGATGTAACAATTAACACAACTTATTGTTTTTCCAATCTTTGCGATAAAAGAAGAAAATATTTCAAAGTAAACCTCACTTAAAGACTAAAAGAAGCAATTTTCCCTAGAAATGTTCGTACTTTTAAAATGGTCTAATCTTGCCCTTCCCTCGCAGTTCGTCTCGTTTTGAAATATTCCATTCATCTCGTACCGCTAAAGCAAATTTCGGAACTGACGATTCACCGACTGATTCATTAATATTCCAGCTGTATTGATTCAACAGGCAACTTTGTCTCTTAAAGATTTTGTTTCCATCTTACCATTTTAAAATATTAGTAGTCAGCAAAAAATCAAGAAACAGACTTAAAACTCAAGCGTGTTTCCTCCTTTCGTCCGAATCACTGAAACAACAGAAGCCTTCGCCAGTATGTACCAGACCCCTACAATTAACCAACCATTACGCGGTTATAATCCTTTTCCTGCTCATCCAGTGTACGGAGAATTTCCCGCGGACATTTGTTGCCCATATTGCCAGACTAGAGTGTTTACTGTTACCACAAAGGAGGATGGAAATCTAACTTACTGTGCAGCCAGTTTTCTGTGTTTTATGGGGTGAGAAATGAGCTTTAGATCTTTCAAATGAAGGCAAAGCAGAATCTGTGCTTGAAAACTTTAGACTGCACACCTCAAGTTTGTTGTTTGCTATCTTCACCCTCCTTAACTATCTTCATTCATTTGTCTAGCCTAACTCATTATCATTATTATTTGAATTCATCCTTTTAAAGCACTTTAATATAACCTAAAGTGATTAAATGTATCAAGCATGACATATAGTGCCAATTGACCTTTTCACTCCTGATCTAAAGATCAATTCTCCATTCTATCTGCCATACATTTCTTACAATTTCAACTTCAAGAATTTGGTGTTTAATCGAATAGATTCCTTCCTAAGTCTTCTTACTGACTCTGAATATTATTCTTTGATCGCTAAAGGTGTTGGTTTGGCTGCTGCCTGATTCCTTTTTGCATTGACTCTTGTAAAGACATCATTCACACATGTCCTAACTGCAGAGCACCTGTGGGGAAATTCAACAGGCTTTGTTGAACCATAGAGAAGACTGGATCAAACCTCAAAATAAAGAAATGACAACTCCGCATGATGTTTATTGCCACTGAAAAAACCATAATGATTTTGGTGTAATTTTGATATAGTTCCCTCTTGATAATTAAAATATGCACATTTTGTAATCAAATCTAGTTTGTTTTCAAAGGCATGAGGTAGAGCAGTTGACAGTCTGCAGGGATTTTTTCAACTTCCATTTTACGTTCCTTGTAGAAATACACATTTGCTAATGGGATAAATTGCCAAACCAAAAAGGAGTTGAATGTGTGTTTCCTAAAAACAACCAAGTTATTTTTATCTTCCTTTCATCTGGCTACAATTCAATATCAAAATTAATACTGCTTATATTTATGGAGCAAGTTTATTTGTGAAATTTTTGCATTTTATGCACCACATCCTTTTGATATGCTTACAACTTTTTATTGCTAGCAACATGGTTATACAGGTAGCTTTCCACAAATATATTACCTATGATAAATAAATGTTGTCAAGCCTTTCCTAATCAGTCAGAGAAAATAAAGCCATTCTGACAAATGCCTGTAAGGCCAGATAAACCTTCTTGTCCACCAACTGATGATTTCAAGATGAAAATGTATCATTTCGCTTAGCAACTGCCTGGTTTGATACTGTTGGCTCAGCAATATTCAGAGAGGATATCCATACTTGGTCTTGTTATTTTTCAAAAGAAACTCAGTTAAAAACATCATCATGATTGAGGTATGTATCAGATACATTGACAGGCAGGCCTCTTTTCAGTTTGGCTTTTGTTTTCACTCTTTCTTGCTCTTCTTTAGCCAGTTGCTCATCTCTTTGTAATTCAAGAATATCAGGTACCGACACTTCCTCCAGTTCAGACTGAGCTTCTTTTTCTTCATCCTTTTATAACAAAAAATAAATGCACAGCACACATTCAGCTAGTCTCTATTGCAGCTATTGTTTGATCTTGTCAAGCAACACACTCTTTTTCTCTCTCTTGGTGAGGGAGAGTGCGCCTTGGGTGACAAGGTCAAATAACAGCTACAAAGGGGACTAAAATTTAGTAAACTGTTCAGATTTTGACAGAAAAAATAACATCTGACAAAATATTTTGGACAAACATCAAACAGTAAATGGCGTTTGTTTAAAGAGGTTAATACTAAAATTAGACAGCCAGTTAGGTAGGAATATAATTTCAATAAATACAGTTTTTTATTGCAGGAATTCTGTGTTGATTGCCAAATTTGTTTTTTTGTACTTTGTAATAAAGATGTGAGAAGCTAGCTGGGTACATTTGTTGGAGTAAATGAGAGGAAATATCACATCTACATTCTTGAAGAGTTGTTAATCAACTTCAGCTACAAAACATAGCAAGAAAAAAACGCATTGAGCAGAAAAAAGCAAACAAATTTATTTCTTCCCTCAACCAGTAAATCAAGATTTTCCCTATGCATTTTGAAGAGGAGACACCTAAGTTAAGTTCCTATTTTAAATACCTGAAATCTGTAAGACTATAACAGCAAATATTAGTAAATTTGTACTGGTTACCCCTCTTCTCTGATCCAATTATGTTTTTTGTTAACAACTTGTAAATTAACTTCACTCTTCACTTGAAGTGACTCACTATTTCTCCAGCTAGAACCATGTTTTCTCCTCTTACAAGAAATATGCCTCTAGGAATATCCCCATACTTTCCTCCAACATGAATTCTTTCAATGGTGTCTTGAAGTAAAAGGTTGGCTGTAAAATTATCATTGTATAAGACACATTAGAACCTGCTTTCCGGTGACTTCAATTGTGACAAAATCACACTGATCACAAATTTAAAACATTATTTTAGAAATGAGAGCTAAGGCTTCCACATTAAAACATCTCGTGCTTTAGATTTCCTAACTTATCTCTTACATCACTGTTTCATTGGATTATTAAAATCTAACACAAAAATTATCATTATCCCTTCCCTCTGTGGAAGAATTGCCATTTCAGTGATAGATTCACATGTTAATATCTTCCTATACCTCAATACCTTCTCCTAGTAGCACTGGTACAATAACATGGGAATCTACCATGTAAAAGAGCTTTCTTTATACCAAAAGTTATTACACAAAAAAATATCAACACAACTGTATACTATAACAGCTATCACACCCTGATTACAACCACAGCCTAGCCTGAAGAAGTACTATTGTTTATACCATTTTTAAAACACTCCATATGCAAACATCAAAGGTATTTCTGCTTAAAGGAAATAAGTATGATAACAATATAAATTTCACTGTTGCCAGTACACTCACCAAATTGATCTATGGACCTCAAATATCCAATGAGTGTTCTTCCATCCCTCAGCACAACCAAAAGTCTTTCTGTTCAAAAGTTGCAGTGTTAGTTTAAAGAGAGAAGTTTGTGTTTGTCCCTTTAGTACATGCCAGAGAATCTTAGGAAATTCCACATGTGTAAACGAAAAACGTAAGCTTGGAAAAATTTTGGGAATAGTAAACTGAAATTCTGATAAAAATTAATAGTGCAAACTTTTAGTGTATGAAAGTACAAGCAATAAATTTGTTGATATTGTGAAGAATTGAGAACATGGAGACAAAAATTAAGTACAACAGATTGAATAAAAACAGCCTAGCATAAAAGAGGGGAAATAAAAAAAAACACGAATATCGTACTATCTATTTCTTTGATGAGACTTGCTGTCCCAGGAAGGAAGCTCATAACTGAGATGTATCGAAGGATTCCAGCTGAACTTACGACGCGGAAACGGACTAACTTTTGTCAGGCGTCTCAATACACGGAAGGACTGGTGTCCATTGTAGCTATCACTCCAAATATGGTGACCTATCACGCGCTCTACGTTGACAAACGCGTGACAGGCGGCAACACGTGAAGATTGATCACCTGATATCTGACACCTGTTTGTGTACAAACCGCCACTTCCGTCCGGATCAAAATACAAAATTTTCTGTTGAGAGTGCATTTGACCAAAGTTCAAACTCCAGCAGAGAGAGAAAGATCGATTATATGCTTCATAAAGGGAAATTTCCCCACGAGAAGAAACACTTTCGCTTGCCTTTACTAGTAAGATGGCCACAAGACAAAGAAAGAAGATGGATTTCTCGTTCTCCTTTTCCTTTTTCGAGGAGCCGCTTCAAATTGGAGTTGTTTTTATGATGACCGGGTTGTTCATCTTTGGACACACGATAGGAATACTCCTCTCGTTTTACGTTCTCCTTACCCCCGTCTACGGCTTCATGGTCATTTATTTGTTCTGGACTTATTTCTTTGATTTGAAAACATCCTCGAAAGGAGGAAGAAGGTCCGAGACATTTCGCAAGCTGAAAAGCTGGGAGTATTTTCGAGACTACTTTCCCGCACGACTTGTAAGAACAAAGCGGCTGGATCCAAGAAGGAACTACATTCTCGGATACCATCCTCATGGAATCATGTGTTGCGGAGCTTGGATTAATTTTGCTACAGAAGCCACTGGATTCAGTAGACTTTTTCCGGGCATAAAATCACATCTTCTCACTCTAACTTGTAAGTAACACGAAATTTAACCACTTTTTTCTTGATAGTGTGACAGGTTCTCGTGCTTCATGCCGGATTTCGTGCCTCTTGCCTGATTTTCCCAAGCCTAGGAAATTATTAACCAACAAAACAGACAGGCAAAGAGCACGAAGAATAACGCTCAAGTTAAACTCCGAAGCTTTATTGATTCAGCAGATATACTCAAAATTTGAGAGGGGAACTACTTTTGATCACTTCGGGGTAAAGAAATTCCACCTTGATCTGTACCTATTTCAAGAGTCATGTTTCTCAGCTCGCCAAATTCAACAAGATTATAATGACACTGCCATCAAAACTTAAGTTGCAACGCAACCAAAATGTGTAACTTCGTGCTATCCATTCCTTGCTGTCTATATTTGGTATTAACCTCACAAAATACGCCGTAAGAGGTAATGAGATTAACCTTTGAAAGGGAAATCCCATATTCGCATACGAAGTGTTATTTTAGTGTTCAAGTTACATGCATCTTACATAACCTCGTTTTCTCTTTTTTCTCTATTTCAACAATGGATTGGACGATAGCATAGTTTAGCTTTGCTGTCGGTGAATTCGTTAAAAGCAAATTTTATTTATGAGAATACCGCCTTACGTCTCCAAAAGGAAATGTTAGTTTTTTAATTTGCGAGACCACACAGTGACTGTCATCAGATGAAAGCGTGCCAGTGTTATAAGAACCTACTTATATCATGTTGCATAAGTCTATCCCTCTAGTGTTTCTCTTACCAAATTGCATCACGTTTGCACCAATGTTTACATTTTCATAAATTTTGTGTAATTTTTTTTTTCAGTGATGTTCAAATTTCCACTGTGGAGAGACTTTGTAATGGCAGGTGGAGTGTGTGATGTCTCCAAAGAAAGTATTCGTCATATAGTGACTAAGCAGGGGACTGGGAATGCTGCAGTGATTGTGATTGGTGGAGCAGCAGAATCTCTTGATGCCCGTCCAGGATCTTACACTCTGACCCTAAGAAACCGGAAAGGATTTGCAAAGTTGGCTTTGCAGACAGGGTAAGTGGATGTGAAAAATTGACTTAAGTTTTATTCACTTAGATCCACATACCATGCAGCACATTTCATTTAAGGCTTGCTAAAATGAAATGCACATGTCAGTGATAAATGATAAAATTAAATTTCTGTGGTAGACCTAAAAAAACTTAAAAATAGTTTCTTCCACTCAAATTCAGCATAGACTGTCTTGGTATGACTGATAATGCCCAGTCATACAGTGGCATGCTCTATTTTTGTAGTTTCTGATTGTATAAGTTAAATCAACAAATGAAAAACAACATTTGCAAAACCTTGAAACTGATATTAGAGTCTCAAAAGATTTTACCACTAGTAGGAGAAAACTTGGACAGTTTGGGTTAAGATGGAAAGTGGTGGTGTATTTGTTGTTGTTATGGAGGTGTCAATATTAACACAAAACAAGGTCCACCTTAATTTTTAGAATTTTGTAGAAAAAATACAAAGTTCTTCACTCTGATTCAATGTTAGCAAATCTCAGAGTACAAAAGGGCAAGGATTGATTATAGGACTTTGGAAAGAGGTCATCCCAATTGAGAACCAAATGCTTAGGGTTTTCCATTATTTTTTTTCCTTTTTCAGAGCATATCTTGTTCCTGTGTTTTCCTTTGGTGAAAATGAAATATATAATCAAGTTGACAACCCAAGAGGTTCAAGACTGCGAGCTTTTCAAAACAAGTTGATGAAAATACTGTCCTTTGCACCACCACTGTTTTTTGGAAGAGGAATCTCGCGTATCTTGCCCACATTTCTGCCATACAAAAGACCAATATGTACTGTTGGTAAGTGTGAATTATTAATTTCTCTGACAAAACACAAAGATAGTTAGATAGATATCTGAATTTGGGCTAAAATAGACTTGAGTAGTCAATAGTATGTTTCAAAGTTAATTTACATGTCAATTGAATTTTGGGGCCTTTTAAGAAACGAAATGAGAAAAATAATTAAGAACTTCTTACTGTATAGGCTTGATAACAGCTTGCACCCACTCCCCTCCCCCTCTCCTCCCCTCTTCTCATGGAGACTGGACTTGAGAGAGCTGTGGTAACCAAGCCTCAGGATACTGGAAGTTCATTCAAGAAATGACAAAACTGATAACTTCCTGTTCCAGTCTTCAGTGATGTAAAAATCCACCAGGAGGCCCCTAATTTTAAGCTAAAATATAATTTGGAAAAAAAATAATTATTGAGCTTAAGTACATATATATGTAACAGTAAAGTTACTTTTTTAATTTCATATTTGATTTTTTTTTGCAGTTGGTGCACCAATACCAGTAAAGAAAGCTGTAGCAAATCCAAGTGGACAACAAATAAACAGACTTCACAAGAAATATGTTCAAGGACTTATTAACCTTTTTGACCAGCAGAAGCACAGATATGGCCTGCCAAGAAGTGTTAAACTGCGAATTGTCTAGATGGGATTGTGAAGCAGCTTATTATGAGCAGAGAGCTCTATTTACTCTTAAATCAAATTATATTCTGTAAAATAAGATATACCAGACTCAATGTTCTCTAAGTAATGTACTCAGTCATCTATTACTTTTACATGTGAGTTCCCAAATGGTCTTGGAGATGTGGTGTATGAGTCCAGGATATCAACATAGTTGTGTTTTCTGTGGTGATGATTTGACTTCTGTGCTTGAGTAAGAATTATGAACACTTTTTCACACAGTATCCCGAAGGAAGGCCATGGTCACATTTAATTTGATATTCAACCTAGAAGTTGATGGATATATTGTAACCCAGAGTTCTATGGATATTTGTTTGCCTTTCATGAAATTTATATGGAAGAGTGAAATATAATTTACTAGGGAAGTTAAACTCAACTCAAAATTAGAGTTATGAATTTTTGTAAGGGAGAAACCTGTAATCAGTTTTGTCCCATTCTGGGCATATAAGCCGTTAAAATACATTGGATCTCATTTTATTATTTAAAAATAATATATTTGATTTTTATAACAGAAAATTTATCAAAAAAGTTTCTAAAACATTATTTTTACTTTTGATTATAAGAAGAGTGATCGTTAATATAACTATTTTCTATCATAGAGTCATATTTGTGTTATAAGTTTATTTATATTTGTTCAAGAAAATAAAAAAGGGTTAACAACACAGCGATTACGTAATCTTTGTCTCTCCATTTCTGACTAAGAACATTTTCCTGTTCAATGATAGGACGGTATCTTCCATAATAGCGGCAGAAAACTTAGTCCTTCTTCCCGTCTCATGAAAAGTCTTATTTCCAGTACTCGCTCATTTTGACTGGCACAATACCCCTGCCGCTTAAACATCAACTTTTTTTCTTCCTTTGAATTGGGATCTAAGGACATTTGGTAGATGATTGCACCGCTCCGAGGAGATGGAATTTGAAATTTGACCTTCGATTATAGTGTGATATTGCATGTGGGCTGTAGACGTCAACCTTCTAATCAGGATAGGAAACCACGTGCTCAAAGTCAAGTTTGATCAAGGTTAGCAGTGAAACGTGATACAGATAGGAAGCACGCTAAGACCTTTGCATGTTTATAGTCGTGTGTTATTATAGATTTGGCGTATTCTTTGAACTCTGAACAAAGATCGGGACAGGAAAATAAGATCTGAATAAGATCTGAAGATACAAAATTTTCTTCCGCTGCGATCAACGCACCGACAATACCTGCAAGTCATATACTCCCCGAGGAATTAACGATGCCTTACGTTGAATTCGCTCCGCTTCGCATCCCTTTCCACCGACGTTTGGAAACTGCAGCTGTTGCTCTGTATTATTACTCTTTTTATTTCGGTGCACTCTTAGGAACAGTAATCATCCTTGGCCTGTTTTTTACGTCATATTACCCGATTGCAATAATTTATTTAACTTGGGCCTATCTGATCGATGGACGCACTCCCGACCACGGTGGACGGCGATCAGAATTCGTAAGAAAAGCGCGAGTGTGGAAATATTTCAGAGATTATTTTCCGATCAAGCTGATTAAAACGACCGAACTGGATCCAAGCAAAAACTATGTATTTGGCTACCATCCTCATGGAGTTCTATGCGCGGGTGCATTTTGTAATTTTGCCACCGAAGCTACGGATTTCAGCAATACCTTTCCCGGAATAATACCACATTTATTACCACTAATGGGTGAGTGAATCACGAAAAAATCATTGCTCAGTAGCCTAGAAAAATCCCTCTCTCGTGACCGGGCTTTAAAATATCACGCAAATGGTTTTGCGTTGATGCTTGCGTGACTAACATAATGCCAGTGTCACGTTAAAATTTTCAAACTGCGTTAAAAATCTGACAGCGAAACAATTGCTTCATTTGACATCTTTATTTTGTATTTTGCCAACAAAATGAAGAACCACTGTAACGTGATGCTGTTTTTTGTTTTTGTTGTTGTTGTTGTTTTTTTTTTACTGAAGCCTTGTTCAAACCACCGTTATTTCGAGACTACATTATGAGCAGTGGTATGTGCAACGTCACTCGTGAGAGCTGTGAGTATATTCTCACAAAGAAAGGGCCTGGTAACTCAGTGGTGATTGTCGTGGGTGGGGCTGAGGAAGCATTTGATGCCCATCCAGACACTTACACCATAATCCTGAAACCCAGGAAAGGATTTATCAAGCTTGCATTGAGAACTGGGTGAGTGAAGGAAAAGATTTCTGTTTGACCCATTCTCCGTTAACCCTTTAACTCCCAGATCAAATTTGTAATTCTCCTTTCTGACAACCATAAAGTTCTTATAATGTTAGTTCAGAGAATTTAGTATGGAATCAACTAATTATCCCCAAATTGTTACTTTTCTTTCTTTCTTCTCATCACTTATCCAGTGGATAATGTAATGATATTGTAGGGAGAAATTCTGTCTTGGTCACTCATGGGAGTTAAAAGGGTTAAACATACTTTGTCTATTTGCTGCTAAATACCAACTTTAGCCAAAACAATGATTACCTTCAAGACTGAGGTTTTCTCTCAGAAGAGTGTGGGGTTATAGTGAAATCTTTCACAGAGGAGTTTTAATAGTTTTACACTAGACTCAAGATATTATCGATTGTGATTAATTAGTTTTCGCAATTATTTCTTCCTAATTACCTTGAAAAAAAAACCCTTTCTTTTATACCCTCTCCCTCTTGCACCAAAAGAATACCAGCTTTTTAGGTTTTCCACAACTTGACTTGCCACTACCTTCTCATTTCTGCTCATCATACTTTCCCAAAGTGTTTCTAGTTTTCCTAAAAATAGGATTTCCACGTCTACCTCAAAGTGAGAGAGAGCAAAAACCAAAGTTAGCTAGACCTTAGTGCTCACCCACTTGTTGTGTCATCTTCTAAAAGGACTTTCCTTTCTGTATTTTTTAGTGCCTCTCTTGTTCCTGTATTTGCTTTTGGAGAAAATGATCTTTTCAATCAAGTGAAGAACCCTCGTGGTTCCTGGCTACGAGATATTCAACAAAAAATTCAGAAAAAAGTTGCATTTGCCCCTGTGCTTTTTTTTGGTCGGGGTATTTTCCAGTACACATTCGGATTTCTGCCTCACAGGAGACCAGTCAATGTTGTTGGTAAGTCCTTAGTTCCAAAACAGTATCTAGGGATCATGATTTTCCTTTTTTTATGAAGCAATAGGGACTAATAACAATGATAGGGAGTGTTTCATGCACTGTTTACTAGCAAAAATCCCATTTTTGGGTTTGAAAAATTGAGCCTCATACAAATTTGGACCACTAAATCATCAATAAAGAGATGCCAACCCTTTGGAAATCAAGCAAATATTTTCTTATTTAAAACCATCCTAGAAAGATTACCTTTTGAAGGCGATAAATTAAATGATTTTCTAAGTTTACAGACAAATAGACAAATTTGATTTCGATGGGAGGTTAACTGAGCTGTATAGAGACAGGGATATTTATCATGTATCCAGGAGACACTATACAATCCATGAGAGTTGGCAAATACATAACAATGCCATTTAACCCTTAACACTCTGGTCCACTCTAAGATCAGTATGTATATTCTCCATTGTGTTCTCCATACATTCCATAACATGTCTTCCCATTTGGTAATCAATCAGTACAGAATCATCATCTTTCTCCATTATACATGTAGATCTTGAAAATATCTTAACCCTTTAACTCCCAGATCAAATTTGTAATTATCCTTACTGTCAACCAAACAACTCTTACAATGTTAGTTTGGAGAATTTAGTATTGGATCAACTAATTATTCCCAAATTGACATTTTTCTTTATTCTCAACACTTGTTTGGTTGATACTGTATTGATATTGTAAGGAGAAATTCTTTCTGGGTCACTCATGGTTAAGGTTAATTTCTGACATTTTTTCTGGCATTTTTTTTGTAGTTGGAACTCCTATTCCAGTTACAAGAGTTGCAAACCCAACTTCTGATCAGCTGGATGATCTCCACTCCATCTACATTGAAAAACTTAAGCAGTTGTTTGAAGAAAAGAAAACTATGTATAATGTTCCTGAATCAACTGAGCTGATAATTTGTTGAAATTATTTACATTAAGAGAAATGTTTGATTGAGTAATGTACTAACTAATCCAGGATTGCAAAGGTTGAGGGGTAAAGAAATCTCTCTTGACCTCCGCCTAACCTATCAGATGCAAAACTAAAACTAATCAAGGTGAGTCACTTAACTTAAGGCCACTAAAATGTATTTAATTTGAATTTTTATAAACACCTTAAGAAAATGCCTTTCTTTTGATAGGCTATTTCCATGACTAATTTGGATAATGACATTCAATCAAAACAATGGTATACATTGAATATTTATCCATACAACACATTTTATATTACAACAAAGTTTCATTAGTTTCTTAGTTTTGACATGGCATAATACAGAGATCCTTAGATCACGAGCTGATCAAAGATTCTGGTTTGGTCATTAACTTGTACTCAGACTCCACTGATTCTTTCTTATCAAGTTTGACACAAATTGTTAAAAAGTTTTTAACCCTTTAACTCCCATGAGTGACCAAGACAGAATTTCTCCTTACAATATCAATACAATATCAAGCAGACAAGTGATGAGAATGGAGAAAAATATCAACTGGGGGATTATAAGTTGATCCAATATCAATTTCTCCAAACTAACACCACAAGAACTGTATGACAGACAGTAAGGAGAATTAGCATTGAGATCTTGGGAGTTAAAGGGTTAAAGGATTCAAAGAGTTTTTGATAAAAGACATCACTGAAGTTGTGAACAAAATTTAGGCGGGGGCATTCTCCTTTAGTTACCAGCTGTCATTTGGGCCCGTCACGCAATGCTTTTCCGGTGGGGAACAGAGCTTGTTGCGTGACAAGTTCACAACTGCTGGAATGAACGGTGGATCTGCTATAAAACTTCGGGATTCGTCTATTCACTTCAGCTGTTTTATATTGTGGGATAAGTCTGGGACATACCTGTATTCACTGTTTTTTGCAAGAAACTCAAAGTGATCGTTTACACAGAGTATTGGTAACTCGTTACGCATGATCCAGGACACCTCATTGGAGTGACATCCCTATAAGTAGAAAGCTTAGAAACAAACGGGTAAACGGTAAAAATTGAACTTTTGTACCTCCATCTGTTTTCGCGCTTAACCGTGAATATTTCCTTGTGTCAGTGAGAGATTTTACCAAATTTTCAATCGAATTGATTACAAAGTTGAGCAAAATTGGCTTTTGATATTATAGAAAACGTCGTGGTCAATTCGCCGAATGCTATAAAAATATATCTGTACCTCCTTTTTCAACAATTTTAGCTTTTCAGACCGACGTATGGTTTACTTAGTAGGCACCAGACAAGAAGGGGCGCCCGAGGCGATTAGGGGCTCAATCGCGCGTTTTTTCTCTCCAACGCGCTCCTTGGAAACTGCACTTTTGTTGCACTAGCGCCTGCTACTCAGGCTGATTTTTGTTGCACTTTTTACATATTTTTAGGAACCTTATTTATAATAGAAGACAAGCTAATGTAGAAGTGAAGAATTTTACAGAGGTTACCCAATTGAATTTGTTCCAGGTTTTTTAAGTACATTTTTTAGCTTTCGAGCCGGTCACTGATACCTACCAAGAGATTATTTTTAAAAAAACCGTCAAGCCATATTCATGCCTCTCGAGAAGAAAAACATTTACAGAAAGGAGAAATGAATTATTAAAATACTTGTGAAGTTATATATAAATAAACCAATTTGCTGTCTTTTTTGATGATAAGGATGTTAATTGTCGTACTACGCTTTTGCGCTAGTTTCAAGAACATTAGCTTTAAAGTTTTTGTACTGAGCTTGATCCACTCATCTCCAGTGGTCTCACTATTGGCGTCTTCATGATAATCTGTCCAATTTTTCTGTTCCAGGGTACCTTATTGAGGCAGGGGGAGAGGGGTGAAAAAGGCAATTGCGTACTCGGACCGCTTTCTAGGGTGCAGAACCTCTTCATTTTGAACAGTTCGTTGTCTCGTAATCAACCAAAAACACATCTTTCTGAACATTTTAATTGATATCCCTCATAGAGAAACAAGGCAAATTTCCAAGCTGCAGTCTTTTTAGGAGGATAAGGAGGCTGAAAATTTGCAATTACAATAGAAAAATTGAAACATCTCGGAAATCAGAAATACTATCGCGAACACAATCAGTTTCAGTGGTGGTTCCTTCAGTTGTCTTGCCGCCTTCAAAATGGTGCTTTCACCTCAGGTCGCATTTAATTTGACAATAAAATCTAGTTTATCTTAAATTTGTAATTAAAAGTAAGTGGAACATGAACATAAGTTCACACGCTCTGGTTGGATATACACCGAACTGAAAAACGCCTAAAACCGTACAAATTTATTGTCTATTTAAAAAAAAAACACCAGAAATTACCTTTTTGAATACCTATAATTAAAACCATAATGCAGGAGCATTCCCACTGACCCCCATAGGATTGTCCGGTTTTCGGTAGCCATTTATCCGAACCCCTTTCCGTATGTCCTGGATCCGCTCTACTCGTAGCTAATCGACTTCCTCCCAAGAAGAAAGCCAGCAAGAAGCAGTAAATCCTCGCTTTTTCTAGCAATATTATCTTCCTTATCAATACAATTACATATTGATTTAATGATTATTAGATAATCTTATTATTGTTTAGCTGATGGAGCAGAAATCCTCAAAATCAACGAAATTTTGGTCATCTTGAGCCGCAAAAATTTTTTCCTTTTTAAAACAAAGAAAAAAGCCAACCCACAAGATCAAAAACTCCTGCAAACATCTGGTTCCACGAATGTCACGAAAGAGAATTTGAAACAACATATGATTGGTTCAAGTCTTGCGAGTCAACCAATAAGGTTAAATCCTTTTTCTTTTGACCAATCAGCACTCACAGAGAGAGAGTTGTGTAAGCAAGCAAGACTACCAGGTGATGTCGAAGGATAAGTTCGATCCATTTTCTGAGAAAAAGCCACTCCTTCAATTACAACTTCAACTGCACATTTACTGCATGCATCAAAAGATGTCCTTGTAAACTGCTTGATAATGGAACTCGCTATAAAGTTTGCTTTTTTGCTCGTATTCCTTGTGAGCGTGCATAGGACAGCATGTACTCATTTTCGAGGCGGCTCATTCACATATAAGCCCGTCAACTCAAGTAACCCTGCAAGCACGAAGGTAAGAGTTATATTTCCAAACATGTACACATCTCTTCGATGTGCACACGCCAAATATGAATTCATCATATCTGGAAATCGTCTTTACAAATTTAGTTTTTCCTTGCAAAACCTCCGATGTTAACAAAACGTTCGAATGTCACAGATGACTCCCTTGACAACGTTGAATTCTTGCTGAGTCGAAACCAAATTACTTGAGGTGGTACATACAAAATCTTCGCATTGCCTATCATCTTAACTTTGGGAATGAGACGATTTGCTTATATGGTGACTCAGTGGCGAATCATGACCCCTTCTTCTCGGAATTTAAATACTGGTCATGCTTGAAGACAGGTTTATGTCCTAGAAAAATAGTCCACCATGTGTGCAACATTACTCCCATTTTAAAATCTAAGGGAAAGAAGACAATTTGCTTGAGTCAGTTTGTACTTTCATCTTAAATTTGGAATGAAACGATCTGCCGGGTGATAAAGTATAACTCGGAGACGATTTATGATTCCTTCTCGGAATTTAGATATTTTTCATGCTAAAGATGGGTACGTGTCTGCGAAAAAAAAGTTTATTATGTCTGCAATATTACTCTCGTTTCCGAATCTGGGGAAAGAAAACAAATCACTTGAGTCAGTTTATACAGCAATTCTTCGGACCCTTTTTGTCTTACCTTTCGAATGAAACGCTCTGCCGAGTGATGAAGTATAACTCGGAGACGATTCATGATTCCTTCTCGGAATTTAAATATAGTTCCTTCCCGGAATCTAAATATTGTCATGCCATTGACTTGTTACACGTACAGGCTACAGTACGTACAGCGAACCATAAATGATAAACTGTCTGTAACATTTACTCACTTAAAGTATTTCCAAATCTAAGGGGAGAAACCTAATTATTTGAGTCAATGTAAACAGTATTTCCTCGGAGCCTGTCATATTAACTTTGGAATGAAACGATCTGCCGAGTGATGGGGGAATAACTCAGAGGTGATTCAAGACTACTTCTCAGAATTTGAATATTGTCATGTCGTTAACTTGAGACGTACAAGTTCATGTCGGCGAACAATAAATAATAAACTGTCTGTAACGTTACTCGCTTAGTGTATTTACAAAAGGGGAGAAGCCTGAATTATTTGAGCCAGTATAAACAGTATTTTTTCAATGGCTGTCGTCTACATTTTGGAATGAAACAATTCGCCGGGTGATAAAGTAACTCGGAGGCGATTCGTGATTGCTTCTCGGAATCTAAACATTGTTTATGCTTGCAGAAACGTTCGTGTCAGCGAGCAATAATCAACTGTGTTTATCATAAATCAGTAACATTTCTCACTGCCTTACCAAATCTCACGGGAAGAAACCAAATTATTTGAGTCAGTTTATACAGCATTTCCTGACTGTCTATCATCTTAACTTTGGGTTGAAACGATGTGGTGATAAAGTACGGGGCGAATCATGACCCCTTTTTTCTCGGAAATTATGTTCAATGAATGTTCAAGCTTAAAAGTATTAGCGTTATTTGAATTACATGCTCATTAAATTGGCATGGCTTTTAAGAGGTAAAGTTCGTATCAATGAATTTTAATCATCTATGTCTCAGCCATATTACTCACTTACCGCCTTCCCAAATCTAGGAGGAAAGAAACTTTAATGACTTAAGGCACGTGAAAGGCTAGTTTGCCAAGTAATGGCGTCGAGTAGAAGAGGCAAACGTTCGAAACTTCGCAGCTTTACTCTCAGTTCTTTGCTCTGGCAGTGAATTTATCTTTATCATCTGGCTCATTGACGTCTTGATACGCGGCACACTGAACAGTTTTCCTACAAACTACCTTCTTTTCTCACCTCGCGAGCTTTGAGGGGGAAGAGCGGTGTGACTGCTCTGAGATGAAACATTATTTAGGCAACGATCGAAGTAAGGACCAAAGCCACATAAAGTTGAAGATCTATATGCTTGGCTTTCAAGGAGAGAGATTTCCTGATTTTTCTATGGAGGTAATCTATGAAAGCTTCCAATCGATGCACTTGGAGCTTCTACCTCGTATTGCATCTGTCTGCCTGCACCGCTTTCCAATCACAGCAAACATATTGTCAAAAATCTAACTCGTCGTCATGTTCTGACGATTATAACATCATTATCTTCAAAGTAGGAAACAAAATAAACAACCTAGCAATACGTATTCTCGAAAAATTATCGCGAGCCTAACGTGATTCACGGTCGTCTGTGCCCTTTACAAGAGGTGAAGTGCGTTTGTTGTTTCGGTTTTGACATCTCGGGTGCACTTCAAAAGCAGACTTTGAGCTTGTTCTCAAACTGAATTATTGCAATGAACAAATATGCTATTCGCGTTTTGCTTGCCGCCTGCTATTTCTCCTCCTTCCTTATAGAGTTCGTACGGCTACGAAATAGGATCTCCTCCACTCAGTCTTCTCGAGTCACACGCTTGACTGAATTACTAAGAAATCGCCCCTTCCCTGCTTATACAAAGTAAACATATCTTTGTTACCACACGGTTCTATTAGCATGGAAGTCGCTGGGAAGTTTCTCCTCGTGTGTGTGTCTTTGTGCACGTATTCAGTACAAAATGCTCACATTTTCGACGCGGATCATTCACGTACAAAGCGGTGAACTCAAGCAAAACTGAGAGCACGACGGTAAGCTTATTCAGGGCTCCAAAATAAATTTCAAAATGAGTGTTCGCACAGCGGCAAGATACATAGTTGTTGTCCGGTTCGTTAAATCCTCGTCATCCAGGCCTACCCTAGGAGGGATACAACGATTTTTCTAGGTCGTGACAAACGAATTTTAGAGCTCTGCGAACGATTGAGGTTCACTAGCGAAACATACACAAGAGCAAGCAGAAGGGCAACCACATAGTAATTATGCCAAGAGAAAGCAAACTTCGACAAGCGAAAACACAAGCACAAGAAAAATTAAACATTTTGGATCCGCGCTACTCGTAGCTGGTCGACTTCATCCCAAGAAGAAAACCAGTAAGAAGCAGTAAATCCTCGCTTTCTCTAGCAATATTCTGACTACGAGTTATCTTCCTCCGAATCAATACAATTACATATTGACTTAATGATTATTAGATAATTTTATTATTGTTTAGCTGATAGAAAAGAAATTCTAAAAATCAACGAAATTTCAGTCATCTCGAGCCGCAAAAAATTGTTCCTTTTTAAAACAAAGAAAACTGCCAACCCGCAAGATCAAAAACTTCCGCAAACATTTGGTTCGTCAAGTGTCACGAAAGAGAATCTGAAAAAAAATATGATTGGTTCAAGTCTTGCGAGTCAACCAATAAGGTTAAATCCTTTTTCTTTTGACCAATCAGCACTCACAGAGAGAGAGTTGTGTAAGCATGCAAGACTACCAGGTGATGTCGAAGGATAAGTTCGATCCATTTTCTGAGAAGAAGCCACTCCTTCAACTTCAACCTCAAGCACACATTTGCTGCATGTAGCAAAAGATGTCCTTGTAAACTGCTTGATTATGGAACTCGCTGTAAAGTTTGCTTTTTTGCTCGTATTCCTTGTGAGCGTACATAGGACAGCATGTACTCATTTTCGAGGCGGCTCATTCACATATAAGCCCGTCAACTCAAGTAACCCTGCAAGCACGAAGGTAAGAGTTGCATTTCCAAATACACATCTCTCGGATGTGCGCACGCCAAATATGAATTCATCATTTCTAGAAATCGCCCTTACAAATTCAGCTTTTCCTTACAAAACCTTCGATGTTAATAAAACGGTCGAACGTCACAGATGACTCCCATAACTACGTTGAATTCTTGCTGAGTCGAAACCAAATTACTTGAGGTAGTACGTACAATATCTTCTCAGTGCATATCATCTTAACTTTACGAATGAGACGATCTGATGATGTGGTGACTCAGTGGTGAGTCATGACCCCTTTTTCTCGAAATTTAAATATTGTTCACGCTTGAAGACAGGTTTACGACTTCGAAAAATAATCAACTATGTGCGCAACATTACACCCATTTCCAAATCTAAGGGAAAGAAGACAAATTGCTTAAGTCAGTTTGTACAGCATTTCTTCAGAGTCTTTCATCTTAACTTTCGAATGAAACAATCTGTCAGGTGATGAAGCATAACTCGGAGACGATTCATGATTCCTTCACGGAATTTAAATATAGTTCTTTCTCGGAATTTAACTATTTTGATGCCGTTCACTCGAAACGTACAGGCTCATTACAGCGAACCATAAATAATAAAATGTCTGTAACATTACTCACTTAACGTATTTCCAAATCTAAGGGGAGAACCCTAACTATTTGAGCCAGTATAAACAGTATTTTCTCATTAGCTGTCTTCTTAAATTTGAAATAAAACAACCTGCCGGGTGATTCCTTCTCGGAATCTAAATATTGTTTGTGCTTGCAGAAAGGTTCATTTCAGCGAGCAATAGTCAATTGTGTTTATCAAATCATTAAATCATCAACGTTTCTCACTGCCTTACCAATTCTAACGGGAAGAAACTAAATTATTTGAGTTAGTATGTTCAGCATTTCCTGACTGTCTATCGCCTTAACTTTGGGTTGAAACGATGTGGTGATAAAGTACGGGGCGAATCATGACCCCTCTTTTCTCAGAAATTATGTTCAATGAATATTCAAGCTTAAAATCAGCGTTATTTGAATTACATGCTCATTAAATAGGCATGGCTTTTAAGAGGAAATGTTCGCTGCGATGAATTTAATCATCTATATCTCACTTACCGCCTTCCCAAATCTAGGAGGCTAGTTTGCCAAGTAATGGCATCGAGTAGAAGAGGCAAACGATCGAAACTTCGCAGCTTTACTCTCAGTTCTTTGCTCTGGCAGTGAATTTATCTTTATCATCTGGCTAACTGACGTCTTGATGCGCAGCACACTGAACAGTTTTCCCAGAAACTACCTACTTCTGTCACCTCGCGAGTTTTGAGGGGGGAGAGCGGTGTGACTGCTCTGAGATGAAACATTATTTAGGCAACGATCGAAGTAAGGACCAAAGCCACATAAAGTTGAAGATGTATATGCCTGGCTTTCAAGGAGAGAAATTTCCTGATTTTTCTAGGGTGGTAATTTTTAAAGCTTCCAATCAGTACGCTTGGAGCGTCTAACTCGTATTGTATCTGTCTGCCTGCGCCTCTTTCCAATTACTCCCCAAAAAGCAACCATATTTTTAAAATTGTAACTCGTCGTGGTTCTGATGTAAAAATTTTTAGACACCTAGACGATTATAACACCATTATCTTCAAAATAGGAAACAAAACAAACAACCCAGCTATTACTAACATGCAGTCCTCAAAAGTTATCGCGAGCCTAACTTGATTCACGGCACATAAATCAAAATGTGTCTGTGCCCCATTACAAGTAGTGAAGCGCCGATTTGTTGTTTCGGTTATGACATCTCGGGTGAACTTCAAAGGCAGATATTGAGCTTGTTATCACACTGAATTATTAAAAATAACAAATATGCTCTTCGCGTTTTCCTTGCCGCCTGCTTTTCTCCTTCTTTACTAGACCTTTTACTACGGCTACGAAAAGAACATCCTCCACTTAGTTGCTCGACTGGATTTTAAAGAAATCGCTCCTCTCCTGCTTATACAAAGTAATCATATCTTCGTTACCACACGGTTTTATTAGCATGAAAGTCGCTGGGAAGTTTCTCCTCGTGTGTGTGTCTTTGTTACACGTATTCGGAACAAAATGCTCACATTTTCGAGGCGGATCATTCACATTTTAATCTTTGCACAATGGTTTCGTCGAACCCGTTTTCATTGTGAAATCAATTGCAAAAAAACTGAGAAGACTAGTTTTCTTCAATGTAACCATCTAAACACCTACACGGAAATAACCACCCTACTGTTCTATTCAACGAGGAAAAATGTTTCTTTGTTTTGTCATAGTAACGTATTGACAATTCGGTCTTGTCTCTTCTAGGCATCACGGAATTCGCATGTTTCTTTATTGTGGGGTTCGTTCTCCTATTTTAAACGGTCTTCGTCCTGTTAATGAAACTTTTTGTTGAGATCATGTTTTAGACCATACCATGTATAAGCGCAGATTTCGAAATTCGAAAGAATTTATGTTGCTAAGTTTCAATTGTTTTTTTCCGTCTTCTGAAGGCTAAAAAAGTCCCTGCAGTTCTTTCTTGAGGTCCTTAAGCAAGAGTTTGAGTTCAAAGGTTTTCCAGAAACTTTTTAACCGACGAGATCTCAAATGCAAAACATTTTTCCCATCTCTTTCAAGACATTAGAGTTGGTTTGGTCTGGGGTTCAAACCTTTATTCTCTCTCGTACCCAACACCCCAGCGCTAAACCAACTGAGCCAACCGAGCGGTGTGTTTTAAACTAATGTTGTAGTAATTTAAATCTATTTTCAGGTGATCATAACATTCCGGATGGGTTGGCGAAGATCCTACTCTGGGGACACATTCTGTGACCAAAATACAATAAACTCCGGTTGGCTGATCGGCATCAATGGCGACTTAATGTGCAGATCCGGCTGCTCTGGCAGCGTCGGGAATTTACTCTTCAAATGCTCGGATTTCAGTGTACAAGAGGACTGGACAACTGGCACTAACAGCTTTGAATATACGTTTCCCGTCACATCATCTCGCTACTATAAAGTCAGGTTTGTGATCATTAAGCATCTATAAAATCACTGACAAGGCTTTCCGAGTCCAAACTGAGAGTGAGGTTCAGTGAGGGGAGTACTTATTAAAAACTTTAAGTCCCAGACTGGGGGCTTTTTAAGAGGGAGGGGTGCTACTTGATATAAGGGAGGAGGAGGGGAGAGGACTTTTAGAGGTGTACCAATACGGAATCAGATACTGATTAGAGGGCATTTCGATGAGATGTCGCAGAATCTAAAACAAATTTATTATCGTTGGTAGCCAGTCAGAGGAAAGGTACATATCAAAGGAGCCAATGGGGAATCTAAGTTAACTCCTGGAAGGGCGGGGGAAATAAGATTGTCAGTGATTTTGAGTGCAATTATGTAGACCAATCAGAGCGAAGTTTAGCCAAAAATGTAAACAAAAATGCAATCTCGAATTCTCGATATTCAATCGATGATTATTCTTTTTGCTTTTTGCAGTTATTCAGGAGTCAACTGGATTGCTCTCGTACATGCATCAGCAGCTTCATGGGAGATTGGAATGTACGTTAACCTTACTAAAAGAAGTGACACTGGACGTTTGAATACGTCGCCAGTGGCGACAATGACACCAATTGTTCGTTTGAAATACGGCTGTAACCATTCTATAGTTATCCCAGGTATGTAAACCTTAGTATGTATACCTCGAATGCAAGTTTACCAACTTCTCCTCCCCCAGTCATATCTTCTCTCTTTTTACCTTGCACTCGAAATCACCCTTAAGTTCAATTCTTTTGAACAGAAAGTAAATTCTCTCCAAAAGATTCATGTCTCTTTCAGAGAAGAATTTATCATTTCAGATTCTTCGTTCCCAGAGGAGAATTATAATTCTGAGGAGAAGAAATCCGGTTCTCGAGGATAGAGCTGTGGGTCTTCTCCCAAGGTTAAGAATTCTTATAGGAAGAATCTCGTGTATGTCTGATTCTTGTTAGAAGAATACTAGTTTTTTCCCACAAGAACAAAATTATTTCGTCAAGAACTATTTAATGGTGTATTCTTCTGAAAAGAAACACTGCTCTCCTCCCAAGATTGTCAGTTTCTGAGTCTCCGCATGAGAGTTTTTGTCCTTCACCCAAGAAAGAATATTCGTTTTTAAATTGATCGTTCTTCACAAAAGATTGACTTTGCTTGTGTGAAGAATCACATTCAAAAGCATTCGTGCTGATAAAGTGTTTGTGCTCTTCTGGGGTCTGAATATTCTATTGAGAAGAATCTTTTGCCTTTGCTGGGTTTTGTTAAGTTATTGAAAGGATTGATTTTCCTCTAACACAGTAAATTACATTGGTTCCATTTTTTAACATACAATCAACATAACAAAACTAACTCACATATTTTTAATGTATGCATCAAGTTGTCAATGAACAACTATATCAACATTCATATCTCATTTTTTGTATCTTATAATAATATCATATCACTTTTAAATCATACCTCATTTTTTTATCTATTTTTCAACACACAATTCACAAAAAATATAATTAACTTACATATTCACAACAAGCTCGATTTTGTTTAATTTGTCGTTCTTTTTTATTCTTCTTCATCTTGTTCTTCTAGTTCTCGATCTTGTGATGAGTTTTTTTGTAGCCTTTAGGCTCTCTTATTTTTTTTTATTCTCTCTTATGCTTACTATGTGAAACCTTGCTTTTCGTTTTGTTTTGTTTTTGTTTATTTTTTGCATGAAACTTTTCAGAACGTCTCTCTTCTTTTACTCACATCTTTATTTCGCCACAAGTACTAAAACCATGTTTCTACATTTTTGTTATCTAGTGACCGACGATGACAAAGACGAGGTGCGGTGTCGTTGGGCGAGAAGTAACGCTGGAGAGTGTGGCGGAATATGTGGAGGATACGGGTTACCAAATGCATACATGTTTTACGTAAGATTATTGTCTCATTTCTATCAGCTGAACTTGTATGTTATCAATCAGATTTAGGCTCCTTTCCGAGGGCTGCGCTGCGAAATGATTTTTGATTATGTGATGTACTCACTTTTGGTCGGGTAGATCTTTGTTTTCAAAATCAGTCGTATCAGTTACGGCATAAAAGATCATTTATAATCTCCTACAAAACGTGCCGGAAAACATGCATTACAAACAAAGGATATTTTTGCTTTGGTCTGCTGGGTAGCGGTGCCCCAAGAAAGAATGTAGCGTTTTGTGTCGTTTTATCTTATACATGTGTTTCTCCATTCTTCATGATATTTTGCACTGTTTTTCCTCTGACACATTCACTGTTTCTGTTGATACAGCGCGAATGCAGAATCACCTACAGTGCAACGGAATACATTGGCTTTTACGCTGTTGCTGCCATGATCGAAGATTTTGCCTCGCCAACAGACACACAGCCACTGAGTGGCATTCCGTTGCAGTTTTTGGTGTACGTGTTCAATTCAAACGAAGCGTGTGATGAACGCCCGGAGTTCACGGAATACACGCGGGCCGAGGGATCGTGTATTGGAATCCCTCCTGGAGGAACATACTTCGATCGTATCATCGTGCGAGCCGGTGGACCATCAAAAAGGTAAAAGGTAACAAAAAGTAAAAGATAGTCCAAGTAGATGTACTGGCTCTAAAGGTTCCGTTAGTTGCGCGGGCTACCTCGTAAATTGTGGGTGAAATGTAAAGGAAGTTGTCCCTTAAATTTTCTCGACGAGTGAATGAACGTTCGCTTGCATTCAAAAAGCGATTAACTTAGCATTAAAGCAACTTGAGAGAAATATATTCACAGTTCTCATTTTTTCCTGCTGTATTTGCAATATCATTCCAGAATTGTGGAGGTCACTACCAACAGTCCTCAGGGATTCATCAAGTCTCCTGTGGCTCAGTATGCACCACAGGAATACTACGTTAATGTCACGTGGACACCGATATCATCAGAGATAGAGACCAAACTGTTTTGTTTCACGGGATTGGAGGATTCCGGGTATTCATATCATTGGTCTTTTTGTCTTGTATTCACGGTTAAATATAAAACATTGTTCATATTATAGAAAGAAATACATACGATTTAACCCTTTATCCCCTAACATCAGAATGCAAGTTCTCCGTACTGTTCTCGATATATTTCTTACGATGCTTACAAGGAGAATTTGTCAAACAATCAAGAGCTTCTAATTTACCTTATTCTCATGATCTTAATGTTTGATTCAGGGGTGATACTGTGAAGAGAAATTAGATGAGTATCACTTTAACTTGTTAAAGAAGTGGTGTGCTAGTTATCTTATGAGAGTTGTGAAAGGTTTTCTTTCTTTCATTTGTAAACCTTTTAATTTACTTTCAGAATTTCAGTAATCAATTTTGTTTATATGTTGTGTTTAGGGTAACAACTGAACAGAGATGCGTCGATCTGCTTGTTGGAGGTAAAAGTTATCTTAATTCATTACCGTTACTTGAAGTAAAGCCTGATTAACCTGATTGGCCCACTGGAATTTCTCGATTAATCTGACTGGCCCACTGGAATTTCTCGATTAACCTGATTGGCCCACTGGAATTCCCCGATTGACTTGACTGGCCCACCGGAATTTCTCGATTAATCTGATTGGCACACTGGAATTTCCCGATTAACCGCTTGATTGGCCAACTGGAATTTTTGCGATCGCTCGTCGCTTCTCTTTGAGCAGACTACCGGGTCTTCTCCTTCATTTCGTGACAGACTGTCATTGAATTAATTCTAATTTTTTCAAGGCGAAAACGGTTCCACAGTTTTCGCGTAGTCATTTTTTTGTCGTTGACTTCAAAGAAGAGGACTCGATTTGTCTGCTTTACCAGGCCCATAGCCACTCAAGGCCGTCGAACAAGGCCCCTGTGAGGTTTCAGATTGGGACGAGGATTGAAGTTTTAATTTCTAATTTCAGTTGATCACATAGCCGCTCAAGGCCGTCGAACAAGGCCCCTGTGAGGTTTCAGATTGGGACGAGGATTGAAGTTTTAATTTCTAATTTCAGTTGATCACATGGTTTGTACGCCTAACTTGCCTATATATATATTTTTTTTTTTGCTAGTTGCGCCTCCACAATTTGCTAGTCTCTCACCACAAGGAGAAGTTCTTCCCGACACAAGTCAATGGACCATCACTTTTGACAAACAGGTGCCTTGAAGTATTATCTGAGGGAGGTTGGGAGTTCCATAATGATTGAAACCTAGAATATAACACCGGCTGAAATTTATAGGTTCTGTGGTATTTGATGCTGAAATATGATTTGAATCTATCAAAATGTTTATTACAGTTCGTGCGTCCCACACGAAGCAGCCACATCCGGATCCATCGATCTGACGACACAGTTGTTTTCAGTGTTGACGTGGCCATTACTGCCGGGGTGTTGTATCCAGTTGGGAGTCTGGGGCGGACTATTCAGTTCACGACGTCGCTGACCTTTACAGAGAAAGAGAGTTACTATTTAACAATGGATCATGGCAAGGATACTGGATTTATCTCATGATCATACAGTTTATGTAACAGATGTTGAACCTATCACCCAATGAAATCGCCTCCATACAACTTTCTCCAAACTTTTCCTGAATTATCAATTTGATAACTGTACGTATTGAAGCCCGGAGGAGAATCGTGTTTTCTCCAAATCGTTCCATGATCTAAGAACTTTGTCCTTAGAACATTTGTTGCAGAAAAAGCGGCTAAAATTTGAGAAACTGCATCAAAGGTTTTTAATCAAGCCTGAAGTCAAAGCAAATGTCATATTGACGATATTTTCTGGTTCCCTTGCAGGTGTGGCTAAAGGTGTTACCTACTGTGGTGCTGAGTCGCCTGCCATCACAGATCCTTACACCATGAGGATAAAGATAAGTACGTTGTTATTTCTGATATTGCTAACGACTATTGTCAATAGATTAGAAACTGTTTATAACCTCTTGTTATTACACTATCATCATCAAACTATTTGTCTTTTTACAGAGGATATCACCCCACCTGTTTTAACATTCATTAATGCTCCATCTCGTTCTGGGGGTGACTTTCAAATCACTTGGACAGCAAACGAAAATGTTACAGCTCAGTGCACAGTGCAAACTCCTTCCCTGCTCTTTGGTCAGCCATGCAATTGGTCGTGGACTGGAAGCAATCTAACCGAGGGCTTCTACAGCATTTATGTTCAGTTAACAGATTTGGCGGGAAACTCCGCACCGCCTGCCAGACACTCATGGTTTGTAGGTATGTCGAGAGTGGAGACCCGTGTTATTAAAACCACTGAAATGGAGGTAAAAGCTTGAATAGGATGCTGAAATGATTTTTGTTCAGTAAACGGAACTGGCGGAAAACTCGGCGGCGCCAGCCAGACATTCATGATTGGTAGATATGTCGAAACAATTAATTTTTCTATTGAAATGGAGACAAACACTTGATGAGGGTACTGAAACGATAATAGTTATGGCAGCCAAGCGATTTGATCAAAGGAGGTTCGTTTATCATCTTTTGAAAAAAGTAATTATGTATGAAACCAGTGAAGCAACTTCGTGATTGAGAGATGATGTCTTAGAGAATATGCAGCTTTTTCAATGTAACTTACGCGACGCAGAAAGAAAGACATAGAAAGCTCAATCCGAAATTCATGATCGATGCATAGATTACAAATTCAATGCCTTCTTAGTTTTTGCTGTTTTTTCTTTGTTTCATTTTTCAGACCGCACACCACCCATCGTTATCATAACTTCAAAGCCCGCTACTGTTAGCAATCAAAATTCATTTACGTTCAGCTTCAACTGTCGAGAAACCTGTTCGTTTGAATGCTCTGTACGTCAACATGGTAACAATCCCACATATTCACAGTGCAACAGCAACAGATACACGGCCAGCAATCTGCAGAACGGAAAGACCTACGTTTTCTATGTACGGGGAACGGATGACGTCGGGAACCAGGGAAATCCGACTAGTTATAAGTGGAAAGTTGGTAAGTCAATCCTCCCTGGGTTAAAGAAAAAAACTTTGCACTTTTGTTGGTAACAACAAAATTAGTGGGGGGGGAAGGGGAGGAAAGGATGTCAATGGAAAAGTAATGTATAGAGGAACAGCTCATCTGAAATCATTGTGACCTAAGAAAAAATTTTGCTATATCAATATCATCTTGCTAAGCGTTTACCAGATAGTTAAAATCACCGTAATCTAACAACATGGATTAAGAAACAGTTCTCAATTTTCTGAAGCTTCACATGATAAAGTCTCTTTTGCAGTGCCATTTACTGCATGTCTTAAAACTGCATAAATGACATAGTTCTGTAGAGAGCCTGGTAACAATCCATAATTTGATCAACTTGACTTATTCGGGTTTTATTCCTTTCGTCTCAACCTTCACAAACAGATTTACAACCACCGATTATCTCAAACATAGCTTCTCAAACAGTGGATTGCAAATCAGATCTCAGCTCATCAACCCTCGTCAAACCTTCAGTCAACGACAGCGAAGGATCGAACATAACATTAAGACACCAAGATCTTCCTGGAAGTAGCTGCAGCTTTCAAAGAAAATGGACCGCGACAGATCAAGCAGGTAACAGTGCCTCCAAAATACAGAATATCAATCTCATCAACCTCAGGCCACCGACAGTGACTTACCAAGGTAATGTCACCATTGCTTGCGGAAGCTTTGACGAACAACAGCAAGATATGCGGGATGCCATTAATGTCACTCATCCTTGCGATCGGCCAATCACGATAACACACGTAGATTCTGTTCCCACAATTCTTTGCGCTAGGACCTTTAAGAGAACATGGACGATTACAGATGACTGTGGGAAGCAAGTATCTGTTATCCAACAGATTCGGATCTTAGCTCTTCAGTTGCCAGACTATCCCAAAAATGGACAGGTTAATGTGGCGCTGAGAGAATCGCTCGAGTGGCCTCGGTATCCAGGGTCTGCTAGTTACAACGTCTACCTCTGGCAATACGGATCTACAAAGCCTTCATCACCAACTCACTGGTATGTTGATAAATGAATAAGTCATCTTTCTTTTTTTTGTAATGCTCTCCAAAAGAAAAAAAATTATTTAACCACAGAGTTCTTGAACAACCACAGCACGACGAACTGATGTGTGAATTATTTTACAGTTTCTGTAGCTCATGGCTAATTTAATAATCTTCTTTCAGGACTCGTTATCGAAGATATGCTCCCTCTTACCCAGGCTACCCCGCCGACACTAAGATGCTGTGGAGAATTGAATACGTTCTGAGTTCAGGTGCTCTGGTACCCAGTCCCATCTGGGGATTCCAAACCAGGGCTTTTCCGGATTTTAAAGTTGAGAAGGTCATAGTACCTCCAAACGCTTTTTCTGGTCTGAAGTTTGAAGTGTCGTGGGTAGTTCGAAATATTGGTAAGGTGGGAAATGCATTTAAGACGTGGTATGATGCAGTGTACATTGGAAAAAGTACTGACTTCCGTAACGCAAGGTTGGTTTTAAAGACTGATTTTATTGTTATTGAATTTAATTATCTATAGGAAACGGACTTTTTATAACCAAAACAAAAAGGCAACTGTTGAAATGAGTTTTAAACACTTGACCAATCTAACAAGAAAGTCGCTTTACTTAACTGTTTTTCTTGCCAAATTATTTTGGTAACATCGTGTATGATTAGCATATACTCTCGTGCTCTTGTTGGTAAACAATAACTTTATCGTTATCATCACCACGTACGAGAAAATAAATTTACATTATCACATAAAATGCGGTATTATACAGGGATTTCTGGCCCAAGGAGAAGCCGTAATAACACACGTGAAAAAATTTGGTATTTTTTCACGTGCTTTGATATAGCCTGTGACTGCCAACAAAGTCAGGTTTCAACACTTGAACGCTTTAAAATTTATTTACATTACGGTTGATCGTGGTTGCTAAAAGGAACAAATAATTACAAGTTATTGCCAAGTAGAAGGAAGAGGAAAACGCAAAATAACAGAGGAAATAAAATCGGACAAGGAAAGTCACTTACAAACGTCGTGTGACTTGCGAGCATGAAGGACGGAAAAACTAAAAGATTATCGCAGTGAAGGAATCGATGTAAACATAATGCACTCTGATCCTCCAATGTTCAATTTTTTTGAGAAACTTTTACGAAGGAAATAAAACAAAGCAGAATTATGCGAAAAATACAAATACAGAATACAAATCGCCGTGAGTGAAAAGAATGCGAAAACAATAAGAAAAATGTGCGTGCAAAAACACAAAATTGTAATTAGGAACGTAAAAGGAAAGAAATCACAAGGTGGGAATGCCGCAGTAACATAGCCAATCAGTTGCTGGCACGTCACTCGCCTTTGACGCCACTCGGTCAGGTTGATGAATGAACGGCAAAGCCTTCAAGATTCCAAATACAAGGTAGTTTGTCGGAACTTTCTCGGATAGTGGTGGTTAAAACGCTAAAAAAATCCGTATCGCTAACAGACAGTGAAGTTCACACTTTCCTAGAAGGGGAAAAAACAATTTACCAAAAGATAAACCGAAAGTTAAGTATTCAGTGCCTTTGGTGTTGGCATTTCTCGCGGCTGAGAATGAAAATCGTCAACTGGAAGATTTGCCATTGGCCGATTTTGGCCGTTTACCTGAAAGACTTCTTTCTGTCGTTAAAGACAAAGTCAATAAATGATAATTTTTTAAATTGAAAATTACGACCATTGTTGTTTTTGTTATCATGATTCAACGTATTTTTCTATCTTAAGAGTTAGCGCCAACGCACTCTACGATTGTTATTTGGGAATTGCCGATTCATTTATTTTCATTTATTAATTAAGTCGGCTTTTCTTGTCAGTAAAGGGCTATTTGGTCTATGCGATAAACAAAATTATGCATGATTACTTGTAGATATGGAATTTCTCTTCTCGTGTTCAACGCGACATCTCACTCGTTCGCTACGCTAAACCATGAGTTATCAAGTTGAACACTCGAAGAGAAATTCCATATCTACGCGCGCCCATGTATTATCATCTATATCTCTTGCACCACGCTAATACTATCGTTACGTTTATTTCACGTATTTCCTATCTTGCTCTCTGAAACTAAGAACAACTTCCACATTTTGATCCCAGGCGTGCAACAACTGTACGACGCAAGGAGATTCTCTTTCAAAATGATGGTTATACTGCAAGGGGAACAGTTCAACTTAGAGTTGACGATTATGGCGTGTATTATGTTTTCGTTGAAACGGATAGGTACAACAGAGTAAGTACTAAGAAAATTACTTTTTAACAATATGCAAAATCGTCCTCGCCTTCTTTCAAAGATGTGAATTGGTATTGAAATGAATGTAAATAGCACATTTATTGAATTTCCTTTTGTTGCAGATAAGTGATATCAACCGTGCTAACGATTTGCTGTTAGGTGACAGTCCGGTGCAGGTGGCGCTCACTCCCCCACCAAACCTGAAAATTGTTAAAATTGTGCTTCCAAGTCCATCGCTTTCAGGTGAGGAACTCTCTAACAGTAGTTGAGTAAATTATTAATAAATAATGGAATGGTTCTGCTTTGTTATAACCTAAATGTCAGCTGCTGTGTATGTTCAGTCTGGGTGTGATTAAAACCTAGATAATTTTTTTGCTTTCCTATAGGTAAAGCCATCAACATAACATGGACAGTGAAAAACGTTGGAGTGGGCGTAACTGCCCATGGTGCATGGTATGATAGAGTTTACCTATCTAAGGATGACAAAAGAGGTTAGAGTCTTCCTTAAATCCTATCTACATGTACTAATTTTGAGGGTACTCTTCAACAAGAGACAGAAATGAAATTTCTGTATCATTTAGCCTGTGTTTTGCAATGATTTTAACCTCTTGAAAAGGAAAATTTCAAGACTGTAAAATCAAAGTAACTCTATAATTCCTCTTTTTCTGTTCAGACTGGTCTGACTGGATCCTTGGCACATTTTACCATCATGGAACACTGTCTGTTGGTGCAAGCTATAAGCGGAAACAGCTCGTTACTCTGCCCAACGCAATCTATGGCAATTTTTCGATTTTGATAGTAACGGACATTTACAATCATGTCTTTGAGCACAACAATGAGGGTGACAATCTTAAAGTGCAGGTAATTGACCAACCAAATCGAGTGATTAGGAACGTTCTCTCATGACTTCTATAGCCTATCCTACGTGCCACACATCAGATATGAAATAAATCATACTAGACCTCAGGAAAGGCTAATCCGATAGATGCCGTCCAATTGGGTGTGATTTTTTATCTTCGAGAAAGTGTATTGACGTGTTTGTCTTTACAACTCCAAATTGATCATAGAAAAAGAAGGCAAATGAAATTCATTTCACCAAAAAATTCTGATCAGAAAAAGAGAATTGGAAACCAAATAGTACTGGAATTAGCGCCCCAATAGCATCTGGGAGGAATGAGTTCAAGCTCGATCGAAGTTAGTATTTTTTTAGTTTCCCTAGTTTGAGATTTAGAAAGGATGATTCTCAGGTAAGATTAACTAACAAATTACATAAAACTTACATCTTGCGTTATTTTGCAGGCGATGCGAATACACTTAAACCCTCCCCCAGATCTGGTTGTTACTTCCATCACGACACTGGAAAATTACTACACAGGAGATGAAATGGAAGTTCGTTTTAACGTTTCAAACAAAGGCCTTGGGGAACCCTTTTACTACTGGTGGAGAGATCGTGTGGTGAGTGGGAAGCTATCGGTGGAATCATAAGGGTTCCCCTACCTCTTCGAATTTTTTATCACATCAGTGCCGTGAGCGATTGCCTCGTGATCTTTTCTCCTTGGATGGAATCCATGAATACTCTTAGTCCACGAACACCAAACTTTAGTCGTTCCCATGACTCCTCCAGGCAGCATGGAGTTTCATGATTAGTTGAGCCTATGAGTTATTGACTTTCGAAAAACACAAGTTATCTATAACCAAAGAGAAGTTCCCGGTTCAAACATTAGATGGAATGAAACACATTGTAATGTCTAAAACTAAATCTATCAAAAAAAAATGAAAAGTAAAATTCTGTTGAAAGGGCCCCCTAGGATGAATAAGCTCCCCCTTCCCCCCCTTTAAAGTAAATCACCAGGCATGTAGAGACCCTTTGGGGTTTCATTGAGAGCGTTGCCTGTTCCCAAATCTAAAATCTTTCATCGGGTATTACACAGGTAGACTATCGTACTCTGAATTATCAATCAACAAGATTATATATATCTGTGGGTATGTTGACGTACACAAATGGATAGATCATTTAAATCCTATTTTGCTTTCATTTTCACAGACTATCACAAATACTGCATCATTAAGATATGAAGTTCTTGGAGTCACCCGATTTTCAGGGCTGTTTCCGCCCTCCTCGTGGTACGTTAGAACTGTGAATCAATTCATTCCTTCTAGTTGGGAAACTGGGCAATACAACATCACCGTATTCACGGATTATGAAGATGACGTTTTTGAATTCATCTTTAACCATAATAACGAGAAAACTGTCCAGGTGAATGTCACTCGCAGGCTGCCCGACCTGACCGTTACGCATGTCAACGCTTCTGTAACCGCTGACGACGTCCAAGCCTACTTGAATGTCTCTTTTACGGTTGAAAACGTTGGAAAGGGAGTAACAACCGAGGCACCGTGGTTCGACTCACTCTACATCTCGCCGCATGCTCATTTTTCGCAAAGCAATACAATATGGCTGGGAGATTTCCCTCACAGAGTCAACCTGGGATCAGGTAAACAATACAGCATCGATACAGGACCCATACGCATAAACAGGGATCTTTTTGGTCAGCGGTTTATATTCGTTAAAACTAATACGTATGGTTCAGTCACAGAAAATGACCAAAAGATCAACGTCAGATCCTCTGGAAATGTGACATTTCCACAAGTTCTGCCTAATCTCGTTGTGGCAAACTTTACTTTGTTGTCCCGTAAGGAAGCCCTGTTGAGTGATTCTGAAGTTTCGTTGAAATGGACTGTTGAAAACAATGGAACAGGAAGCACACTGAAGAAATCCTGGCAAGACGCGGTTTACCTGTCAAAATCTCCAACCGTACAAAATAACTCAACAAAACTCGCTGACGCCTTCTTCAGACAAGCTATAAGTCCTGGTCAAAGTTACACCAAGGTTTCATTTACGAAGTTACCATCTGATATATCTGGAACTTATTATTTTGTTTTGAAAGTCAACGAAGACGGCTCAATAGTTGAAAAAGGTTCGCAGATGAACAACTTAGCTTGGATTCGTGCAGAAATTTTACCTAAACCACTGCCAGACTTAGCCGTTGTAGATACATCTTTTGTTTTTGAAGAAAAGCGTCGTTTCCTGACGGTGTATTGGTCAGTGGCAAACTTTGGAAGCTCGATGCGCGAGCCTTTGACTTGGGTGGACAGCGTTACAATCTCTTCCTCAAAAGGCGTCATCGATGGCAAAGATGCTCATGTTATGGCGTCTGAAACCGTTACTGCTAAACTAGATGAACAGCAAGAGTACCAGCTTTCCGCTGCTCTACAGATTAGCGACAATATAATAGGAAAGTTTTACCTACATGTGGTCACAAACTCCAACAAGACCCTCTCTGAAGTCTCTGGAACCTCAAATAATATCGGTGTTTCAAGGAACCCTCTCAACCTTCCGCCTCCCCCGGCTCCCAGATTAATCTTGACTATTATTTCAAGTTTACCGTCTAAGATCACCCTTGGAGTTCCTTTCTCCATCAAGTTTCAGGTAAAAAACGTGGGAGTTGCTGCAACGAAGAAAACATCATGGACAGATGCGCTTTACGCTTATGACAGAAAGGATGCAAATCGTTCAGAGGTCACTGAGAGAGGAACGAAATTAAAGGATATTCCCCACATAGGAGCCTTGAAAGCTAAATCGTTTTATGAAAAAACTATCAACGTTTCAATTCCACATGGATTTCGTTCTTCGGCTTTCATTCGTGGCTTTGCTGACATCCACAGTCCTTTTACACCGTGGCCAGAGATTGTTGAACCTATCAATAATACGCAACCTAACGTTACACATCCTAATGTCACCCAGCCTAATGTCACGCTACCAACGGTAACACCAACTGTTCTGACGCCCATAGTTATAACAGAAGGATTGTTACCAGATCTGCAAGGCTCACTGGGAGACTCAAAGGTGCAAACGCGTGGCGGTCAGCCATTAAATGTCACTTTCAACGTCACAAACACCGGGGAATCACCTGTATGGGGTGCGTGGTATAATGCGCTGTATCTCAGCCAGGACGTGCTGATCGACCCATTTGATCGGAAACTTACCACTGTTAGAGCAACCAATCTCGCCGTGAACGACACCGTGTCCTTAAGCGCTGAGGTCTTCATTCCCTTTGACACTCTTGATTTGGACTACTACCTGTTACTGTCAGTGGACAGCAAAAGCGCCATCTGGGAGAGTGATGAACAGAACAACGATGCTTACCGGCTGATAAAAATAAACAAGACATTCAGTAGTGACTTGGCGGTACTGTCTGTTTCCTCGTCTGGTGGAGAATTCTCTTATGGCCAAGGTAAGAACTATTTAAAACATTACACCCCTAAATGGAAAAGCTAAATGCTGCCATCTCTTTTTGCTAGACGATTAAAAAATAAAGAAAACAATGATTTCATCACTCTGTTCGTGGGCTTTACGTACGACGTATTATGCGCTTACCCAATGAGTGACTGCAAATAATATCTCGGCAAAACCGATTAATCAATTTATGTGAACGTTCTTAGAAAATCGAAAAAAAATATCATTTACTCAATTCTGATAACGACTTCCGCCAAGGTGTAGAAACGTTAGTCACTAGCACCGAGAAAATTCCTTCTGTGGACCACTCTCACACGAACGATCAGACTAAACTATCAAATGTTACTCTTGGGTTTAAACCCTTTACTGAATCGTATCCTGAGATAAACTTGAGCGAGCCAACTTTATAATCAGTCCCAGCCATGTTTCTATCTATTCATCTATTTTTCCATTCCCCCAAAGTGCTGATCATGATAATTACTTTAATAACCAAGGCAAAATTACCAACATTTCTTTCAGATGTCACAGTAAACTGGAGGATAAGGAACAATGGAAGTCAACGCACAGAAGGATATAAATGTGATACTGTTTACTTATCAGAAGACGAGAAATGGCAGATAGAAGACGTTAGATTAGGCCATCCAATCTGTTCATATGTCATCCTGGAACCCTATAATGGAGGTTCAAACCAAGACACGTCATACTCCACAACAAGTGGGCTGCCGCTGACAGCTCTGGGCGCATATCACGGCCTCGTGAAAACACGAAGTAACATTCTAGATCAAAACCTCCAAAATAACATTGCTGTTGGGTCAAAGAATATAAATGTTACGTTTCCAATTCTTCCTCTCGACGGCTGCGTGGATGTCACTTTAAAGCCAGACGAACAATCTTCTTTTCTCATAGACAATGTCCCAGATAAAAAGACTCTCATTGTTTCTATAAATAGCAGTGATGATGATGCATTCCATGACCTCTACGTTAGACACTCTAAACCGGCAAACGCTTACCAATATGATGGTGGATCAAGGCTTGCCCTGTCAGCCGACCAAGAGGTGATCATTCCCGAAACAATCTTTGGAAAATATTACGTTCTGATGACCCGCCGACAAGATACGTCCGTCTCTGGGCCAATTACCAAGCCATCACGATTGTGTTCGCACATTGCAAAATTTGAAATCACTCGGGTATTCCCAAATCAAGTGGCTCCAATGGGAAACGCCACGTTGCGCTTAGAGGGAGCCTTGTTTGGACAAAATCTGGAAGCTTTTCTCGTAAATCCATCGTCTGAAGATAACTTTGTCGAAGCAGTAAAGGTGTATCGAATGAGCTCAATTGAAGTATATGCGACCTTCATCACAGGAAACCTAACCATTGGTACCACATTCCATGTGAAACTTGTCAACATTGAGTCAAAAGAAGAAGCCACATTGCCTGGTTCTTTGGTCATAACAAGTGGCGAAGCTGGACGATTAGAAACGTATGCAGATTTTCCAGAAGCTCTGCTTGTGGATTCATCAGGCGTGATAACGGTCACCTATGAAAATGTTGGAGACACTGACATTGTTAGCCCTGTGTTGGCTGTTCGTGTTATCGGTGGCCAAGCTCAACTCCGCCCTGTTCAAAAAGCGTTATCATCTGGCCAGTTCTCTTCCACTGTGGTGTTTTTAGCCCAACCCTTTCAAGGTCCAGGCGGTATTTTGCCTCCAAAGGCTCATGGGGAAATGGTATTTGATTTCGAGTCTCGTGCAGGCGGTGTGACACAAAGCACATTCAGTCTTCAAAGGTTAGATGAAAACGACAAGCCTCATCCTTATCTGAACAGCAGTGAAGATCTGAAACCAGAGTTTCTAAGCAGCGAACTGTGGGCTCCTGTTTGGGAGAATTTTCTAATTGCTGTTGGGAAGACAGCCGCTTCATTCCAACACAGGATGTCAGCGGTCAGTACCTTACTCAGCAAGTCTGGAAGAAGAGTCAACTTGGTGGATGATCTTATTCAGTTCCAACTTGATATTGCAAACGGAAAACTGACGGGTGAGAGATCATCTTTTTCTTCAAAAAAAAAATACTTCAGAGAGAAGAATAAGTCTGGATAAACATTTACTTGTTTGTGGCTTGTAAATTTGAGCTTGCTAACTTTTTAAATCATTCTCAGCCAATTATTCAAATACTGTACGTTTGAGTGTCGAAATTGCACATTTCAAATTTTGCATAAATGTTTTCTGTATTTTTTTTAAAGGCGATCCGTTGTTAACCGAAGATGACATAACGGGTCAGACCGCTGTAGATTTGGCCTTGCCTTTGTTGCTACAAAGAATCTACAGTCCGCTGATATCAAAACGAAGACAAAAGGGCGCTTTTGGTGCTGGTTGGATTGCACCTTGGTGGTAAGAAAACCACAGTTGCTGTTTATAAACGTGTTAATGATAACTTTAACTATGATGAAAACGATGACGATGATAGGAAGGAGTCTTTTAAGAGGAGGCAACTAATAAGTGGAGGTGGTATTTTGTAGGGCCGAGTCTTTCAGCATATCATTTGAAAACTTCAAAATACACTAACGAGCTATAACCATGAGTAATGCTGATATCATGCCCAGAGGTTGTTTGTGGTTGTTGCCTTCTTTTGAATTGTCTTTATCGGCTCTTCTCTTTCTTCATTAGGATTTTAATTTATTTTATACTTTAACTCTATAAGGGAGGCTGCGATCACACAAATTACACCTGAAACTATTAAAATTGTGCAATTACGTGAAGAGCTGGTGTTTAAAGTTGTCACAGCTGGGCTTTACAGGTCGTTTGATGGAAAGGAGATCACTATCAACAACACAGGTGAGAATCGTTTGCGGTTTGAGTTTGTATCATGGTTTTCTATTTATTTTTACAGTTATAACCACCCACAAAACGTTGGGATTCACAGTATTTTTTTTTTTGCCCTAAATTACGATAAGATGAACATTCAGAGATCATGACTCACCGAAAAGTGTCGAAAAAAGGAAGAGGAATTGAGACGGGAAGCTGAGTTAGAACGCGTGCTGACGTGGTCCTCATGTCTTCATGGACATGTAGACATTAGTCTCTTTGCATGCAACCAAAATTTTCAAGATTTCCGGTCTAAAATAGAATGGAACGGAGAAGTTCCGAGATAAGCTTTCGAAAATTTAGGAATACCTTTTCAGTGTGCCCTCTTGGATGGAATTTCCGGAATTATCGAAACGTGTGTGTTCCATTCGCGACAGATCTCTGTTTTAGTCTTCCTGCCGAACCTGAGCTCGCGTGGATGGATGGGAAAACAGGAATGGCGGGCGAAGTTCCCCCAGCACCACAGCAGCATCATAGTTCCTTTAGAAATTTTCCCCTTTAAAAATTATCATTTTTGCCATGGCACGTTAGGAAGATTTACTTATTTGCCTCGCCATCTTTTCGTTGGTGCAAGCAAAAGACCTCTTTCTTTCGACATATACCACAAAAAATACTGTTAATATTTCTATTTATACAGTCTAGCTGACACGATAAAATTATCCACTCTTCTTTTCTACTTAGACGTTCGCTTCACCGACTCCAGCACCTCAACTGTGTTCATCTTTGATTCTGTCATGAATCACCTGAAGGAGATTCAGAGAGTTAATGAGACGATCACCGTCGAATATTCACAAAACAGATCCTCGACTTTCACTCATTCGTCCGGAGGAAAAATCTCTGTGAAATACAACGACAAAGGATTTGTACGAGAGGCTGAATATGAAGATGGATCGAATAAAAAACAGAGATGGTAAGAATGTTTTTCCTTCCCTTGTCAAACCTTCGAGAATGTGAATTACCACGGAGGCTACGTGGTCTTGGGTCCAGGCCCTCCACCCTGCTACCCACTGGATTTGTTCTCAGTTGCCCCCACTTAAACTCTTTGGCTACGCTTTGTATACAGCCAACTGGTCTACCTCTATCCAGCTGGGATGTTTTATACACTATGTTTGTATAAAGTTTTTGCGTCCAGTCTGTTCGTATTGGCCCTGAAAGCACTGTTGATGGAGAAGTCAGTTAAGGATGCAGACTTTCATTTGTACATTACGCTTTGACATATTTAAAAATTGAACGTCTTGTCTTATTTTACCCGCAGTTTCTACACATACAGTTGGGATACCGGGTCTCTTTTGTCGGTCACAGTTGGTGAACAAATCACTCGTTACACGTACAACGTCCACGGCGATCTTACAGGTATTGTTTACCCTACTTCATCCACTGTCAAGTACTCGTGGAACCAGTATGGACTCCTGAGTAACATAACAGGTTTTAGCAAGAAAAACAAGCTAATCTATGGAACACATTTCTCGTACGACTGGAATGGAAAGGTGATCGTGACCAGACTTCCACAAGGAGACTCAGCTGAGCTTTTGTTTAACGAGAAAGCAAAGATGATGGACATACAGGGTGCTGGTCTTGGCGATGTACGCTTTGAAAGTGTCAGAAATGATGACGAGGTTGTTAAAACTGTGAAGCAAGGAGACCAGGTAAAGGATTTATTTAACGCTCGTTTGAGTTGCTAAAATTATTAGAAGGACAAGTAATGCTTGCAGAAGATTTAACGATATTTTATTGCGGCTAGGCAAGGGGGAAAAACGTGCCGTTTTGACCAACTAGCCTTCGGTCTCAGAGGATAGGTACTCACCGTAAAAAAGGACAAGAAAATTTCCGCTTCTTTATCATGCGACGAGCTCTGATTAGACGCTGACCTCGTGAAAACGCCCTACTTGAGCATTCCCGCGTTGTTCGTGACTGAAATTACCATCCATCGGGATTTACTACCTTTCGTTCACGGCGTTAACACCATACTGACACCAACATGTTCGAGCCGTTTGTTCTAAGAATATGCTATCAATTTTTCAGATTGTGTTGACAAGGAAGTACAACGTGAAGACAAATATAATGACAGTTATTGACGCAAACGGCCATGATACAGAATTCCTCCTGCGGCAAAACGGGGACGTCTTGAACACGACGGATCCAGGAGGTCTCGTTTATCAGAATATTTACGATGAAAAGGACAACTTGATCAAATTCATATACCCGGATGGTAAAACCGAACTATCAGACTATGACGATAGAGGGAGACTGGTGAAGTTTACTGGTAGAGCTGGAAAGGAAGTCAAGTTTGAATACGATGAAAATAACCAACTTGTAAGTTTGAGCTGACTGTCAGACAGTGATAAGTAGTGTTTTCTTTATAAGCCACTTGACTATGTCTAGAGCCTGCTCGTGAATTAAGCAATATTAAGTTCACGGCGAAAATATTCAGTAAGCTCGGTAAGTGGAAAAAACCACTTGATAAACACAAATCGGACTGTTTGTGGCCTTTGCTCAGGTAAAACACATAAAAGCCGCACTTGTGGCCATCATACATGAAGTACCTAACGAGAATATGTACTTCACCAATGATTTTAACGTATTATTTTGACTTAATTTAGACGGCAGTAAGCTTTCAGTTTTTTTTAGAGAAAACATCGTTTGGCTATCTGTGAACATAAGTAGGCTTGTCCCAATTGTGCTTGGCAACATTTGAGGAACTTTCAGCGTTTGGAGCAACTTTTTGCGGTTCTAACAATTTTAGTTGAGATGAAGATAGGTTTGGAGCACATATCAAGCACGAAAAAGTCAACGATTTCATATAAAACTTCAATTCATACGAATTTCTTGAATGTTCATCAACTTTCTGAACACATAACCTTTCACTTGACAGCGTCTCGCAGGCCTACTACGATCCTTATGTAAGATTATAGCAGATTATCGGCTTTGATGACTTTCAGCAAGACATCAAGTGAACCATGTTTTTTGTTCCGTTAAACTTTAAAGTATTCTTAAATTTCGCCCATATTTGCGAGTAACTCTTAAAGCCAAGTTTCAAGCCATTTTTCTCGACCGATGGCATTTGTAATTATTGTGAAGACCGAAAAATAAAGCTTTTAATTAACGCTTATGTAAAAATCTCAACAAATTTAGGTATAGCAGCTTTTAAAATTTAGATAGCAACTTTTTGGATTTTTGGCAACCTTTTTAGCATTCCAGTTAGCAACTTTCCAGCGTTTTACTAGCTCAACGGGACAAGGCTAATGGTAAGGGAAGTATACCTTTTTTTCCCCAAGGTCTGGGCTCGTTTAAAAAACATATGTTGGGGTATGCCAGAGGGAATGAGTTAATTTTTCTGTTGATACCTTTTATCTGTTTATGCAGGTTAAAAAAGATGTCGACGATCTTAGCTCTTCGTATTTCTTACATGATAGCGATGGTAATATCGTCCAAGCGATTAATGGTATCGGTACAATCAATATTGCCTATGACGGTGAAAACAGACCAACCAGTGTCACTTATCCAAACCGTCAGATTATCATTTATAAATACAATGAATTCCAACGTCGCGTGGGGCTAAAAGTCTCCAGGTTAAACCTGGTTTACAAGTATGACCAGCTTAACCGGCTATCGGAAGTAGTGCGCGTAGACTCGGGTACGGCCGACGTTCTGCTGAAATTGGAATACAACTCACAAGGGATGTTATCCAAACGTGTCCTTGGAAACGGAGCTTCTTCCGAGTACGTGTTAGATCCAGTTAACTCCAAACTGTCGCGTGTGGTAAATTACTTTCCAAATGGCAGCATTTCTTCGTACTTTGAGTACAATTATGACAAGCAAGGACGAATCATTCAGGAAAACACAACATCAGGAATCTGGCATTACAAATACGATACAGCATCGCAGCTCATAGAGGCAAAATATCCAGACGGTAAAACTGTTCGTTACACCTACGATAAACGAAAAAATCGAGTGCAGGTTTCAGAAGAGCCTGGTAACAAGACTTTATATTTTGTCAATGAAGTTAACCAGTACACTTCGGCGGGAAATTATGAAATCAAGTATGACGCCGATGGAAATATGGTGGAAAAGACAAACAGAGATCTACGGAAAGACAGCGTCAAATTCAAGTTTAGCACTGAAAGTAAATTGCTACAAGCTGAAACCCCAAACAGAAGGTGAGAAACTTGACCAAAATAGAAGAAAACTTGTTACCTTCGTTAAATAATAACCCACTCAAACGGCACTTGTAAACGTTATTCAAGGGCGTACCTAAGGAGGGTGAAAAGTCCTCGAGTGTATGCCCCCTCTTCCTTCCCCCCCCCCCCCCTCCCCAGTAAACAACAGCAATAAATTGGATTGTCTCCAAATGCCAGTAAGATGCGACTTATTGTTTTCGAAAGTAATCATTACAAAACTTTCCTTCCAGCAAGTGAACGGCCATTACTGAAATTTCTTCCCACCCGATTCCAAAAGACTTTCAAAATATCTGACTTACTGTTTTTGTTACTACAGGTGTAACTATGTGTATGACGGCTTTGGAAACTTGTACAAGAAAACGTGCGGTCAAAATGAAGTGCAATACCTAATTGATCCTTTTGGGAATCCAGGAGCTGATATTGTTGGCCAGGTAGAAAATTTTCATGACATTGTACTGGTCACGACGTTTAGCTGAATATTTGGAGTTAACAATTGGCTTGTGGAAAATTTAGAATTACGTCTTAAAATTTTCAGCCATTGAGTCCGTCACATAGAGATGACTTAAAGTGGACTGATAAAATCTTAGAATAAACCTTTGCAAGGATGAAGGAGAGAGATTGTAAATGACGAACATGCTTCGGAAAGGCCAGTTTTATTCTGTAGTGGCCAATTTGGTGGGAGATCAGGATATCAAAGCAAAGCACCTGATTGGCTTGTTTTCTTCGACACAGTAGCATTTCCTTTGTGTTTTCTCTGTCCAAAGTTTTCTGAATTTCACAATAAATTAACTTTTTTTTTGGCAGATTACCGGTGTAAATGTGACATATTTTATTCACTGCCAAGATCTTGGATTAGTTGCTTTGATGGACACAAATGGAGATTTATATTATTACGAGTTCGACGCGCAGGGGTAAGACTTCAAAGCTAATATTATTTCTACCGTCTATTGGACTGGTTTCTATTTGCACCACGACAAAAGGGATTGATGAGTCCAAGGAGGCAGTTAAACCTTCTCATCTTCCTTGTTTTAAGCCCCAGTGAACTGGTTGACAATTCACTTGTGGCGGCCTTGGCCAACCAAGCTACGGCACAAGCGAAGTGAAAGTTTGTTGTCAAACTCAGGAACACGTGTTGTTCCCAAGAGTATTAATAATCTACCACCTTAGTATTTAATCCTTAAAATCCTGAGAGTGACCAGCATCTAATTTCTCTTTACAGTTATACTGCTGAATCATTCATTAAGATCATAAGAATAGAGGAAGTGATCACCAACCTAAGAAGCTTTGATTGTTCAACAAATTCTCCTTAACAGTATCGAAAGAAATGCATAGAGGAATGTGTGGAGAAGATAAAAACTAACTGTTTAGGGATAAAAGATTCATTATTATTTGGAAGACTGAATCTGGTTCTGTACTGATGCCTGCTATCTTGCTTCCTGAAAATGAAAAAGACCTGCCAAGTATATTACTGACAAAGAGAAGCACTACATTATGAATTGCCATTGTATTGTGACATGTCAACTCCCCTTTGCAGGTCTGTCGTAGGAGTACTGGGTCCCAAAGGTGATCTAGTTAATCGGTACAGTTATGACCCGTATGGTAGGATATTAGCAGCCTCTGAAGAGTTGCCCCAGGACTTCAAGTTCATTGGTCAATGGGGAGTGACCGCTGATCGCGAACTAAGAAATGTCTACTGGATGCGGTTCAGGCACTATGATGCACAGCTTGGACGATTTCTTAGCTTCGACCCACTTGGTATGGATTTCTCAGCGAAACTGTATGTGTTTATTAAATGAAAACATTAAAGCTAAATGATACAAGCGGAGAATTTAACGATGTATTTTAAATTACTTTGTTAGAGATGTCAGAGAACCAGACTTGAAGGTCTTTTCTATCATTTCAAGGCTAAGAATGCTGAAAAAATCCCATTTGATTACACAGTGTCATTTTATTCTGTTTTTCATTTCAGGTTTTTCAGGAAAAAGTATTAATCTATACTCGTACGCAGCCAACAATCCTATAATGCTGAAAGATCCTAGAGGAAAATTTTTTCCCTTTGCCATTATAGCCAGTGGAGCCGTGGGGGCGATTGTTGGTGCAACGTCAAATGTTGCTGCTTATTATGCTTCTCAGAAGATGCTAGGGCAGGAGGTAACTCTTGGAGGTAAGTGAACAGATTCAATCAAAAATCTTCAGGCTTGTAATGGAAACACCATGATATCGTTTTCCAAATATATCGTTTACAGCCCGCATAAGCTGCGTTGGGAGCAAAGAAAGTTAACGCGACACCAATAAAAAAAATTAAGGACGAAAAGTGAGCTAGAACATCGTGAACGGTTATAACCTATTGGTACAACCGCGAGGACTCTGAGTGGGTCTGTTTGAAAATACTTAAAATCAGCTGGATTTTACAAGCGCGTAAAAGATCGATTTCAATCGAGTGCTCAAGATTGCTTTGTTTCAGTTTGATGTACTTCGCTCTGTTATTGGTTCAGAAAACTCCCGCCCCTCTCTTAACCAATCGAATGTAAAAGTAAAATTAATCACGACTCGGTCGCCCGCGTTTTCCCGCGTTAAATGGTCGGTTTCACTTTGAGTTCTCATTGGCACTTCAAGATAACTTTCTCTCTTCTGATTAGCTGTTATGATTTCTTTGGTTTTAATCAACTGAAGAGCGCTGTAATGGCCAGACTATGGTTAATAATGCTGGATGAATTGAACTACAGCTCTAATGTTTGCTATCTTCAGGGGTCGTATCAAGTGCCTTAGGAGGGCTCGTCTCTGGATACGTTAAAAAAGGAAGTAAGTGCTATACTTTAAAAGAAAACGAAAGTATAGATTGTTGCTTTCTTCATCGTTCTATTTCCTACATAAGTGGTATGTGACTCATGAGCTCCAGCTCTAGTTAACGTTAACAATGTTAATAATAACAATTTCTGTATATATTTAATTACCTTTACGCAGAAGTCGCAGTTGGGTTTGCTATTGGCTTTGGAAGCTCAGCACTTCAGCAAGGAATTGATAATGGTGTCGGGAATGTAAATTGGCGACAGGCGCTAGAGGGCGGTGTAAGTAGTGCGATCGCGTCGGCCCTACCACCCCTCAAGAGATCAAAATGGAGAACAGGTAGATGTACTCATTATTTTACTGTCCACCCCAGATATTGCTGTGAAGAAATTGTTTCAAAACTTTCCACATAAGCTTTAATGAGTTCTGATCGCTTCAGGACCGCTTTTTATTTTCTGTTGATGTCTGATAATGTTGTATTAAAGACTCGTCCATCGCCTAGATGCTGGAGCCCGAGGAAATGAATTTTTGTTTTGGTGTACGCTGTTTTGATAGACGTAGTCATGATTTTATTTTTACCCAGATATGCAGAGTTCTCCAAATCTGAGCTACTCTATCAAAAACGAGTCTCCTGTAAAGACAGGACGAGCCGACAATTGAAAATTAATGAACTTATTCTCACACTATCCTATGCCACTGCCCTGAAACGTTGTCCCTTTCGGACTGAACTTTCCCGTTTCGTACACTGCAGGAAATTCTTCGGGGAATTGCCCTTCTTTGTTCAGTCATTGAAGTGCTTATAATGTTGATATGACTGAGGCATCCTAGCCTTGAACATTTGAAAACAAATTATCCGTGAGATTGTATGTGACAAATTTGTTACATAGAAGTAAAACCCTCCACATGTTAATGCTGCGTTTCTTTTGAAGGGAATGCCCCAGTGGACGATTACCTAGACGAGATATTAGATAAGACTGCCAAGAATCTGATTATTCCACCACTGGGAAAAGACATTGTCGTTAAGATAATCATCTGGGTTCAGTCCTGGGATCCGGTGAGATGATCGATTAGCAAATATTGTCTTTTCTAGTCACAATTTTAGATACTTAGGTTTCCTTTATTGCCGCAATACACGTGCGCATAGTGTCTCCTATGGGTCGTGTTATGACGTCTCCACAAACTATTTGCGGAGGTCGCACCCGTCCGCACCCGGACGATCAAACTACATTATTACATGTTACCCCCGGGTTCCAACCATTTACTGTATCAAGATCTTTATAATATAACCACGCGTATCCTAGATGTTGTCTTTACAGACTTTCGCTGTTACCGCTCATGTAAAGACTTACCCAGGCAAAGCTCTGTTTGAATGACTAAGGAGTTATGATAAAGAATGTTTTGATTTCGCCAGATCGCACACTAGAGAAAACGATGCGTCCTCATTGTATGCATGCAGTTGTGATACATGTATGCAATCGTTTCCTTTCATTCTGTCAGCTTTTTCAGTAGCTTAACTCAAAGTTAATTTCCAAGTCCTCACCGCAACTTTATGGACATTTCCTAATGGAAAAAGATTGATTGTGTTTTATTTACCATTGATTTGTCACAGAATGACATGATTGGTCCTCCCGGATATGGAGACGCTCGCTTTATTTCATTAAAGACTCCTCTGAACTACAAGATCAGGTTTGAGAATGATGCAAATGCTACCGCGCCTGCGCAGAACGTGATTATCCTGCACACTTTGGATCAAGACCTGGACATTCGCACATTTAGAATTACAGGGTTTGGGTTTGGCAACTTTACTAAAAGGCTAAGCAAGGCGGTAGCCTCCATTCAGGTAAGGAAACCAACCAAGTGTGTTGAGCTTAGTAAAAGTCCTATATTACTTTAGAGCTCCAATCTTAAGTCACAATAGCTGTTGGAAATTCTCTACGATAAGTTTATCTAAGGGAAAATAATGAGACATTATTTTCTCGTGGTTCATCTACCAATTAAACCCCCCCCTCCCTCCCTACCTCTCCTCAGCCCCATTCCGCCAAGAGGTGTCAATCGCGAGAGGGCCATGGGTCTAACCCCTTAAAGAAGCAATCTGGAATCCCCTTCTATTGACCATGCCTAGACCCATGCCTATGTCAGTAACTAAACAATATTCAACCATTACTTAGATGGTAGATTTTTCTAGCGTTCCCTTACAAACATTTTTTGACACACTTTAAAGTATACATTACGAAAATACATCACTTATATCGATAATGTTAATATCAACATATGTATAATGAATTATTTTGTTTTTGTTTTTGATCATCTGCCAGGAAACAATCAATTTTGTATCAGAGAAAAACCTTTATGTAAGAGTAGTGGCTGGCATAAATGTACTTACCCGTGAGGCACACTGGGAGTTTCAAAGCCTTGATCCTCTCACAGGTAGCTGGTTGTTCACATCACAAAAGGATCTACTACTTGCCTCTGATGATAAACATGACCATGATTTATGCCAAAATGAAAATTTCGCTCGTATTTCTCTCACGCAAGAGACGAAAAACGGGACGGTAAAATCTCACAAGAATATTATTTGCGTTGGGCAAAATATGTTTATAAGAAAAAAAACACGCAGCATGAGATCAGAACTTTTCTTGCGTCTGGAAAACAGAAGAATTGGGTTTAGACTGGTGAATGTATGGTCATTTGTTTTTTTAAAATCAGTGAGTTTAAAAACCCATCTTGTAGTGCTTGTGTATTTATAACATGGTTTTATGATTCCGGCAATGAAACCCTACAGTGTGTTCGCTTAAAATCATTGACATTGGCATCAAATGATAATTTTTACGTCCCAAATTGTTTCTCTTTTACAGGTGAGACTCCGGATGATCCTCTAACTGGTTTCCTTCCACCAAACAATGGTACCACTGGACAAGGATATGTGAGTTTTACGGTTCGCTTAAAGAAGAACGCGCAATCTTTAGCAAGGATTGATGCAAAGGCAAGCATCTATTTCGACAAGAACGAACCGATTGACACCCCTCCGATATTTAACACGGTAAGGAGTTTGATAAAGCCATTGAGGTTGAGGGATGTGAATACCGGATGAGTTAAGGAAAAGCCAGAAAAAGCACAACGTACTGTTTTTGTCGTTCTAAAGGGATTGCAGGATTGATGCAGGATTGGACACCTTACGAAGCAAGAGATGACGGCGATAAAAAATGCAAACGATTAATTGAACGCTCTTAATAATTCCCTCTTGTATTTCTCGATTTCTATGGATCCAGATTGACAGTTCCATGCCCTCATCTAATATATCTGTGATAAATGAAGCCATGGAGGTTGGAAAGTTGGCCCTGGAAATTGATACACTGGACGAAGAATCTGGGGTGAAGTCTGTTGACGTGTTTTATCAAATCTCAGCCAGTAATGGTGAGTCTCTATGATTTTGTTCTATGTTTTTTAAGCTTCAGTCAATGAATAATAACGTTTGGACAAATAATCCACTTTCAATCGTCTTTATCGAGTAGAAAGCATTAGGTATACAACCAGAATTACGCAAACCCTATCGGGGATGTGAGCTCACAAAAAAGTTTCTTTCGTGTTTTAGTAGCATTTGTGAGTAGATAGCCGTGAACAAGAGAGGATGAAGTGACGAAATTAGTCCTATCTTGCCCTGAGTAATTGACTTAGACATTAAAAGCTTCTGATACCGATTTTTTCTGTCGTGCAGTTGTGCCCCAGAACCGACTGATACTTCCCTTGGTGTCCGATGTCGTTGATAACACAGTGTTTTTGTCCCTCCCCCCTGGGAACACCTACTCACTTTTGGCTTTAGCTGTTGATCACGTGGGTAACAGACAACTGATGGAGTGGAATCGTGCAATCGCAGTGGACTTCTCATTGCCGACACGTGCGTCCCATGCAGTCAAACATTGTTCATTATAATCAACAAAATGACGCACATTTAACATCTTCAGTTTTGAGCCATAAAATCTTGCAAGCCTTGTAAAGAGTCATGTAACTTAACATATTTGTTTAACACAGTAAACAATCAAATACTTACATGTGACACTTTTTGCGCTTGTTTACCACCTCGCTGGTTTTTTGTCTATCGTACATTGTTCCGTTAACTTTTTTTTCAAAATTTTTTCGCAACATTTTGCACTTTATGTATTAAATCCCAATCAACAAATCAAATGTTATCCTTTGACCTCTATCGTTAACTTCAGTTTAGACTTGTGGCTATCTGCGTGTTTACTCAAGAGAAAACATCAAGTCGATCTACTATTACTGCTTCTATTCACGACGACAATCATATCAACCTGATAATTCACGAGCATTAAATTATATTATATTCATTAATTTTTGTTTTATTTTCCGTTTATTTTCTTTTTTTTTTCTTTTTCACCGCAGCGTCGTGTGAACGGCTAAACAACTGCTCCGGCCGCGGAAACTGTACTGTTTTGAATTTCTGTGTTTGTGAAAGTGGATCTTATGGCCTTAACTGCTCGCGTGGTGAGTATTTTCGAGCAGAAAGCGTTGGAACGAGATAGTTTGTTGAATACGATATGAATGAAATTATTGATGCTTTCATTCACTGGTTAACATTTGTTTTTGAATGATAATAATTATAATGATTACAATAGTAATAATTATGAGAGCTTAATAGACTAAATCCATTATCTTATAATGCCACTTAGTTCATACAATGATTTTAATCGTGTTGTTAATTCATTTGCAGATTTTCCTCTACGATTTGAGCCCCCGATAATCAATGCCATGTACAGTGACACAATTGAGGACGTGCCCGCTCAGTTATATCTCTCCGCTTTTGTTCCGGATTTTGACATTAACAGCTACACTAAAAATTTCACCCTGAAACTCATAATCCATGAAATTTCCGACGGAATCGCTTTTAGTAAAGGAAACAGGAGCGGCGATCGTATTGTGTTAGAGCCTGCAGATTTTGGCGATATATGGATGATACCCCAGAAAGATTTCTCAGGACTCGCGAGGTTTAACATTACGGCAATAGTCTCCACCCCAATAGAAACTAAAGCGGTCTCTAGACATATTGAAATAAACATCACAGCCGTTGCAGATGTTCCATTTCTTAATGTCAGTGTGCCGTGTCACCATTGGAACAGCAGTGAAAAGCTTATTCCAGTGTTCCTAGAAGCCCATCTGAATGACCAAGATGGATCAGAAAATCTAGCAATCGTCTTTTCGGGTTTACCGACGGGCTATCGATTGGTTCACGTGAATGGCACGAGCTTGATGAACAGAAGTAATACAAGAGCCCCTCCAAACGCGTCCCGTTTGTTTATTTCAATAAACGAGACTTTAAAACCATTCGTGCTAAGAGTAATTGCCACGGCAGAGGAAAGATTCAATGGAGACCAAGCAAACCAAACTGCTGATGTTAATGTTACATTCTGTGGTAAGTCTTGTGACACCGAGATTTGGTTACAAAACCGTCAAAGGGTAGTCTTGTTCACGGTGATTTCCATATATGACTGTGGTTTAAGGACCTTTAATCATTCGGGGATTGGGCCTTGACTGGAGTCCCTTTTCTGAGGCATTCAGAAAATCGAGTTAGAAGGAGTAAACGAAGAAAATTTGGGCATACTCGTTGGTTCATGCTGACGGCAAAGTCAAGAGTTGAGCTTTTTGGAAGAAAACACCCCATATGCAGAGGATAGTCTTGCTCACAGTGATTTCCATGTATGACTGGGGGTTAATGACCTTTATTTATTCGGGGATTGGGCCCTGACTAGAGTCCCTCTTTTGAGTTATTGGATGAAGGACAGGAATTCAGAAAATCGAGTTGGTAGGGGTAAACGAAGAAAATTTGGGCATACGATCTGGGATTCGTTGGTTCATGTGGGCGGCAAAGTCAAGAGTTGAGCTTTTTTAAAAGAAAACAGCTATAAGCAGAGTCAAAGCAAACTAGTTATACGCAGACTGGAAACAGTTTGGTTGTGGTTACTCCAATCCTTGTTTCCTTGCTGCAAACTTCACTTGCTACAATTGCACCCGTTTTATTTGGGTTTGGCTCTCGTTGACTTGAACCACATGGTACTGTTCTATTTCCTTCACACTAAGATTTCTTTTCACCCAACCGTTTATCTGCCTCGCTCGTAGCTAACTTGATTTGTTCGCCTGTTCTCCAATCTTCTCCTTGCAGGTAGAAATCTCAAAGATATCCTCATGGCTTGAAGTCGCCCTGAGAACTTTTCTCACTTTTTAGCTCTTGAAAAATTAAGGACCCAACATGTTTTTGTTGTTTCAGTGACTTGCGAGGCAGTGAACAACTGTTCCAAGCATGGAAGTTGTATAGAAGTAAATACCTGTGATTGTGATAGTGGATTCAAAGGATCTCTTGATTGCTCAACAGGTTTGTTTCCTACTTCAGTTTGTTCAGTGTTACTTTCTCTCCCTTTATTTTGCAAGATCATTTCATTGCATCATGTCTTACCTCTTTTATCTTTATACTCTCACTTTTCAACTGTAATAACAGTTTCCTGTGAAGAAGTAAATAGTTGCTCCGGAAGAGGAAACTGTACCGGCCCTAATGTTTGTACCTGTGAAGATGGATACAAAAGTGTCGGGTGCTCACAAGGTAACTGACATTTTATTTTCTGAATTAGTGACAACTTTATAAATACCAATTTTGATTAAACGTTATATAAAGGTTAATTAAACCCCGGAATGTTTCCCACTCTTATTGGCCCTCTAAAAAGTAAAGCATGCATCGTTCTCAATGAAAAGGCTTCATTAATCTCTAGTTTTCCCAGTAAAAATAAATGCAAAAAAGTCAAATAATTCTTTGATTAACCGCCTTCTACAATCTGGAACAAATGAAATGAATTGTCAAATTGTAGTTTTAGCCGGTACGTAAATGCTAAGACTAAAACGCTGTCTATTTCCGAGCCCGAGGACACTGTTGCGTAGGTACTCTTCCCCTTGGGGCATGCCGTTATTTTGTGAGAGAAGAGGGGGAAAGAGGGATTTTTTCGAACCTTTGAATGTTAGTTATCATAACTGGCATATCATACATCTTCTGTAACTAGTTCAGCCAGTTTCTGTGTTTCAAAATTATCATTCCTCGTCCTTTCTATGGATGCATCTTTAACAAATCTTTTCTTTGTATTTTCGTTTTCGTTTAAGCAACCTGTGAACTTCGAGATCACTGTTCTTATCGTGGTGACTGTATCGGACCTAATGTTTGTTCATGCTACGTCGGTTCCCAAGGATTGAACTGCTCTGGAGGTAAGATAAATGTGAAACGTTCAAATTTACTTTTCCTCTGTCGCCCCACGACGAAACGGTTAAACGGGTTTACCAGGTAAGAAGAAGGGGATCGGTTTCAGTATCTGAGTAACTGCGCACTTAGGGTACCACTCCCATAATCCTATGACAGTCAACTGCTATCAAGTTAGGGTTAATGTTGGGTTGAGGGAGGGGTGGGTACGTAGTTGCTCAGATAATGACATAGGTCTGAAAAAGGCATTAGTTATCATCGTTACAATTTTTACAACTGATCAATTATCTATTTTGCGTTTTAACACAGTGAACTGTAAATTAGTGAACAACTGTTCAAATCATGGCACCTGCACCGGACCCAACCAATGCACCTGTGAAGAGACCCGCCAGTCACCTGATTGTTCAATAGGTGAGAAAATATATCCGAGAAAAATAAGTATGCCCTGCTTCGCGTTGACTCCAGGAAACATCTACCAGAATTTATTGTTATCATTACCATCACTGTTTTCGTTATTTTCATTGTCTTTTTGTCAATGGAGTGAAGGTTAAAAATATTGTTATCTTGAAAGTTGTCTTTACATTATTTTTATCGTCTTCGCTATTGTTATTATTATATATTTCACATTTTCACGCTAAATTTTCGTCTTTTTATCGTCCTTATAATCATTACCATCGTTATTACATAATTTTTTGGTGAGATGTCATCATGGTTAAGATTCTCTCTAAAATTGATTTCACTACCTCAAAATTTCAACCGTCTACGTTCGCCTCCAACATTTGATCGCTCAATTTTAAGTTAACAAACCTTTTCGCAGGCAACTAGTTATACTAATCTACTTTCTTTAGTCTATTTAGATCTACGTTCCCAAGTGCTAATTGATGCTTTACTCTTTCAAGTTGGTATCATCAACATTCCGAAACATTTGTGGCATAACATCAATGCCTTAGATCTAACGTATACTCTACATACTTTAGATCTGTGGCATAACACCTGGAGTACTGTGGTACAGCATTCATACCTCAGATATTCTGATAAAACAATTTTCTCTTGGATCTGTGATTTTAACACTCGTATCTCGGATTTGTGATAGAAAAACCCTTATCTCAAATCTGTGATATGAAATCCAAACCTCAGACCCAAGATATATCAGCCATATCGCAAATCTGTGGTATCACACTCATATTATCTCAGATTTGTGTTATAGAAAAAAATCTCAGATCTGTGATATAAAATCTATATCTCAAATCTGTGATATAAGTTTATATTTCAGATCTAAAATATGAAATCCATATCTTAGAGAAGAAATATCACACTCCAGTGACAAGTCTGTCGCTTGAGGTCCATATCTTAGAGATGCCAAATGAATGGCGATATCTTAGCCGTATCGTATACCACTCGTACTTTTCCTTTTCATGCTTATTGTTTTATCTTGTCAAATAAAATGAAAGCGACTAACTGTATTTGATACTTTTAAGAGCAGGGTAGAGCAGCAGAGCTGGTCAGCAGTTGTCGTAGTAACTCTACGAGATGGTGATGTAATCACATTAAAGAACATTAAGAGTTCATTACTGTCTCGTGTCCACTGAATGTTGCATAAAGAGTGAAGAGAGACAGCTGGTCAAAATTATGCACTTTAATAATATTACTAGTAATAACATTAAGTAGCATTGATAAATAGAGAATAACACATGGGCGCGCGTAGATACAGAATTTCTCTTCGAGTTTTGAACTCGATAGCTCACGAGTGAGCGCATCGAACGTGAGATGTCAAGTTGAACAAGAGAAGAGAAATTTAACCTTTCTCTTTCTCCTTTTCCTTCCCCAAATCCCATTCGCGACGTCGTGCGAGCTACATCATTTCCCAGTGGCTCGTCTCGCTTCACCCATAAATATTACTCAAGACGTGCCAGTAGCATGCTAAACGAAAAAGACACAAAAAGGAAAGGCAACGTCATTCATTTCGGTCTTCGATAGTTGTCGTTTTGGTTTTCACGATTTCTGTTTGAAGTCATAAAGTTTGTTCTTCATTATTGTCCTCGATGCTTTTGGTTCACATATTTTTCAGATATTCACGCTTCGACCACCGATATGTGAAGATCAGTTTGCTCTCACCTTTCATGGCGAGAACGGCTCCACAGATTGCGCGTGGTCTTTTTTTTTGTCGTTGACTTCACAGAAGAGGACTCAATTTGTCTGCTTTAGTTGGCCAATTACCGAGGTCTATTTTTATTGCTACAATAATACCAATATTTGTAAGATAAACACCCACTCTCAAGGTCGAACAAAGCCCCTGTGAAGTTCCAAATTGGAACGAGGGTTGATGATTGATCACACTGCTTGTACGCCTTACGTACCCACTTTTTTTCTTTTGCCAGCTACGCCCCCACAATTCGCCCGTCTCTCACCGCAAGGAGAAGTTCTTCCCGACACAAATCAGTAGAACATCACTTTTGACCAACAGGTGCCTTGAAATATTATTTGAGGGAGGTTGAGAGTTCCATAATGATTGAAACTGAGAAGAGATCACCAGCTGAAATATATAGGTTCTGTGGTATTTGACGCTGAAATGTAACTTGAATCTTTTAAAATGTTTATTACAGTTCGTGTATCCTACACGAATTAGTTATATCCGGATCCATCGATCTGACGGCACAGTTGTTTTCTGTGTTAACGTGGCCATTACTGCCGGTGTGATATATCCAGTTGGGAGTCTTGGGCCGGCTATTCAGTTCACGACGTTACTGACCTTTACAGAGAAAGAGAGTTACTATGTAACAATGGATCATGGTGAGGATACTGGATTTATCTCATGATCATACAGTTTATGTAACAGATGTTGAACCTATTACCCAATGGAATCGCCTCCATACAACTTTCTCCAAACTTTTCCTGAATTATCAATTTGATAACTGTACCCATTGAGGACCGGAGAAGAATCGTGTTGTCTCCAAATCGTTCCATGATCTGAGAACTTTGTCCCTAGAACACTTGTTGCAAAAAAAGCAGCTAAAAAAATGAGGGACTGCATGAAAGGTTTTGAATCAAGCCTATGGTCAAAGCAAATGTCATATTGACGTTATTTTCTGGTTCCCTTGCATGTGTGGCTAAAGGTGTTATCTTCTGTGGTGCTGAGTCGCCTGCGAGCACAGATCCTTACACCATGAGGATAAAGATAAGTACATTACAAGTACATATTACTGATATTACTAACAATTATGGTCAATAGATTATAAACTGTTTATAATCTCTTGTTATTGCACTATCATCATCAACTTATTTGTCTTTCTACAGAGGATATCACCCCACCCGTTTTAACACTCATTAATGCTCCATCTCGTTCTGGAGGTGACTTTCAAATCACTTGGACAGCAAACGAAAATGTTACAGCTCAGTGCACAGTGCAAACTCCTTCCCAGATCTTTGGTCAGCCATGCCATTAGTCGTGAACTGGAAGTAATCTAACCGGGGGCTTCTACAGCATTTATGTTCGGTTAACAGATTTGGCGGGAAACTCGGCACTGCCTGCCAGACACTCATGGTTTGTAGGTATGTCGAGAGCGGAGACCCGGCGTTGCCCGAGGTAAAAGCTTGAAAAGGATGCTGAAGTTATTTATGTTCAGTAAACGGAATTGGAGGAAAACCCGGCGGTGCCAGCCAGACATTCATCATTGGAAAATATGTCGAAACAATTAATTTTTCTATTGAAATGGAGAAAAATACTTGATTAGGATAGTAAAATAATACTGAAATAATAATAGTTATGCATAGCAGCTAAGCGATTTGATTAACGGAGGTTAATTCATCAACTTTTGAATAACGTAACTATGTTCGAAACCAGTGAAGCAACTTCGTGATTGAGAGATGATGTCTTAGAGAATATGTAGCTTTTTCAATGTAACTCACGCGACGCAGAAAGAAACAGACATGGAAAGCTCAATCCGAATTCGTGATCGATGCATAAATTGAAAATGCAATGCCTTCTTATTTTTTCCTGTTTTTTTAATTTTTTTATTTTCATTTTTCAGGCCGCACGCCACCCATGGTTATCATAACTTCAAAGCCCGCTTCTGTTAGCAACCAAAATCCATTTACGTTCGGCTTCGACTGTCGAGAAATCTGTTCGTTTGAATGCTTCGTGCGTCAACAAGGTATCATTCCTGCTTATTCCCGGTGCAACAGCAACAGATACACGGCCAGCAAACTGCAGAACGAAAAGACCTACGTTTTTTATGTACGGGGAACGGATGACGTCGGGAACCAAGGAAATCCGGATAGTTATACGTGGACAGTTGGTAAGTCAATCCTCTCAGTGCACAGTGCAAACTCCTTCCTAGATCTTTGGTCAGCCATGCAATTAGTCGTGGACTGGAAGCAATCTAACCGGGGGCTTCTATAGCATATATGTACAAAAACTTTTCACTTGTGTTGGTAACAACAAAAGTGGGGGAGGGGGGGGGGGGGTGGAAAGGACGTCGATGGAAAAGTAACATATAGAAGAACAACTGATCTGAAAACATTGTAATTTAAGAAAAAAAAAGTTTGCGATATCAATATCATCCTGCCAAACGTTTACCAGATAGTTAAAATCATCTAATAACATAGATCAAGAAACAGTTCTCAATTTTCTGGAGTTTCACATGATATAGTCCCTTTTGCAGTGCAATTTACTGCATGTCTTAAAACTGCATCAATGACATAGTTCTCTTAAGATCCTTGTGACAATCCGTTATTTGATCAACTTGACGTTTTGGCTTATTCGGGTTTTATTATTTAGTCTCAACCTTCACAAACAGATTTACAGCCACCGGTCACCTCAAACATGGCTTCTCAAACAGTGGATTGTAAATCAGATCTCAGCCCTTCAACCCTTGGCAAGCCTTCAGTCAGCGACAACGAAGGGTCAAACACAATATTAACGCACCAAGATCTTCCTGCAAGTAGCTGCAGCTTTCAAAGAAAATGGACCGCAACGGATCAAGCGGTTAACAGTGCCTCCAAAATATAGGATATTAATCTCATCAACCTTAGGCCACGACAGTGAATTGCCAAGGTAATGTCACCATTGCTTGCGGGTGCTTTGTCGAACAACAACAAGATATGCGGATACCATCGATGTCCCTCATCCGTGCGATCGGCCGATCAAGATAACACACGCCGATTCTGTTCAATAATAATAACAACAGTAACTTACTGAGTTAACGAGTTGTAATACAATGAAAACTTAATAAGATCAACTATGTACATTTCTGTATATGTTAAGTACAAATTATACACCACACCAGAACATGCATCAAATTTGTTAAAAATACTTAAAAGTGAAAAAATCTTCGGTGCGCTTCGTTCCACAGTTAGTAACGTTCCTGTAAGAGTACCGTTGATCTGATTTGTGCCTTAGGGTGTAGGGGCAGGTATTGTCTTGGCGTGTTGGTAGAAGAGGATGAAGAGGGTGGTTTAAGTCCTTCATTTTGTACATACACTCTTTACATATATTTGCATAAGAATGAAAAATTACAATAAAAATATAAATATAATCTTCACATATATGTTCCCACAATTCTTTGCGCTAAGACCTTTAAGAGGACATGGACGACTGCAGATGACTGTGCAATATCCTCACTATTCGAATTATCTTTCTCCGAATCGATACAATTACATATTGATTTAATTATTATTAGATAATCTTGTTATTGTAGAACTGATGGAACAGAAAATCTCAAAATCAACGAAATTTCAGTCATCTCGAGCCGCAAAAATTTGTTATTTTTCAAAACAAAGAAAATCGCTGACCCGTAAGATCAAAAAGTCCCACGATAATTTGGTTCGTCAAGTGTCACGAAAGACAATCTGAAACAACATATGATTAGTTCAAGTCATGCGAGCCAACCAATAAGGTTAAATCCTCATAAAAGCCCTTTTTCTTTTGACCAATCAGTATTGAAAGCATGCAAGACTGCCAGGTGATGTCGAAGGATATGTTCGATCCATTTTCTGAGAAAAAGCCACTCCCTCAACTACAACTTCAAGCACACATTTGCTACACGCATCAAAAGATGTCCTTGTAAACTGTTTGATTATGGAACCCGGTATAAAGTTTGCTCTTTTGCTCGTATTCCTTGTGTACGTACATAGGACAGCATGTACTCATTTTCGAGGCGGCTCATTCACATACAAGCCCGTCAATTCAAGTAACCATGCAAGCATGAAGGTAAGAGTTGCATTTTCAAATACACATCTCTTCGATGTGCGCACGCCAAATATGAATTCATCATCTCTGGAAACAGCCTTTTCAAATTCAGCTTTTCCTTGTAAAACCTCTGATGTCTCAGTTAACAAAACGGTCGAACGTCACAGATGACTCCCGGAACTACGCTGAATTCTTGCAGGGTCGAAATCAAATTACTTGAGGTAGTACATACAGTATCTTCTCAAATCATATCATCTTAACTTTGGGAATGAGACGATCTGATGACGTGGTGGCTCAGTGGCGAATCATGACCCCTTTTTCTCGGAATTGAAATATTGTTCATGCTTAAAAACAGGTTTACGTCTTCGAAACATAGTCAACTATGTTTGCAACATTACTCCCATTTCCAAATCTAAGGGAAAGAAGACACATTTCGTGAGTCAGTTTGTACAGCATTTCTTCAGAGTCTTTCATATGAACTTTCGAATGAAACGATCTGCCGAGTGATGAAGTATAACTCTGAGGCGATTTATGATTCCTTCTCGGAATTTAAATTTTGTCATGCCGTTAACTTGAGACGTACAGGTTCATTTATTCGCGTGACGTATTTCCAAATCTAAGAGAAGAAACCTAATTTTTTGAGTCAGTATAAACGGTATTTCCTCAGTGCCTGTCATATTAACTTTGGAATGAAACGATTTGCCTGATGATGAATTACAACTCAGAGAAGATTGATGATCCCTTCTCGGAATTTAGATATTGTTATGCCGTTAATTTGAGGAGTACAGGTTCATTACAGCGAACAATAAACAATGAACTGTCTGTAACATTTACTCACTTAACATATTTCTAAATCTAAGGGGAGAAACCTAATTATTTGAGTCAATATAAACAGTATTTCCTCGGAGCCTGTCATCTTAAATTCTGAATGAAACAATCTGCGGTAAAATTTCTGCAAAGCTCCACACTATTGTAAAACAAATCTGTTTGGAAATTTTACCCAATCTGCTGGGTGATGAAGTAACTCGGAGGCGATTCGTGATTCCTTCTCGGAATATAATTACTTCCAAAGGGTCTTGATAGTAGCAGGCAATTCAAGAAACAGAAACCTCTGCCATCTTCAGTTAATTATTGTGCAAAGCGTTGGGAGTTGAATTTATAATAAGTAGAAAAATGCTAATTATGATAAATCGAGACAAAAAGGGGCTATTAAAATTCAAAGAAAACAATCCTCTTTGAATCAACAACTACACTATGTAAATCTTAAACTATCCTTTTAATTTTCACACTTTCATGCTTTGCCTCTTTCTTATGGTCACGAATTATCATAGTTGGCATTTTTCTACTTGTTGTTAATTCAACTTCCCGATCGCTTTGCTCATTTGAGTTACAAGATTGAGTGACTATCATCTAAACTTTGGGGATGAAACGATCTGGCGATAAATTACGAGGTGAATCATGACTCCTTTTTCACGGATATTAGACAATGTTCGAACTTGAAAGTACCAGAGTTGGTAAAGTTTCCGCATAGCCCGATACTATTATAAAAAAAATCTGTTTTCCTATTGGCAATGGTAATGTTCGCATCAATGGTTATTAATCATCTATGTCTCAGCCATATTACTCAATTACCGCCTTCCCAAATCTGGAAGGAAAGAAACTTTGATGAGGCACTTAAAAGGCTAGTTTGCTGTGTAATGGCATCGATTAGAAGAGGCAAACGTTCGAAACTTCGCCGCTACTCTCTCAGTTCTTTGCTCCAGCAGTGAATTTACCTCATCGGTGCATGAAGTTTCCGCATAGCCCCATACTATTGTAATACAAATCTGTTTTCCCAATGGCAATGTATTATTTTTGTCATTGTTTTCTCTGTTCAAGAATTGAATGCATAATGTAGGATAGGGCTGTGCGGAAATATTACCTTATCGGGCTAATTAACGTCTTGATACGCAGCACACTGAACATTTTTCCTAGAAACTGGTAATTTAGTGTTAACAACTAAGTTGAAAACGTAAATTGGCTACCGTAAAGAGTAAAAAAGCTGACGTTTCGCGCGTTAGCCCTTCGTCAGAGCGATTGGAGGAATTGTGGGTTGTGTGTGGGTTTATATGCAGAAAGTGGAGCTGCGCTAGTGGAGGAAGTATGGTGACGAGAAAACGAGAATAAATTAGTTGAATGAAACGCGTTCGTTGATACCATGAGGATTAAGAGTGCCGATTTGGAAGATAGATTTTTTTTCTAGTGCTTTGCGGCTTTCCAAACTGCCTAGATGTAAGGAAAGGCCGCAAACTGCCATATGTTGTTTAGAATGATTGGGAAGATTTAAGTGTCTAGCGACTGGTTTGGATGCGTCCTTGTCATTTCTTTCCACGTCGCGAAGGTGTTCTCGGAATCGGTCACCTAGTCGTCTTCCTGTTTCACCAGTGTATAACTTATCGCAATAAGCGCAAGCGAGAATCGAGACTGATTGAGTTGCAAGGTTGTGAGGTTGGGCAATGAACGGAAGTGTGTCACAAGACTATCAATTATAAATTATACCCAGATAAATTTAGTCGTTTTATCTTACACAAATTACTTAGAAAAGAACCTCCTTCAAACAGGGAATAATGCGATCACACTTTGGGTTCGCTCACCAAGTATTAACCGTATCTACGTCCACTTTTCCGCTTAGAACCCAGAGTGCTCGAGGCCTGTCAATAATTAACCACGCTTCTGGTTTATTTACCATAAAGCAATCCTCGGTATCAGTTTGTTTTTGTAGACTGTGAACTACATGAAGTTCTAATATGTGCATCCCCGCGAACAGTGCCATAAGTAGTTATTTTTTGTTACGTCACGTGGTCCCCTGCATTGTATCGGTGAGAAAATTTTGCATTTTTTGTTTTATTTATAAAGAAATGATTTTCTTTTTTTATCCTTTTTTATTTTTATTTTTATTTAATTAATTAACTATTTATTGATTAAAATTTATTATTTTTAATCATTGATTAATTATTTTTTTAAATTTATTCTTTCTCGGTCATTCTTTGAATTCCGGGTATTCCGGGTATTCCGGGTATTCCGGGTATTCCGGGTATTCCGGGTATTCCGAGTATTCCGGTTCCGGTACCTTTACTGCTGAGGAAATGTTTTTGCTGTTATAGTAACGGTTTGACTATTCGGTCTTGTCTCTTCTGGGCATCACGGAGTTCGCACGTCTCTTTATGGTGGAGCTCGAACTCCTATTTTAAACGGTCTTCGTCCAGGAGCCGATTGTCTTGTCTTCGTCCTGTCAATAAAACTTTTTGTTGAGGTCATGTCTTAGACCATACCATATGTAAGCGCTGTTTTCGAAATTCGAAAAAATTCATGTTAGCAAATTTAAATTATTTTTCCCGTTTTCTGAAGGCTGAAAAAGTCCCTGCAGTTCTTTCTTGAGGTCCTTAAGCAAGTGTTTGAGTTCAAAGGTTTTTCAGAAACTTTTTAACCGACGAGATCTCAAATGCAAAACATTTTTCCTATCTCTTTCAAGACATTAGAGTTGGTTTGGTCTGAGGTTCAAACCTTCATTCTCTCTCGTACCCAACACCCCATCACTAAACCAACAGAGCCAACCGAGCGGTATGTTTTAAACTAATGTTGCAGTAATTTAAATCTATTTTCAGGTGATCATAAAATTCCGGATGGGTTGGCGAAGATCTTACTCTCGGAACACATTCTGTGACCAAAATACAATAAACTCCGGCTCGCTGATCGGCATTAATGGCTACTTAAGGTGCAGATCCGGCTGCTCTGGCAGTGTCGGGAATTTACGCTTCAAATGCTCGGATTTCAGTGTACAAGAGGACTGGACAACTGGCACTAACAGCTTTGAATATACGTTTCCCGTCACATCATCTCGCTACTATAAAGTCAGGTTTGTGATCATTAAGTATCTATAAAATCACTGAGAAGGCTTTCCGAGTCCAAACTGAGAGTAAGGTTCAGTGAAAGTAAAAGAGGGAGGGGGTGCTGCTTGATATAAGGGAGGAGGAGGGGAGAGGACTTTTAGAGGTGTACCAATACGGAATCAGATACTGATTAGTGTGCATTTCGATGAGGTGTCGCAGAATCTAAAACAAATTTATTATCGTTGGTAGCCAGTCGGAGGAAAGGTACATATCAAAGGAGCCAACGGGGAATCTAAGTTAACTCCTGGAAGGGCGGGGGAAATAAGATTGTCAGTGATTTTGAGTGCAATTACGTAGACCAATCAGAGCGAAGTTTAGCCAAAAATGTAAACAAAAATGCAATCTCGAATTCTCGATATTCAATCGATGATTATTCTTTTTGCTTTTTGCAGCTATTCAGGATATAACTGGATTGCTCTCGTGCATACATCAGGAGCTTCATGGGAGATTGGAATGTACGTTAACCTTACTAAAAGAAGTGACACTGGACGTTTGAATACGTCGCCAGTGGCGACAATGACACCAATTGTTCGTTTGAAATACGGCTGTAACCATTCTATAGTTATCCCAGGTATGTAAACCTTAGTATGTATACCTCGAATGCAAGTTTACCAACTTCTCCTCCCCCAGTCATATCTTCTCTCTTTTTACCTTGCACTCGAAATCACCCTAAAGTTCAATTCTTTTGAACAGAAATTAAATTCTCTCCGAAAGATTCATGTCTCTTCAGAGAAGAATTTATCATTTCAGATTCTTCGTCCCCAGAGGAGAATTATAATTCTGAAGAGAAGAAACCTGGTTCTTGAGGAAAGAGCTATACGGGTCTTCTCCCAAGGTTAATAATTCTTATATGAAGAATCTCGTGTATGTCTGATTCTTGTTACAAGAATACTAATTTTTTCTCACAAGAACGAGAACCATTTAATGGTGTATTCTTCTGAAAAGAAACACTGCTCTGCTCCCAAGATGATATCCATTTAAGGAAAGAACTGTGGGTCCTCTCCAAAGATTAGGGATTCTTATGAGAAGAATCTCATATATGTCTGATTCTTGGTAGAAGAATATTAGTTTTTTTCCCACAAGAACAAAATTCTTTTGTCAAGAACCAATTAATCAGGTATTCTTCTAAGAAGAAACACTGCTCTCCTCCTAATATGATATCCATTTAGACAGAATCTCATTTTTTAAACAAGCTTATCAGAAGAATTACTGCTCTTCCCTGAAGACACAATACTTGTTTGAGAAGATTGTCAGTTTCTGAGTCTCCTCATGAGAGTTTTTGTCCTTCACCCAAGAATGAATATTCGTGTTTAATTGATCGTTCTTCACAAGAGATTGACTTTGCTTGTGTAAAGAATCACATTCAAAAGCATTCTTGCTGATAAAGTCTTTGTGCTCTTTTGAGGTCTGAATATTCTATTGAGAAGAATCTTTTGCCTTTATTGGGTTTTTTGGAGTTATTGAAAGGATTGATTTTCCTCTAACACAGTAAATTAAATTAGTTCCATTTTTTAACATACAATCAACATAACATAAAACTAACTCACATATTTATAATTTATGCATCAAGTTGTCAATGAACAACCATATCAACATTCACAGTATCGAAAAAATTCACTGATTATCTACATATCTCATTTTTTGTATCTTATAATAATATCATATCACTTTTAAATCATTACCTCATTTCTTATCTATTTTTCAACATATAATTCACAAACAATATAATTAACTCACATATTCACAACAAGCTTGATGTTGTTTAATTTGTCGTTTTTTTTTATTCTTCATCTTCTTCTCTTGTTCTTCTAGTTCTCGATCTTGTTTCGAGTTTTTTTTATAGCCTTTAGGCCCTCTTGTTTTTGATTCTCTTGGTGCTTAGTATGTGAAACCTTGTTTGTTTTTGTTGGTTTGTTTGTTTGTTTGTTTTGCATGAAACTTTTCAGAACGTCTTTCTTCTTTTACTTACATCTTTTTTATTTCGCCACAAATACTAAAACTATATTTTACATTTTTGTTATCTAGTGTCCGACGATGACAAAGACGAAGTGCGGTGTCGTTGGGCGAAAAGTAACGCTAGAGAGTGTGGCGGAATATGTGGAGGATACGGGTTACCAAATGCATACATGTTTTACGTACGATTATTGTCTCATTTCTATCAGCTGAACTTGTATGTTATCAATCAGATTTAGACTCCTTTCCGAGGGCTGCGCTGCGAAATGATTTTTGATTATGTGATGTACTCACTTTTGGTCGGGTAGATCTTTGTTTTCAAAATCAGTCGTATCAGTTACGGCATTTTTTTTATAATAAAGTTCGGATATAACACGCGCTGTCATTGGTTGAAAGAGCGTGCTCTATGAGAGTATAGAGCATAGAACTGAGCTAAAGCTGTCACGCCATCTGCCAAATTGTATTATGTTCGACCTTTCTGGGACTTCTTTTTAGCTTTTTTCCGATAATTGAAAGTAAAATTTCGGAACAAGCGAGCCGGCAAGTAGCAACAGAAGAACCAAACAAAGGCGAGTTTTGCGGCGCTGTCATCCCGAGCGATCTTCATGTTCCGGTGAATTCGGCTGTAGTTCATTTCAAAAACACTCGCCTTGAACAGTTTGTTTTCTACCTTATAATGTGAAAAAACTCGCGTGTTTTTTATGAGCCATAATTCGGCTGAAGTTCACTGAACATTTCACTTGAAGATTCTGTATTAAAAACTTCAGGCAAAAGCGTTAAAATCGACTTGCCGAACTATTTTAGTTTGTAAACTATCGCAGATTGTGAACTTTGATGGTTTTTTAACTTTGATGGTTTGACACTTTTGACAGCTTTTGTCTTGTAGAGCCAATTAGATTATTTGAACCATTCTAACAGGGATTCTGATTGGCTTATTGTAGCGTGCTCTATGAGAGTATAGAGCATGCTGACGACATTGTTGTTCGCTTTAGAAATAAAGTTTGTTTTGAAAATTGGAAGTAATGCATGGGGAATTTGACGGATGCTTTATTATAAAACAAATAGAGAAGCCTTGACTGTGTTCTGTTCTGTTATAAAGCACTTAGGAAGCGGCTAGAGCACTCAAGAAGTGGGGAGAAACACGAGACGTAGTCGCGTGTTTCTCCCTACACTTCTTTCGTGCTCTAGCCGCTTCCTGCGTGCTTTATAACAGAACAGAGCACAGTCAAGGCTTCTCTATTTGTTAAATAGATCATTTATAATCTCCCACAAAACGTGCCGGAAAACACGCCTAACAAAACAAAGGATATTTTTTCTTTGGTCTGCTGGGTAGTGGTGTCCCGAGAAAGAATGTAGTGTTTTGTGTCGCTTTATCTTATACATGTGTTTCGTCATTCTTCATGATATTTTGCACTTTTTTTCCTCTGACACATTCACTGTTTCTGTTGATACAGCGCGAATGCAGAATCACCTACAGTGCAACGGAATACATTGGCTTTTACGCTGTTGCTGCCATGATCGAAGATTTTGCCTCGCCAACAGACTCACAGCCATTGAGTGGCATTCCGTTGCAGTTTTTGGTGTACGTGTTCAACTCAAACGAAACGTGTGATGAACGCCCGGAGTTCACGGAATACACGCGGGCCGAGGGATCGTGTATTGGAATCCCTCCTGGAGGAACATACTTCGATCGTATCATCGTGCGAGCCGGTGGACCATCAAAAAGGTAAAAGGTAACAAAAAGTAAAAGACAGTCCAAGTAGATTTACTGGCTCTAAAGGTTCCGTTAGTTGCGCGGGCTATCTCGTAAATTGCAGGTGAAATGTAAGGGAAGTTGTCCCTTAAATTTTCTCGACGAGTGAATGAACGTCCGTTTGCATTCAAAAAGCGATTAACTTAGCATTAAAGCAACTTGAGAGAAATATATTCATAGTTCTCATTTTTTCCTGCTGTATTTGCAATATCATTCCAGAATTGTGGAGGTCACTACCAACAGTCCTCAGGGATTCATCAAGTCTCCTGTGGCTCAGTATGCACCACAGGAATACTACGTCAATGTCACGTGGACTCCGATATCATCAGAGATAGAGACCAAACTGTTTTGTTTCACGGGATTGGAGGATTCCGGGTATTCATATCATTGGTCTTTTTGTCTTGTATTCACGGTTAAATATAAAACATAAAACATTGTTCATATTATAGAAAGAAATACATACAATTTAACCCTTTACCCCCTAACATCAGAATGTAAGTTCTCCGTACTGTTCTTGATACATTTCTTATGATACTTACTTGGAGAATTTGTCAAACAATCAAGAGCTTGTAATTTACCTCATTCTCATGATCTTAATGTTTGATTCAGGGGTGATACTGTGAAGAGAAATTAGATGAGTATCACCTTAACTTGTTAAAGAAGTGGTGTGCTAGTTATCTTATGAGAGTTGTGAAAGGCTTTCTTTCTTTCATTTGTAAACCTTTTAATTAACTTATAGAATGTCAATAATCAATTTTGTTTATATGTTGTGTTTAGGGTAACAACTGAGCAGAGATGCGTCGATCTGCTTGTTGGAGGTAAAAGTTATCTTAATTCATTACCGTTACTTGAAGTAAAGCCGTTCTTTCAAACGTCCAGGTCCTTTAGGTCATAATTCAATGAGCCTGATTAACCTGATTGGCCCACTGGAATTTCTCGATTAACCTGACTGACCCACTGAAAGTTCTCGATTAACTTGATTGACCTACTGGAATTCCCCGATTGACTTAACTGGCCCACTGGAATTTCTCGATTTATCTGATTGGCCTACCAGAATTTCCTGATTGACGTGACTGGCCCACCGGAATTTCTCGATTAATCTGATTGGCCCACTGGAATTTCCCGATTAACCGCCTGATTGGCCAACTGGAATTTTTGCGATCACTTGTCGCTTCTCTTTGAGCAGACTACCGGGTCTTTTCCTTCATTTCGTGACAGTCTGTCTTCGAATTCATTCTACTTTTTTCATGGCGAAAACGGCTCCACAGTTTTCGCGTAGTCATTTTTTTTTCGTTGACTCCAAAGAAGAGGACTCGATGTGTCTGCTTTACCAGGCCAATAACCGAGGTCCGTTTTTTCCGACAATAAAGATATTATTCTACGATAAACACCCACTCTCAAGGCCGTCGAACAAGGCCCCTGTGAGGTTCCAAATTGGGACGAGGGTTGAAATTTTTATTTCTAATTTCAGTTGATCACATTGTATGTACGCCTTACGTGCCTACATTTTTCTTTTTCTAGTTGCGTCTCCACAATTTGCTAGTCTCTCACCGCAAGGAGAAGTTCTTCCCGACACAAGTCAGTGGACTATCGCTTTTGACAAACAGGTGTCTTGAAGTATTATCTGAGGGAGGTTGGGAGTTCCATAATGATTGAAACCTTGAATAGAACACCGGCTGAAATTCATAGGTTCTGTGGTATTTGATGCTGAAATGTAACCCTAATCTGCCAAAATGTTTATTACAGTTCGTGCGTCCTATACGAAGCAGCCATATCCGGATCCATCGATCTGACGGCACAGTTGTTTTCAGTGTTGACGTGGCCATTACTGCCGGGGTGTTATATCCAGTTGGGAGTCTGGGACGGACTATTCAGTTCACGACGTCACAGACCTTTACAGAGAAAGAGAGTTACTATTTAACAATGGATCATGGTAAGGATACTGGGTTTATATCATGATCATTCAGTTTATGTAACAGATGTTGAACCTATCACCCAATGAAATCGCCTCCATACAACTTTCTCCAAACTTTTCCTGAATTATCAATTTGATAACTGTACCTGAGAAGAATCGTGTTGTCTCCAAATCGTTCCATGATCTAAGAACTTTGTCCTTAGATCATTTTTTGGAGAAAAAGCAGTTTAAAAAATGAGAGACAGCATCAAAGGTTTTGCAATCAAGCCTAAGGTCAATGCAAATGTCATATTGACGATATTTTCTGGTTCCCTTGCAGGTGTGGCTAAAGGTGTTACCTACTGTGGTGCTGAGTCGCCTGCCATCACAGATCCTTACACCATGAGGATAAAGATAAGTACGTTGTTATTTCTGATATTACCAACAACTATTGTTAATAGATTATAAACTGTTTATAATCTCTTGTTGTTGCACTATCATCATCAACTTATTTGTCTTTCTACAGAGGATATCACCCCACCTGTTTTAACATTCATTATGCCCCATCTCGTTCTGGAGGTGACTTTCAAATTACTTGGACAGCAAACGAAAATGTTACAGCTCAGTGCACAGTGCAAACTCCTTCTCTGCTCTTTGGTCAACCATGCAATTGGTCGTGGACTGGAAGCAATCTAACCGAGGGCTTCTACAGCATTTATGTTCAGTTAACAGATTTGGCGGGAAACTCGGCACCGCCTGCCAGACACTCATGGTTTGTAGGTATGTCGAGAGTGGAGACCCGTATTATTAAAACCACTGAAATGGAGATAAAAGCTTGAATAGGATGCTGAAATGATTTGTGTTCAGTAAAGCGCCAGCCAGACGTTCATGATTGGTAGACATGTCGAAACAATTAATCGTTCTATTGAAATGGAGACAAATACTTGATGAGGATACTAAAACAGTAATAGCTATGACAGCCAAGCGATTTGATTAAGGGAGGTTCGATTATCATCTTTTGAATAAAGTAACTATATTTGAAACCAGTGAAGCAACTTCGTGATTGAGAGACGGTCATGATGTCTTACAGAATATGCAGCTTTTTTAATGTAACTTACGCGACGCAGAAAGAAAGACATAGAAAGCTCAATCCGAAATTCATGATCGATGCATCGATTGAAAATGCAATGCCTTCTTAGTTTTTGTTGTTTTTCTTTATTTCATTTTTCAGACCGCACACCACCCATGGTTATCATAACTTCAAAGCCCGCTACTGTTAGCAATCAAAATCTATTTACGTTCGGCTTCCACTGTCGAGAAACCTGTTCGTTTGAATGCTCTGTAAGTCAACACGGTAACATTCCCGCTTATTCACAGTGCAACAGTAACAGATACACCGCCAGCAATCTGCAGAACGGAAAGACCTACGTTTTTTATGTACGGGGAACGGATGACGTCGGGAACCAGGGAAATCCAACTAGTTATACGTGGAGAGTTGGTGAGTCAATCCTCTCAAGGTAAAAAAAAACCTTTCCACTTTTGTTGGTAACAACAAAATTAGTGAGGGGGAGGGGGAAGGGGGTGGAAAGGATGTCGATGGAAAAGTAATGTATAGAGGAACAGCTCATCTGAAATCATTGTGACCTAAGAAAAAATTTTGCGATATCAGTATAATCTTGCTAAACGTTTACCATATAGTTAAAGTCACCTTAATCTAATAACATAGATTAATAAAATAGTTCTCAATTTTTTGAAGTTTCACATGAGTTAGTCTCTTTTGCAGTGCCATTTACTGCATGTCTTAAAACTGCATCAATGACATAGTTCTGTATAGATCCTGGTGACAATCCATAATTTGACCAACTTGAAGTTTTGGCCTACTCAGCTTTGATTCCTTTCGTCTCAACCTTCACAAACAGATTTACAGCCACCGGTCATCTCAAACATGGCTCCTCAAACAGTGGATTGCAAATCAGATCTGAGCCCATCAGTCCTCGGCAAACCTTCAGTCAGCGACAACGAAGGATCGAACATAACATTAACGCACCAAGATCTTCCTGGAAGTAGCTGCAGCTTTCAAAGAAAATGGACCGCGACGGATCAAGCGGGTAACAGTGCCGCCCAAATACAGAATATCAATCTCGTCAACCTCAGGCCACCGACAGTGAGTTACCAAGGTAATGTCACCATTGCTTGCGGAAGCTTTGACGATCAACAGCAAGATATGCGGGATGCCATCAATGTCACTCATCCGTGCGATCGGCCAATCAAGATAACACACGCAGATTCTGTTCCCACAATTCTCTGCGCCAGGACCTTTAAGAGAACGTGGACGATTGCAGATGACTGCGGGAAGCAAGTATCTGTTATCCAGCAGATTCGGATCTTAGCTCTTCAGTTGCCAGACTATCCCAAAAATGGACAGGTTAATGTGGCGCTGAGAGAATCGCTCGAGTGGCCTCAGTATCCAGGGTCTGTTCGTTACAAAGTCTACCTTTGGCGATATGGATCCACAAAGCCTTCATCACCAACTTACTGGTATGTGTCGCTCTCCAAAAAAACAATTGAACCACAGAGTTCTTGAACGGCCACAGCACGACGAACTGAGGTACAAATCATTTTCCAGTTTCTGTAGCTAATGGCCAATTTAATTATCTTGTTTCAGGACTTATTATCGAAGATATGCTCCCTCTTACCCAGGCTACCCCGCCGACACTAAGATGCTGTGGAGAATTGAATACGTTCTGAGTTCAGGTGCTCTGGTACCCAGTCCCATCTGGGGATTCCAAACCAGGGCTTTTCCGGATTTTAAAGTTGAGAAGGTCATAGTACCTCCAAACGCTTTTTCTGGTCTGAAATTTGAAGTGTCATGGGTAGTTCGAAATATCGGTAAGGTGGGAAATGCATTAAAAACGTGGTATGACGCAGTGTACATTGGAAAAAGTACTGACTTCCGTAACGCAAGGTTGGTTTTGGAAACTGATTTTATTGTTATTGAATAAAGTTATCAATAGGAACCAGACTTATCACAACCAATACAAAAAAGGTAGCTGTTGAAGTGAGTTTCAAGCACTTAACCTGTGAAACAAGAAAGTAGCTTTACTTAACTGTTTTTCGTGCTAAATTATTTTTGTAACATCGTGTATAATAATAATAATAATAATAATAATAATAATAACAATAATAACTATAATAATCTTTATTTCTTAAGATAAAATCACATATCCTAAGTTACAATATAAACTAAAAAAAAATCTATTTTCATATCATATCCAAAAGTTATTCTGTTGCTAAAAACGTTCTTAAACCTGTCAGTGTAGATTCTAGGAACAGAGGCTGACGTATTTCTAAGATTGTACCTCATGTTCTTTTCCTTAGGTAAAAACTGGAAGAACGGGCATTCGGGGTCATTCAATATTTTTTTGTTGAGTGTCTTGTCCGCCTTCTCTAGCAAATCCCTGATATTTACATTCTTGGACATAAACTTTCTTTTCATACACCGGTCTAAAAAATTCTGTATTACAGAAAGGTCGGAATCTGAAGCACCATAAACCGGCAGAGCGTAAGAAAAATTTGGTAAAACTATTGCGTTAAAAAGGTGATCTACTTCCTCCTGGGACATTCCTTCCTTACGTAAAGATCCTAATAAGAATAATGACTTGTTCGCCTTAATTACCTTCGCGCGCATGTGACTACTGTATTTACAATTTTGTTGGAAGGTAACACCTAATATGGATAACTCTGCGCACTGCAGTATATTACTAACTGGCACGATGTCCTGACTGAAACCTTTCTTACGGAAAGTAAGAAGTGTATGATTAACATATACTCTCGTGCTCTTGCTGGTAAACAATAACTTTATCTTTATCATCACCACGTAAGATGAAATAAATATATAACCTCCTGTACCACGCTAATACTATCGTTAACTTTATTTCACGTATCTCCTATTCGTTATCGTTATTGCTGCGGTTATAATCTTTCGTTCTAAAGGTTACCTATCTTGCTCTCTGAAACTAAGAACAACTTCCACATTTTGATTCCAGGCGTGCAACAACTGTACGACGCAGGGAGATTCTGTTTCAAAATGATGGTTATACTGCAAGGGGAACAGTTCAACTTAGAGTTGACGATTATGGCGTGTTTTACGTCTTCGTTGAAACGGATACGTACCACAGAGTAAGTGCTAAGAAAAATTATTTTTTAACTGTATGAAAAATATTATCTTAAATCGTCCCCACCACCTTTCAAAGATGTGAATTGGTATTGAAATGAATATAAATAGCATATCCATTGAATTTCCTTCTGTTGCAGATAAGTGATATCAACCGTGCTAACGATTTGCTGTTAGGTGACAGTCCGGTGCAGGTGGCGCTCACTCCCCCACCTAACCTAAAAATTGATAAAATTGTGCTCCCAAGTCCATCGCTTTCAGGTACGGAACTCTCTAACAGTAGTTGAGTAAATTATTAATTAGTAATGAAATGGTTCTGCTTTGTTATAACCTAAATGTCAGCTACTGTATATGTCCAGCCTGGGTGTGATTAAAACCTAGATAATTCTTTGCTTTCCTATAGGTAAAGCCATCAACATAACATGGACCGTGAAAAACGTTGGAGTGGGCGTAACTGCCCATGGTGCATGGCATGATAGAGTTTACCTATCTAAGGATGACAAAAGAGGTTAGAGTCTTCCTTAAATCTTATTTTCATATGCCACTTTTGAGGGTACTCTTCAACAATAGACAGAAAATTAAGTTTTTGTATCATTAAGCTTGTGCTTTGCAATCATTTTAACTTCTTGAAAAATAAAAATTCAAGACTGTAAAATCAAAGTAACTCGATAATTCCTTTGTTTCTGTATAGACTGGTCTGACTGGATCCTTGGCACATTTTACCATCATGGGACACTGTCTGTTGGTGCAAGCTACAAGCGGAAACAGCTCATTACTCTACCCAACGCAATCTATGGCAATTTTTCGATTTTGATAGTAACGGACGTTTACAATCATGTCTTTGAGCACAACAATGAGGGTGACAATCTTAAAGTACAGGTAATTAACCAACCAAATCGAGTGATTAGGAACGTTCCCTCTTGACTTCTATAGCCTATCCTGCGTGCCACACATCAGATATGAAATAAATCATACTAGACCTCAGGAAAAGCTAATCCCAAAGGTGCCGTCCAATACGGTGTCATTTTTGACCCTCGAGAAAGTGTATTGGTGTTTTTGTCTTTACAACTCCAAATTGATCATAGAAAAAAAAAGTTAAAAGAAATTTATTTATTTCATTAAAAAATTCTGATCGGAAAAAGAGAAGTCGAAACCAAATGGTACTGGAATTAGCGCCCCAATAACATCTAGGAGGAATGAGTTCGAGCTCGATCGAAGTTAGTATTTTTTTTAGTTTCTAACTTTGAGATTTAGAAAGGATGATTCTCAGATAAGATTAACTAACAAATTACATAAAACTTAAATCTTCCGTTATTTTTGCAGGCGATGCGAATACACTTAAACCCTCCCCCAGATCTGGTTGTAACTTCTATCACGACACTGGCAAATTACTACACGGGAGATGTAATGGAAGTTCATTTTAACGTTTCGAACAAGGGCCTTGGGGAACCCTTTTACTACTGGTGGAGAGATCGTGTGGTGAGTGGGAAGCTATCAGTGGAAACATGAGGGTTCCTCTGCTTCTTCAAATATTTTTATCACATCCCGTAAGCGAGTGCTTCGTCCACGAACACCAAGCTTTAGTCGTTCCCATGACTCCTCCAGGCAGCAGAGTTTCATGATTAGTTGGGCCTATGAATCATTCACTTTCAAAAAACCCAATCTATTTATAACCAAAGAGAAGTTTTCGGTTCAAACATTAGATGGAATGAAATACATTGTGATGTCTATAACTAAACTCTATCAAAGAAAAATGAAAAGTAAAATTCTGTTGAAAGGGCTCCCTAGGATGAATAAGCTCCCCTCATTTTAAGAAAGTCACCAGGCATGTAGAGACCCTTTGTGGTTTCATTGAGAGCGTTACCGGCTGTTCCCAAGTCTAAAATCTTTTATCAGGTATTACACAGGTGGATTATCGTACTCTGAATTATTGCTTACAAAAGTTCGAACTACAGATAAACAAATAAATCACACATGTTCTTTAAGTGTATGTTTATCTGTGGGTCTGTTGACGTACACAAATAGATAGATTATTTCAATCCTGTTTTGCATTCATTCACAGACTATCACGAACACTGCATCATTAAGATATGAAGTTCTTGGAGTCACCCAATTTTCAGGGCTGTTTCCGCCCTCCTCGTGGTACGTTAGAACTCTGAATCATTTCATTCCTTCTAGTTGGGAAACTGGGCAATACAACATCACTGTATTCACGGATTATGATGACGACGTTTTTGAATTCATCTTTAACCATAACAACGAGAAAACTGTCCAGTTGAATGTCACTCGTAGGCTGCCCGACCTGACCGTTACGCATGTCAACGCTTCTGTAACCGCGGATAGCGTCCAAGCCTACTTGAGTGTCTCTTTTTCGGTTGAAAACGTTGGAAAAGGAGTAACAACCGAGGCACCGTGGTTTGACTCACTTTACATCTCGCCGCATGCTCATTTTTCGCAAAGCAATACAATATGGCTGGGAGATTTCCCTCACAGAGTCAACCTGGGATCAGGTAAACAATACAGCATCGATACAGGACCCATACGCATAAACAGGAATCTTTTTGGTCAGCGGTATATTTTCGTTAGGACTAATACGTATGGTTCAGTCACAGAAAATAACGTAAAGAGCAACATCAGATTCTCTGGAAATGTGACTTTTCCACAAGTTCTGCCTAATTTAGTTGTGGCAAACTTTACTTTATTGTCCCGTACGGAGGCCCTGTTGAGTGATTCTGAAGTGTCGTTGAAGTGGACTGTTGAAAACAATGGAACAGGAAACACAATGAAGAAATCCTGGCAAGACGCGGTTTACTTGTCAAATTCTCCAACCGTCCAAAGTGACTCAATAAAACTCGCTGGCGCCTTCTTCAGACAAGATCTAAGTCCTGGGCAGAGTTACAACAGGGTTTCATTTATGAAGTTACCAGCTGATATATCTGGAACTTATTACTTCGTTTTGAAAGTCAACAAAGACGGCTCTATAGTTGAAAAAGGTCCGCAGATGAACAACTTAGCTTGGATTCGTGCAGAAATTTTACCTAAACCACTGCCAGACTTAGCCGTTGTAGACATTTCTTTTGTTTTTGAAGAAAAGCGTCGTTTCCTGACGGTAGTTTGGTCAGTGGCAAACTTTGGAAGCTCGATGCGCGAGTCTTTGACTTGGGTGGACAGCGTCATGATCTCTTCCTCAAAAGGCGTCATCGATGGCAAAGATGCCCGTGTTATGGCGTCTGAAACCGTTACTACTAAATTAAGTGAACAGCTAGAGTACCAGCTTTCCGCGGCTCTACAGATTAGCGACAACGTAATAGGAACGTTTTACGTGCATGTAGTCACAAACTCCAACAAGACCCTCTCTGAAGTCTCTGGAACCTCAAATAATATCGGTGTTTCAAGGAACCCTCTCAATCTTCCGCCTCCCCCGGCTCCCAGATTAATCTTGACTATTATTTCAAGTTTACCGTCTCAGATCACACTTGGAGTTCCTTTCTCCATCAAGTTTCAGGTAAAGAACGTGGGAGTTGCTGCAACGAAGACAACATCATGGACAGATGCGCTTTACGCTTATGACAGAAAGGATGCAAATCGCTCAGAGGTCACTGAGAGAGGAACGAAATTAAAGGATATTCCCCACATAGGAGCCTTGAAAGCTAAATCGTTTTATGAAAAAACTATCAACGTTTCAATTCCACATGGATTTCGTTCTTCGGCTTTCATTCATGGCTTTGCTGACATCCACAGTCCTTTTACACCGTGGCCAAAGATTGTCGAACCTATTAATAATACGCAGCCTAACGTCACGCATCCTAATGTCACCCAGCCTAATGTCACGCTACCAACGGTGACACCAACTGTTCTGACGCCCATAGTTATAACAGAAGGACTGTTACCAGATCTGCAAGGCTCACTGGGAGACTCAAAGGTGCAAACGCGTGGCGGTCAGCCATTAAATGTCACTTTCAACGTCACAAACACTGGCGAATCACCTGTATGGGGTGCGTGGTATAATGCACTGTATCTCAGCCAGGACGTGCTGATCGACCCATTTGATCGGAGACTTGCCACTGTTAGGGCAACTAATCTCGCCGTGAACGACACCGTGTCCTTAAGCGCTGAGGTCTTCATTCCCTTTGACACTCTTGATTTGGACTACTACCTGTTACTGTCAGTGGACAGCAAAAGCGCCATCTGGGAGAGTGATGAACAGAACAACGATGCTTACCGGCTGATAAAAATAAACAAGACATTCAGTAGTGACTTGGCGGTACTGTCTGTTTCCTCGACTGGTGGAGAATTCTCTAATGGCCAAGGTAAGAACTATTTAAAACATTACACCCCCAAATGGAAGCACTGAATACTGCCAGCTCTTTTTACAAGACGATTCAGAAATGAAGAAAACAATGATTTTATTACTCTGTACGTGAGCTTTATGTACGACATATTGTGCGCTTATCAAATGAGTGACAGCAAATAACATCTCGGCAAAACTAGACGATCAGACTAAACTATCAAATGTTACTCTTGGGTTTAAACCCTTTACTAGATCGTATCCTATGATAAACTTGAGCGAGCCAGCTTTATAATCAGTCGCAGCCATGTTTCTATCTATTCATCTATTTTTCCATTCCACCAAAGTGCTGATCATTATGATTACTTTAATAACCAAGGCAAAATTACCAACATTTCTTTCAGATGTCACAGTAAAATGGAGGATAAGGAACAATGGAAGTCAACGCACAGAAGGATATAAATGTGATACTGTTTACTTATCAGAAGACGATAAATGGCAGATAGAAGACGTTAGATTAGGCCATCCAATCTGTTCATATGTCATCCTGGAACCCTACAATGGAGGTTCAAACCAAGACATGTCATATTCCACAACGAGTGAGCTGCCGCTGACGGCTGTGGGCGCATATCGCGGCCTCGTGAAAACCCGAAGTAACATTCTAGATCAAAACCTCCAAAATAACATTGCTGTTGGGTCAAAAAATATAAATGTTACTTTTCCAATTCTTCCTCTTGATGGCTGCGTAGATGTCACTTTAAAGCCAGACGAACAATCTTCTTTTCTCATAGACAATGTCCCAGATAGAAAGACTCTCATTGTTTCCATAAATAGCAGTAATGACGATGCATTCCATGACCTCTACGTCAGACACTCTAAACCGGCAAACGCTTACCAATATGATGGTGGATCAAGGCTTGCCCTGTCAGCCGACCAAGAGGTGGTCATTCCCGAAACAATCTTTGGAAAATACTACGTTCTGATGACCCGCCGACAAGATACGTCCGTCTCTGGGCCAATTACCAAGCCATCACGATTGTGTTCGCACATTGCAAAATTTGAAATCACTCGGGTATTCCCTAACCAAGTGGCCCCAATGGGAAACGCCACGTTGCGCTTAGAAGGAGCTTTGTTTGGACAAAATCTGGAAGCTTTTCTCGTAAATCCATCGTCTGAAGATAACTTTGTCGAAGCAGTTAAGGTGTATCGAATGAGCTCCATTGAAGTATATGCGACCTTCATCATAGGAAACCTAACCATTGGTACCACATTCCATGTGAAACTTGTCAACATTGAGTCAAAAGAAGAAGCCACATTGCCTGGTTCTTTGGTCATAACAAGTGGCGAAGCTGGACGATTAGAAACGTATGTAGATTTTCCAGAAGCTCTGCTTGTAGATTCACCAGGCGTGATAACGGTCACTTATGAAAATGTTGGAGACACTGACATTGTTAGCCCGGTGTTGGCTGTTCGTGTTATCGGTGGCCAAGCTCAACTCCGCCCTGTTCAAAAAGCGTTATCATCCGGCCAGTTCTCTTCCACTGTGGTGTTTTTAGCCCAACCCTTTCAAGGTCCAGGCGGTATTTTGCCTCCAAAGGCTCATGGGGAAATGGTATTTGATTTCGAGTCTCGTGCAGACGGTGTGACACAAAGCACATTCAGTCTTCAAATGTTGGATGAAAACGACAAGCCTCATCCTTATCTGAACAGCAGTGAAGATCTGAAGCCAGATTTTCTAAGCAGCGAACTGTGGGCTCCAGTTTGGGAAAATTTTCTAATTTCCGTTGGGAAGACAGCCGCGTCATTCCAACACAGGATGTCAGCAGTCAGTACCTTACTCAGCAACTCCGGAAGAAGAGTCAACTTGGTGAATGATCTTATTCAGTTCCAACTTGATATTGCAGACGGAAAACTGACAGGTGAGATATCATCTTTTTCTTTAAAAAAGAATACTTCAGAGAGAAGAATAAGTCTGGATAAACTGTTTGTCGCACGTAAATTTGAGCTTGCCAACTTTTTAAATAATTCTCAGTCAATTATTCAGATACTGTACGTTTGAGTGTCGTAATTGCGTATTTCAAATTTTGCATAAATGTTTTCTGTATTTTTTTAAAGGCGATCCGTTGTTAACCGAAGATGACATAACGGGTCAGACGGCTGTAGATTTGGCTCTTCCTTTGTTGCTACAAAGAATCTACAGTCCGCTGATATCAAAACGAAGACAAAAGGGCGCTTTTGGTGTTGGTTGGATTGCACCTTGGTGGTAAGAAAACCGCAGTTCCTGTTCACAAACATGATATAATGATAACTCTAACCATGATGAAAACGATGACGATGATAGGAAGGAGTCTTTTAAGAGGAGGCAAACAATAAGTGGAGGTGGTATTTAGTAGGGCCGAGTCTTTCAGCATATCATATGAAAACTTCAAAATACACTAACGAGCTATAACCATGAGTAATGCTGATATCATGCCCAGAGGTTGTTCGTGGTTGTTGTCTGATTTTGAATTGTCTTTATCGGCTCTTCTCTTTCTTCATTAGGATTTTAATTTATTTTATCCTTTAACTTTATAAGGGAGACTGCAATCACACAAATTACACCTGAAACTATTAAAATTGTGCAATTACGCGAAGAGCTGGTGTTTAAAGTTGTCACAGCTGGGCTGTACAGGTCGTTTGATGGAAAGGAGATCACTATCAACAACACAGGTGAGAATCGTTTGCGGTTTGAGTTTGTATCATGGTTTTCTATTTATTTTTACAATTACTATCACCCACAAAACATTGGGACTCATATTATGTTTTTTGTCCCTAAATTACGATAAGATAAACACTCAGAGATCATGACCTACAGTGTTGAAAAAAGAAGGAGGAGTTGTGACGGGCAGCTGAGTGAGAAAGCGTGCTGACGTGGTCTTCATGTCTTCATGGACATGTAGACATTATGTTTACATACGCATGTGGTTTTTTCAACTGAGTTGATAAAACCCAATTATCTTGTTATACTCTCCCACCGACGCAGTTCCACAGTTTCTTTAGAAATTTTCCCCTTTAAAAATTATCGTGTTTGCCATGGCGCGTTAGGAAGATTTGCTTATTTGCCTCGCTATCTATTTGTTGGTGCAAACAAAAGACATCTTTCTTTCGACATATACCATAAAAAATACAGTTAATATTTCTATTTACACACAATCTAGCTAATGCAATAAAATTATCCACTCTTCTTTTCTACTTAGACGTTCGTTTCACCGACTCCAGCACCTCAACTGTGTTCATCTTTGATTCTGTCATGAATCACCTGAAGGAAATTCAGAGAGGTAATGAGACAATCACTGTCGAATATTCACAAAACAGATCCTCGACTTTCACTCATTCGTCTGGGGGAAAAATCTCTGTGAAATACAACGACATAGGATTTGTACGAGAGGCGCAATTTGAAGATGGATCGAATGAAAAACAGAGATGGTAAGTATGTTTTTCCTTCCCTTGTCAAACCTTCGAAAATGTAAATTACTACGGAGGCAATGTGGTGGAGGGATTAGGGCGCTAGGCTTCTCATCCGGTGGTCCCGGATCCAGGCTCTCCACCCTGCTACCCGTTAGATTTGTTCTCGGTTGCTCCCACTTCAACTCTTTGGCTACGCTCTGTATACAGCCAACTGGTCTACCTCTATCCAGTTGGGATGTTTTTATACGCTATGTTTATATAAAGTTTTTGCGTGGATCTGTTCGTGTCGGCCTTGAAAGCCCTTTTGAGGGAGAAATAAATTAATGATACAGATTTTCATTTACACAATACGCTTTGACATACTTAAAAATTAAACGTCTTGTCTTATTTTACCCGCAGTTTCTACACATACAGTTGGGATACCGGGTCTCTTTTGTCGGTCACAGTTGGTGAACAAATCACTCGTTACACGTACAACGTCCACGGCGATCTTACAGGTATTGTTTACCCTACTTCATCCACTGTCAAGTACTCGTGGAACCAGTATGGACTCCTGAGCAACATAACAGGTTTTAACAAGAAAAACAAGCTCATCTATGGAACACATTTCTCGTACGACTGGAATGGAAAGGTGATCATGACCAGACTTCCACAAGGTGACTCGGCTGAACTTTTGTTTAACGAGAAAGCAAAGATGATGGACATTCGGGGCGCTGGTGTTGGCGATGTACGTTTTGAAAGTGTCAGAAATATAGACGAGGTTGTTAAAATTATGAAGCAAGGAGACCAGGTAAAGGATTTATTTAACACTCGTTTGAGTTGCTAAAATTATTAAAAGGACAAGTAATGCTTGCAGAAGATTTAACGATATTTTATTGCGGCTAGTGAAGGGGGAAAAACGTGCCGTTTTGACCAACAAGCCTTTGGTCTCAGAGGATAGATACACACCGTAAAAAAGGACAAGAAAATTTCCACTTCTTTATCATGCGCCGGGCTCTGATTAGACGCTGACCTTGTAAAAACGCCCTACTTGAGCATTCCCGCGTTGTACGTGACTGAAATCGCCATCCATCGGGATTTACTACCTTTCGTCCACGGCGTTAACGCCATAATGACACCAACATGTTCGGGCCGTTTGTTCTAAGAATATGCTATCAATTTTTCAGATTGTGTTGACAAGGAAGTACAACGTGAAGACAAATATAATGACAGTTATTGACGCAAACGGCCATGATACAGAATTCCTTCTGCGGCAAAACGGGGACGTCTTGAACACGACGGATCCAGGAGGTCTCGTTTATCAGAATATTTACGATAAAAAGGACAACTTAATCAAATTCGTATACCCGGATGGTAAAACCGAACTATCAGACTATGACGATAGAGGGAGACTGGTGAAGTTTACTGGTAGAGCTGGAAAGGAAGTCAAGTTTGAATACGATGAAAATAACCAACTTGTAAGTTTGAGCTGTCTCTCAGACAATGATAGGTAGTGTTTTCTTTATAAGCCACTTGACTATGTCTAGAGCCTGCTCGTAAATTAGGCAATATTCAGCTCACGGCGAAAATATTCAGTAAGCTCGGTAAGTGGAAAAAAACCACCTGAAAAACGCAAATCGGACTGTTTGTGGCCTTTGCTCAAGTAAAACACATAAAAGCCGCATTTGTGGTCATCATACATGAAGTACCTAACGAGAATATGTACTTCACTAATGATTTTAACGTATTATTTTGACTTAATTTAGACGGCAGTAAGCTTTCAGTTTTTTTAGAGAGAACATCGTTTAATTGGCTATCTGTGATCATAAGTAGGCCTGTCCCAACTGTGCTTGGCAACATTTGGGGAACTTTCAGCGTTTGGAGCAACTTTTTGCGGTTCTAACAACCTCGAGCAATTTTTGCTTTTGTAAACAATTTTAGTTGAGATGAAGATAGGTTTGGAGCACATATCAAGCACGAAAAAGTCAACGATTTCATATAAAACTTCAATTCATGCGAACTACTAACTGTAGTACACCGCGGTTAAGTTAAAACCGTTTATTCACGTCCGTTACACACTTACTCTTAGCCGAAAAGAACTCTCAGAATAAATTAAATACACGCTTTATACATACATGCAAATCCGTAGGTCCCAAGTGTATTACATCACTTGCATTCATTTCCACACGTGGGCATCACTATACACCACAATAACCTTTTACTTGACAGCGTCTCGCAGGCCTACTGCGATCCTTATCTAAGATTATAACGGATTATCACCTATCACGACTTTCGGCAAGGCGTCAAGTGAACCATAATTTTTGTTCCGTCAAACTCAAGAGTATTCTTAAATTCCGATGACCGATGTTATTAGTAATTATTGTGAAGACCGAAAAATAAAGCTTTTAAATAACGTTAATGAAAAAATATCAACAAATTTAGGTATAGCAGCTTTTGAAATTTAGGTAGCAACTTTTTGGATTTTTGGCAACTTTTTAGAATTCCAGTTAGCAACTTTCCAGCGTTTTACTAGCTCAACGGGACAAGGCTAATCGTAAAGGAAGTGTACCTTCTTTTCGCAAGGACTAGCCTCGTTCAAAAAACTTTATGTTAGGGTATGCTAGAGGGAATGTGTTAATTTTTCTGTTGATACCTTTTATCTGTTTACGCAGGTTAACAAAGATGTCGACGATCTTAGCTCTTCATACTTCTTACATGATAGCGATGGTAATATTGTCCAAGCGATCAATGGTATCGGTACAGTTAATATTGCCTATGACGGTGAAAACAGACCAATCAGTGTTACTTATCCAAACCGTAAGAGTATCATTTATGAATACAACGAATTCCAACGTCGCGTGGGGCTAAAAGTCTCCGAGTTAAACCTGGTTTACGAGTATGACCAGTTAAACCGGCTATCGGAAGTAGTGCGCGTAGACTCGGGTACGGCCGACGTTTTGCTGAAATTGGAATACAACTCACAAGGGATGTTATCCAAACGTGTCCTTGGAAACGGAGCTTCTTCAGAGTACGTTATGGATCCAGTTAACTCCAAACTGTCGCGTGTAATAAATTACTTTCCAAATGGCAGCATTTCCTCATACTTTGAGTACAATTATGACAAGCAAGGACGAATCATTCAGGAAAACACAACATCAGGAATCTGGCATTACAAATACGATGCAGCATCGCAGCTCATCGAGGCAAAATATCCACACGGTAAAACCGTTCGTTACACCTACGATAAACGAAAAAATCGAGTGCAGGTTTCAGAAGAGCCCGGTAACAAGACTTTATATTTTGTCAATGAAGTTAACCAATATACTTCAGCGGGAAATTATGAAATCAAGTATGACGAAGATGGAAATATGGTGGAAAAGACAAACAGAGATCTACGGAATGACAGCGTCAAATTCAAGTTTAGCACTGAAAATATATTGCTACAAGCTGAAACCCCAAACAGAAGGTGAGAAACTTGACCAAAATAGAAGCCAAATTGTCACCTTCGTTAAATGATAACCCCCCTCAAACGGCACTTATAAACGTCATTCAAGGGCGTACCTGGGGAGGGTGGAAAGTCCTCTCCCCCTGTTTGTCATAGTTATTCAAACAACAACAATAAATTGGAATGCCTCAAAATACTAGTAAGATGCAACTTCTTTCGAAAGTAGTCATTACAAAACTTTACTTCCGGCAAGTGAACAGGCCGTTACTGAAATTTCTTCCCACCCGATTCCAAAAAACTTTCTAAAAAATTTGACTCACTGTTTTTGTTACTGCAGGTGTAATTATGTGTACGACGGCTTTGGAAACTTGTACAAGAAAACGTGCGGTCAAAATGAGGTGCAATACATAATTGATCCTTTTGGGAATCCAGGAGCTGATATTGTTGGCCAGGTAAAAACTTTTCATGGCATTGTGCTGGTCACGACATTTAGCTGAATATTTGGCAAGTTTGTAATTACGTCTTAAAGTTTTTAGCCATTGAGTTCGCGGTCACAGAGAAATGACTTGAAGTGGGCCGATAAAATCTTCGAAAAAACCTTTGCAAGGACAAAAAAAAACTGAGAAGGTAGTAACCAGCCAAGAAAGGAATAGTAACAGTTCGAGATGGAGGAGAGAGATTGATACAGATTGTAAATGACGAACATGCTTCGGAAAGGCCAGTTTTATTCTGTAGTGGCCAATTTGGTGGGAGATCAGGATATCAAAGCAAAGCACCTGAATAGCTTGTTTTCTTCTACACAAAAGCCTTTCCCTTGTGTTTTCTCTGTCCAAAGATTTCTGAATTTCATAATAAATTAACTTGCTTTTTTTGGTAGATTACCGGTGTAAATGTGACATATTTTATTCACGGCCAAGATCTTGGATTAGTTGCTTTGATGGACACGAATGGAGATTTATATTATTACGAGTTCGACGCGCAGGGGTAAGAGTTAAAAGCTAATATTATTTGTACCGTCTTTTGGACTGGTTTCTATTTGCAACACGCCAAAAGGGACTGATGAGTCCAAGGAGGCAGTTAAACCTTCTCATCTTCCTTGTTTAAGCCTCAGTGAACTGGTTGACAATTCACTCGTGGCGGCCGCGGCCAACCAGGCAACGGCACAAGTGAAGTGAAGTTTTGTTGTCAAACTCAGGAACACGTGTTGTTCCCAAGAGTATTAATAATCTACCACCTTAGTATTCAACTAAATCCTAAAAGTGACCAGTATCTAATCTCTCCTTACAGTTATACGGCTGAGTCATTCATTAAGATCATGAGAATAAAGGAAATGATCACCAACCTAAGAAAGCTTTGATTGTTCAACAAATTCTCCTTAACAGTATCGAAAGAAATGCACAGAGGAGAGTATGGAGAAGATAGAAACTAACGGTCTAGGGATAAAAGATTCATTATCATTAGGAAGACTGAATCTGCTTCTGTACTGATGCTTGCTATTCTGCTTCCTGAAAATGAAAAAGACCTGTTAAGTACGTTACTGACAAAGGGAAGCACTACACTATGAATTTCCATCATATTGTGACACGTCAACTCCCCTTTGCAGGTCTGTCGTAGGAGTACTGGGTCCCAAAGGTGATCTAGTTAATCGGTACAGTTATGACCCGTATGGTAGGATATTAGCAGCCTCTGAAGAGTTGCCCCAGGACTTCAAGTTCATTGGTCAATGGGGAGTGACCGCTGATCGCGAACTAAGAAATATCTACTGGATGCGGTTCAGGCACTATGATGCACAGCTCGGACGATTTCTTAGCTTCGACCCACTTGGTATGGATTTCCCAGCAAACCTTGATGTGTTTATCGAACCAAAAAATTTAAGCTAAATTATACAAGCAAAGGATTGAACGAAGCAATTCAAAATATTTTGTTAGAGATGTTAGAGAACCAGACTTGAAGGCCCGTTTTAGATCATTTCAAGGCTAAGAATGCTAAAAAAAACCCATTAAATCACACAGTGTCATTTAATTCTGTTTTTCATTTCAGGTTTTTCAGGAAAAAGTATTAATCTATACTCGTACGCAGCCAACAATCCTATAATGCTGAAAGATCCTAGAGGAAAATTTTTTCCCTTTGCCATTATAGCTAGTGGAGCTGTGGGGGCGATTATTGGTTCAACGTCAAATGTTGTTGCTTATTATGCTACTCGGAAGATTCAAGGGAAGGAGGTAACTGTTGGAGGTAAGTGAACAGATTCACTCGAATATCTTCAGGCTTGTGATGAAAACACCATGATATCGTTTTCCAAACATATCGTTTACAGCCCGCATAAGCCACGTTGAAAGCAAAGAAAGTTTACGCGACACCAATAAAAAAAAATTAAAGACGAAATGTGCGCTAGAACATCGTGAACGGCTATAACCTATTGGTACAACAGCGAGGACTGTGAGAGAGTCTGTTTGAAAATACTTCAAATCAGCTGGATTTTACAAGCGTGTCAAAGATCAATTTTCTATCGAGTGTCCAAGTTCGCTTTGTTTTTTATGTAATTCGCTCTGTAATTGGTTCAGAAAACTCCCGCCCCTGTCTTAACCAATCGAATGCAAAAGTAAAACTAATCACGACTCTGTCGCCCGAGTTTTCCTGCGATGAATGGTCGGTTTCACTTTGATTTCTCATTGGCACTAGTGAAGCACTTTCTTCTGACTGGCTGTTGTGATTTCTTTGGTTTTAATCAACTGAAGAGCGCTGTATTGGCCAGACTATTGTTAATAATGCTGGATGAATTGAACTACAGTTCTAATGTTTGCCATCTTCAGGAGTCATATCAAGTGCCTTAGGAGGGTTTGTCTCTGGATACGTTAAAACAAGAAGTAAGTGCTATACTTTAAAAGAAAACGAAAGTATAGATTGTTGCTTTCTTCATCATCCTATTCCCTACATACGTGGTATGTGACTCATGATAAGATGTTTCATTTGAATGACTGTTTTGCACAAAGCTCTTGTTAACGTTAACAATGTTAATAATAGCAGTTTCTATATATATTTAATTACCTTTAACGCAGAAGTCGCAGCTGCGTTTGTTATTGGCTTTGGAAGCTCAGCACTTCAGCAAGGAATTGATAATGGTGTCTGGAATGTAAATTGGCGACAGGCGTTAGAGGGCGGTGTAAGTAGTGCGATCGCGTCGGCCCTACCACCCCTCAAGATAAAAAAATGGAGAACAGGTAGATGTAGATGATGATGTAGATGTACTCATGATTTTACTGTCCACCCCAGATACTGCTGTGAAGAAATTGTTTCGAGACTTTCCACATAAGTTTTAATGAGTTCTGATCGCTTCTGGACTGCTTTTTATTTTCTGTTTATGCCTGATAATGTCGTATTAAAGATTCGTCCATCGCCTAGATGCAGGAGCCCGAGGAAAGAAATTTTTGTTTTGGTGTACGCTGTTTTGATAGACGTAGCCATGATTTTATTTTTACCCAGATATGGAGAGTTCTCCAAATCTAAGCCACTCTATCAAAAACGAGTCTCCTGTAAAGACAGGGCGAGCCGACAATTGAAAATTAATGAACTTATTCTCACACTATCCTATGCCACTGGCCTGAAACGTTGTCCCTTTCGGACTGAACTTTCCCGTTTCGTACACTGCGGGAAATTCTTCCGGGAGTTGCCCTTCTTTGTTCAGTCATTGAAGTGCTTATCATGTTGATGACTGAGGCATTCCAGTCTTGAACACTTGGAAACAAATTATCCATGAGATTATATTTTGAGAATTTTTTTTGCACAGATGTAAAGCCTTCCACATCTTAATGCTGCGTTTCTTTTAAAGGGATTGCCCCAGTGGACGATTACCTAAACGATATATACGATAAGACTATCAAAAATCTTATTATTCCACCGCTGGGAAAACACATCTTCACTGACAATATCAACTGGGTTGGGTCCTGGGATCCGGTGAGATGATTGACTAGTAAATGTTATTTTTTCTAGATTCAATGTTAGATACTTAAGTTTCCTTTATTGTCGCAATACACGTGCGCACAGTGTCCCCTGTGGGTCATATTATGACTTCTATACAAACTATTTGCGGAGGTAGCATTTTAAGTCAGTTCAAGAGTTGTTTGTCTGACATTAAATGTTCATTAAGTCTGATTGATAAGTTTGATCATGGTGGTTTTTTCAGTGACTCGAGCAGAGCTCCTTTTAAGACACCTTATCAATTTTGATCGAGAAGTGCTTTTTACTCGTCGGCGACGCTGTGGATTGTCTGTGTCAATATCAATATCTTTATAACTTTGCGTATCCTAGATGTTGGTAATTTAGCGTCAACAACTGAATTGAAAACGTAAATTGGCCACCGTAAAAGGCAAAAAAGCTGACGTTTCGAGCGTTAGCCCTTCGCTCTGACGCTCAGTTGTTAACACTAAATTACCAGCTATACTCTCCCACCGACGCAGCACCACAGTTCCTTTAGAAACTTACCCCCTTTATTCATTTATCCTAGATGTTGTCTTTTGAGACTTTCGCTGTAACTGCTCATGCAAATACTTAACCAGGCAAAGCTCTGTTTGAATGACTGGGGAGTTATGATAAAGAATATTTTGATTTCAACAGGTCGCGCATCAGAGAAAACGATGCGTACTCATTGTATGCATACAGTTGTGATGCATGTATGCAATCGTTTGCTTTCATTCTGTCAGCTTTTTCAGTAGCTTAACTCAAAGTTAATTTTCAAGTCCTCACCGCAACTTTGCAGACGTTACCTGATGAACGAGGATTGATTGTTTTTTATGTATCCTTGATTTGTCACAGAATGACATGATTGGTCCTCCTGGATATGGAGACGCTCGCTTTATTTCATTGAAGACTCCTCTGAACTACAAGATCAGGTTTGAGAATGATGCAAATGCCACCGCGCCTGCGCAGAACGTGATTATCCTGCACACTTTGGATCAAGACCTGGACATTCGCACATTTAGAATTACAGGGTTTGGGTTTGGCAACTTTACTAAAAGGCTAAGCAAGTCTATAGCCTCCATTCAGGTAAGGAAACCAACCAAGCGTGTTGAGCTTTATAAATATCCTATATCACCTTAGAGCTCTAATCTTCAGTCATACTGGTTGTGACTACAATACATTGAGAAATTCTCTGCGATAAGTTTATTAAATAGAAAATAATAAGACATCATTTTCTCATGGTTCATCTACCACTTAACCCCTCCCCCCACCCCTCCCACCCCACCCCTCCTCAGTCCCATTCCGCCAAGAGATGTCAATCGCAAGAGAGCCATAGGTCTAACTCCTCTTGGAAGCGATCCGAAATCCCCTACCATCGTCCATGCCTAGACCCATGCTTATGTCAGTAACTAAACAATATCCAGCCATTACTTAGATGCAAGATTTTTAAAGCGTTCCCTTATGAACATTCTTTGACACACTTTAAAGTATACATTACGAAAATACATTACGTACATCGATAATGTTGATATCAACATATGTATAATGAATTTTTTTATTATTATTTGGCAGGAAACAATAAATTTTGTATCAGAGAAAAACCTTTATGTAAGAGTAGTGGCTGGCATAAATGTACTTACCCGTGAGGCACACTGGGAGTTTCAGAGCCTTGATCCTCTCACAGGTAGCTGATTGTTCACATCACAAAAGGATCTACAACTTGCCTCTGATGATAAACATGACCATGATTTATGCCAAAATGAAAATTTCACTTGTATTTCTCGAAAGGAAGAAACGACAAACGGGACGGTAAAATTTCACAAGAACGCTGTTTACGTTGGGTAAAATATGTTTACTTTTCAAGAAAAAAAAACACGCAGCATGAGATCAGAACTTTTCTTGCGTCTGGAAAGCAGAAGAATTGGGTATAGATTGGTGAATGTATGATCATTTGTTTTTTTAAAATCAATGAGTTTAAAAACCCATCTTGTAATGTTTGAGTATTTTTCAGGCTATTAAACGGGATTATAACATGGTATTATGATTCTGGGAATGAAACCCTTCAGTGTGTTCGCTTAAAATCATGGGCATTGGGTGACATTCTCAAATGTTAATGTTTACGTCCCAAATTTTTTCTCTATTACAGGTGAGACTCCTGATGATCCTCTAACTGGTTTCCTTCCACCAAATAATGGTACCACCGGACAAGGATATGTGAGTTTTACGGTTCGCTTAAAGAAGAACGCGCAATCTTTAGTAAGGATTGATGCGAAGGCGAGCATCTATTTCGACAAGAACGAACCGATTGACACCCCTCCAATATTTAATACGGTGAGGAGTTTGATAAAGCAATTGAGGTTGAGGGATGTGAATACCGGATGAGTTAAGGAAAAGCCAGAAAAAGCACAACGTAATGTTTTTGTCGTTCTAAAGCTAAGAGGGAGGGATTGCAGGATTGATGCAGGATGGGACACCCTACGAAGCAAGAGATGACGGCGATAAAAAATGCAAACGATCAATTGAACGCACTTAATAATTCCCCCTTGTATTTCTCGATTTCTATGGATCCAGATTGACAGTTCCATGCCGTCATCCAATATATCTGTGATAAATGAAGTAATGGAGGTTGGAAAGTTGGCCCTGGAAATTGATACACTGGACGAGGAATCTGGGGTGAAGTCTGTTGACGTGTTTTATCTAATCTCAGCCAGCAGTGGTGAGTCTCTGTGATTTTGTTCGATGTTTTTTAAGCTTCAGTCAATGAGCAATAGCGTTTGGGCAAATAATCCACTTTCAGTTGTCTTTATCTAATAGAAAGTATTAGGTATACAACCAGAATTACGCAAACCCTATCGGGGATGTGAGCTCACAAAAAGTTTCCTCGGTGTTTTTAGTAGCATTTGTGAGTAGATAGCCGTGAATAAGAGAAGATGAAGTGACGAAATTAGTCCTTTCTAGCCCTGAGTAAATGATTTACACTTTAAAAGCTTCTGATACCGATATTTTTTTTGTCTTGCAGTTGTGCCCCAGAACCGACAGTTACTTCCCTTGGTGTCCGATGTCGTTGACAACACAGTGTTTTTACCCCTCCCCCCTGGGAACACCTACTCACTTTTGGCTTTAGCTGTTGATCATGTGGGTAACAGACAACTGATGGAGTGGAATCGCGCAATCGCAGTGGACTTCTCATTGCCAACACGTGGGTCCCATGCAGTCAAACATTGTTCATTATAATCAACAAAATAACGCACATTTAACATCTTCAGTTTTTAGCCATAAAATCTTGCAAGCCTGGAAGAGAGTCATGTAACTTAACATATTTGGTTGGTGCAGTTAACAGTCGAATAGTTACATGTGATACTTTTTGCGCTTGTTTACCACCTCGCTGGTTTTTTTTGTCTATCGTACATTGTTCCGTTAACTTTTTTTTTTTAATTTTTCACAATATTTCGCAACTTATGTATTAAATCCCAATCAACATGTTATCCTTTGACCTCCTTCCCACTCGTCAACTTCAGTTTAGACTTGCGGCTATCTACGTGTTTATTCAGGAGAACGCACCAAGTCAATCCACTACTATTCACGATGACAATTAATTTTTTTTGTTTTCACCGCAGCATCGTGTGAACGGCTAAATAACTGCTCCGGCCGTGGAAACTGTACTGATTTGAATTTCTGTGTTTGTGAAAGTGGATCTTATGGCTTTAATTGCTCACTTGGTGAGTATTTTCGAGCAGAAAGCGTTGGAACGAGATAGTTTGTTGAATACGATATGAATGAAATTATTGATGCTTTCATTCACTGGTTAACATTTGTTTTTGAATGATAATAATTATAATGATTACAATAGTAATAATTATGAGAGCTTAATAGACTAAATCCATCATCTTATAATGCCACTTATGTTATTAATTCATTTGCAGATTTTCCTCTACGATTTGAGCCCCCGATAATCAATGCCATGTACAGTGACACAATTGAGGACGTGCCCGCTCAGTTATATCTCTCCGCTTTTGTTCCGGATTTTGACATTAACAGCTACACTAAAAATTTCACCCTGAAACTCATAATCCATGAAATTTCCGAAGGAATGGCTTTTAGTAAAGGAAACAGGAGCAGCGATCGTATTGTGTTAGAGCCTGCAGATTTTGGCGATATATGGATGATGCCCCAGAAAGATTTCTCAGGACTCGCGAGGTTTAACATTACGGCAATAGTCTCCACCCCAATAGAAACTAAAGCGGTCTCTAGACATATTGAAATAAACATCACAGCCGTTGCAGATGTTCCATTTCTTAATGTCAGTGTGCCGTGTCACCATTGGAACAGCAGTGAAAAGCTTATTCCAGTGTTCCTAGAAGCCCATCTGAATGACCAAGATGGATCAGAAAATCTAGCAATCGTCTTTTCGGGTTTATCGACGGGCTATCGATTAGTTCACGTGAATGGCACGAGCTTGGTGAACAGAAGTAATACAAGAGCCCCTCAAGACGCGCCCCATCTGTTTATTTCAATAAACGAGACTTTAAAACCATGCGTGCTAAGAGTAATTGCCACGGCAGAGGAAAGATTCAATGGAGACCAAGCAAACCAAACAGCTGATGTTAATGTTACATTCTGTGGTAAGTCTTGTGACATCGAGATTTGGTTACAAAACCGTGAAAGCGTAGTCTTGTTCACGGTGATTTCCACGGTGATTGTATGACTGTGGTTTAAGGACCTTTAATCATTCGGGGATTGGGCCTTGACTGGAGTCCCTTTTCTGAGTTATTGGATAAAGGACAGGCATTCAGAAAATCGAGTTGATAGGAGTAAACGAAGAAAATTTGGGCATACTCGTTGGTTCATGCTGACGGCAAAGTCAAAAGTTGAGCTTTTTGGAAGAAAACAGCCCTAAGCAGAGAATAGTCTTGCTCACAGTGATTTCCATGTATGACTGGGGGTTAATGACTTTTAATTAGTCGGGGATTGGGCCCTGACTAGAGTCCCTCTTTTGAGTTATTGGATGAAGGACAGGAATTCAGAAAATCGAGTTGGTAGGGGTAAACGAAGAAAATTTGGGCATACGATCTGGGATTCGTTGGTTCATGTGGGCGGCAAAGTCAAGAGTTGAGCTTTTTTAAAAGAAAACAGCTATAAGCAGAGTCAAAGCAAAGTAATTATACGCAGACTGGAAACAGTTTGGTTGTGGTTACTCCAATCCTTGTTTCTTTGCTGCAAACTTCACTTGCTACAATTGCACCCGTTTTATTTGGGTTTGGCTCTCGTTGACTTGAACTACATGGTGCTGTTCTATTTCCTTTACACTAAGATTTCTTTTCACCCAACCGTTTATCTGCCTCGCTCGTAGCTAACTTGAATAAAGGGGTAAGTTTCTAAAGAAACTGTGGTGCTGCGTCGGTGGGAGAGTATAGCAGGTAATTTAGTGTTAACAAGTGTTGTTAACACTAAATTACCTGCGTAGCTAACTTGATTTGTTCGCCTGTTCTCAATCTTCTCCTTGCAGGTAGAAATCTCAAAGATATCCTCATGGCTTGAAGTCGCCCTGAGAACTTTTCTTAATTTTTAGCTCTTGAAAAATTAAGGACCCAACATGTTTTTGTTGTTTCAGTGACTTGTGAGGCAGTGAAAAACTGTTCCAAGCATGGAAGTTGCATAGAAGTAAATACCTGTGATTGTGATAGTGGATTCAAAGGATCTCTTGATTGCTCAACGGGTTTGTTTCCTACTTCAGTTTGTTCAGTGTTACTTTCTCTCCCTTTATTTTGCAAGATCATTTCATTGCATCATGTCTTACCTCTTTTATCTTTATACTCTCACTTTTCAACTGTAATAACAGTTTCCTGTGAAGAAGTAAATAGCTGCTCCGGAAGAGGAAACTGTACCGGCCCTAATGTTTGTACCTGTGAAGATGGATACAGAAGTGTCGGGTGCTCACAAGGTAACTGACATTTTATTTTCTGAATTAGTGACAACTTTATAAATACCAATTTTGATTAAACGTTATATCAAGGTTTATTAAACCCCGGAATGTTCCCACTCTTATTGGCCCTCTAAAAAGTAAAGCATGCATCGTTCTCAATGAAAAGGCTTCATTAATCTCTAGTTTTCCCAGTAAAAATAAGTGCAAAAAAGTCAAATAATTCTTTGATTAACCGCCTTCTACAATCTGGAACAAATGAAATGAATTGTCAAATTGTAGTTTTAGCCGGTACGTAAATGCTAAGACTAAAACGCTGTCCATTTCCGAGCCCGAGGACACTGTTGCGTAGGTACTCTTCCCCTTGGGGCATGCCGTTATTTTGTGAGAGAAGAGGGGGAAAGAGGGATTTTTTTCGAACCTTTGAATGTTGGTTATCATAACTGGCATATCATACATCTTCTGTAACTAGTTCAGCCAGTTTCTGTGTTTCAAAATTATCATTCCTCGTCCTTTCTATGGATGCATCTTTAACAAATCTTTTCTTTGTATTTTCGTTTTCGTTTAAGCAACCTGTGAACTTCGAGATCACTGTTCTTATCGTGGTGACTGTATAGGACCTAATGTTTGTTCATGCTACGTCGGTTCCCAAGGATTGAACTGCTCTGGAGGTAAGATAAATGTGAAACGTTCAAATTTACTTTTCCTCTGTCGCCCCACGATGAAACGGTTAAATGGGTTTACCAGGTAAGAAGAAGGGGATCGGTTTCAGTAGCTGAGTAACTGCGCACTTAGGGTACCACTCCCATAATCCAATGACAGTCAACTGCTATCAAGTTAGGGTTAATGTTGGGTTGAGGGAGGGGTGGGTACGTAGTTGCTCAGATAATGACATAGGTCTGAAAAAGGCATTAGTTATCATCGTTACAATTTTTACAACTGATCAATTATCTATTTTGCGTTTTAACACAGTGAACTGTAAATTAGTGAACAACTGTTCAAATCATGGCACCTGCACCGGACCCAACCAATGCACGTGTGAAGAGACCCACCAGTCACCTGATTGTTCAATAGGTGAGAAAATATATCCGAGAAAAATAAGTATGCCCTGCTTCGCGTTGACTCCAGGAAACATTTATTGTTGTCATTACCATCACTTTTTTCGTTATTTTCGTTGTATTTTTGTCAATGGAGTGAAGGTTAAAAATATTGTTATCTTTAAAGTTGTCTTTACATTATTTTATCGTCTTCGCTATTGTTATTATTATATATTTCACATTTTCACGCTAAATTTTCGTCTTTTTATCGTCCTTATAATCATTACCATCGTTATTACATAATTTTTTTGGTGAGATGTCATCATGGTTAAGATTCTCTCTAAAATTGATTTCACTACCTCAAAATTTCAACCGTCTACGTTCGTCTCCAACATTTGATCGCTCAATTTTAAGTTAAAAAACCTTTTTGCAGGCAACTAGTTATACTAATCTACTTTCTTTAGTCTATTTAGATCTACGTTCCCAAGTGCTAATTGATGCTTTACTCTTTCAAGTTGGTATCATCAACATTCCGAAACATTTGTGGCATAACATCAATGCCTTAGATCTAACGTATATTCTACATACTTTAGATCTGTGGCATAACACCTGGAGTACTGTGGTACAACATTCATACCTCAGATATTCTGATAAAACAATTTTCTCTTGGATCTGTGATTTTAACACTCGTATCTCGGATTTGTGATAGAAAAACCCTTATCTCAAATCTGTGATATGAAATCCAAATCTCAGACCTAAGATATATCAGCCATATCGCAAATCTGTGGTATCGTACTCACATTATCTAAGATTTGTGTTATAAAAAGTATCTCAGATCTGTGATATAAGTTCCTATTTCAGATCTAAAATATGAAATCCATATCTTAGAGAAGAAATATCACACTCCAATGACAAGTCTGTCGCTTGAAGTCCATATCTCAGAGATGCCAAATGTATGGCGATATCTTAGCTGTATCGTATACCACTCATGCACTTTTCCTTTTATGCTTATTGTTTCATCTTGTCAAATAAAATGAAAGTGACTAACTGTATTTGATACTTTTAAGAGCAGGGCAGAGCAGCAGAGCTGGTCAGCAGTTGTTGTAGTAACTCAACGAGATGGTGATATAATCACACGAAAGAACGTTAAGAGTTCATTACTGTCTCATGTCCACTGAATGTTGCATAAAGACTGAAGGGAGACGATGCAAGTTCTTACAAAATTAATAATAATATTTTATAATATTTATTAATTTATAGTAGGCAAATATCAATTTACCATTTCAAGGTCAGATGCTCTTTACAATCAATATAGGTTTATGTAGAACTCGCTAATTACAGCAATATAAACTGAACTGGTCAAAATCATACACCATAATAATATTACTAGTAATAATATTGAGTAGTATTGATAAATAGAGAATAATACATGGGCGCGCGTAGATACGGTATTTCTCTCTGAGTTTTTAACTCGATAGCTCAAGAGTGAGCGCAGCGAACAAGTGAGATGTCGCGTTGAACAAGAGAAGAGAAATTTAACCTTTCTCTTTCTCCTTTTCCTTCCCCAAATCCCATTCGTGACGCCGTGCGAGCTACATCATTTCTCAGTGGCTCGTCTCGCTCCACCCATAAATATAACTCAAGACGTACCGGTAGCATACTAGACAAAAAGATAAGAAAAGAAATGGCAACGTCATTCATTTCGGTCTTCGATAATTGTCGTTTTGTTTTTTACGATTTCTGTTTGAAGTCATAAAGTTTGTTCTTCATTATTGTCTTCTGTGCTTTTGGTTCACATGTTTTTCAGATATTCACGCTTCGACCATCGATATATGACGATCAGTATGCTTCCATCTTTCAAGGTAAAAAAAAACTTTGAGTTCCCGTAATAACAGAAGGCTTATTAAGCAGAATTTCTTCTCTCAATCCATGTTTTCCACCTCTGTCCATTGCGTTGACTATCCCCTGTATTCTAACGAGTAAAGATGAAACTCTTATGATAGCCGGCATTCGCTGTCAAACCTCCATCTTCATTCTATTTTCTTAACTTTAAGATGAATGTTTATGTTTCGCCATATTACAGCTAAAATGCTACCATCCATTTCCTCTTTATTTTAAAAAATGTCAGTTAATTTTGAACACAGTTTCTGTTGCAGCATGATTATCTCCAATTGCCTCAGTCGTCGAGGAATCTTAGCAGAAGTGAGGATCAGCTGTCGCCTATAAGTGCATGAATGTCTTTTCTTTCCCCAAAAGTGAAGAACTGTCTTGTCTCCGTTGGAAACTCTCTTCTAAAATCGATGCCGTTCATTCAAGGGTCCCATTTTTGGAGAATTACCACTGACCAGCTGCATCGTTATTATACATATCAGCCTTGTTATAATATTTATAAACCTTAAGTTTCAGACATGTTTGTAATAAATCTATATTTTACTATTTACTATTGATAAGGCAATAAACTTATAATAACGATTTTATTCATATCTTTTGAAACACTCTCCTTCCCGTCCAACCTTATCACATCCACTCCCATCAATATACGAGCCGTCTCCGTTCTTATTGCAGTTTCCTGCATGACTTCTTCGCCCTAATTCCCTTAAGTATAATCAATAATGGTCCCAAACAGAAACAAGACAGTTATTCCATTGTTAAAGAAAACTACAGTTACAAAACATGTACATTTTTGGGAAATGAGTCATGAATGAAAGCTAGTAAAGTCGCCGGGAAAGACCTCATGTTAAATTTGCTCTTTGCTGCATTATCAACCACATGGTGGTTAATTGCTGTTGTGAAATAACCATCATGAGTAAGGTACTTTTTTATTTTTGGAATTCATATATTATAAGGTATTGATATTGACTGGAGCAGTCTTGATGCTTATATCATGCATATGGTAAGGACTTCTCGAAGTACATCATCAGGCAAAATATCACTCTCATGCATGCAATTTTCTATCAGAAAAACGTTACATCATAGAGCTCGCTTTCGATGAACTAAGAATGTATTCAAATTTGTCCTCTGGGTTTGTTCCAAACTATTATTTGCTCTACTTAAAGGAACCTTCCATTTCAGACGGCTTGTGGTCAGCGGTGGACCACTTATGTAATAACAAGCAACTCGTACTTTACGATCAAAGACCAACCTTTAAACTGAACTGACTCAACTTTCAGCCTCTATGGCTGATCACGGATCACGATGTCTTCAGGGAGCAAGCGTTATCATTTTCTACTTCATCTTGTTGTCTGGAACTCTCTTCTTCTGTGGCCCATTATTCTTTTACGGACTTTATCGATGCTTCCACTTTAGTTGGCCGCTCGGTTTTGCCTACATAGCCTGGTGGTATTTAGTTGATTTGGAGACTCCTAACCGTGGAGGAAGAAGAGCAGAGTTTGTGAGAAATAACGTTTTCTTTAGGTACATGCGAGATTATTTCCCAGTCACGTTACTTAAGACCACAGATTTAGACTCTTCCAAAAACTACATATTTGGTTACCATCCTCACGGCATGTTCCCTGATGGCCTGGCCTTGAGCTTCGGATCAGAAGCCTTGCAGTTCAGTAAAATTTTTCCAGGGATTGTTCCTTACATTGGGGCACACTCTTGTACGTATACCATAAAATTATGAAAGTCTTCTATTTATCATGTATATTTTTCATTTCGGGTGGTAGCGTCAATTCCATGTTTTGTCACGAAACGACGTCACGTACCAACGCAACGTCAAAAAGCGTAACTTTCACTGCGTGACATCTTAGGAAACATTTGCGACGGAGATCAGATCAAGAATAGGCTGATCGTTTAAAACTATGAATAATTTTAACCATGTAAAAAAACGCAGTGGCTTAGCGTTACTAAATCCCTGTAATTTTCACTCCCTTTCCGCTTTCTTATTCATGTCTAATTGATTTTTGTTGAGTTGATAGCTTACTCCTACCCGGAGTGATAGCATGCTTAACAGTCTCCCTTTCTCTAGATGATAATCAGGAAATTCATGCCATGATTAATCATTCAATCAATTTTTTAATGATCTATTACCTCAATTTGCTGATTGATTCACTTTGTGTTGTAGTCATGAGTAGGTCCCCAATTTTTCGTGAAATTGCCATGGCTCTTGGCGTCATAAATGTCCATCGTGACAGCTGCAAGTTTGTATTGACTCAGCAAGGACCTGGACATTCTGTTGCCATAGCAATTGGTGGAACATGTGATATACTTAACATGAACCGTGACTCTTATGTCATAACTCTTGAGAGGCGTAAGGGTTTTGTTCAGCTGGCCTTGGAGACTGGGTAAGAGGTCAATTTTCTGTGTTAAACTGCAACATAGGAGGTCACAAGTATAGAGAGGTTAAGATGCTAATTAGCTACAGTGGGTTTGTGCAATTTTAAAATAAAAAGTCTGGTTAAAAAAGAGGTAAAAATTATTGAGCTCTGTAACTGGTTACTGGGTCTCACTCATGGTCAGCAAAGTAAATGAGGGGGCAGGGGGGGCTAGAACAGGCTGTCTCCTGTACCCTAAAGATTATGCAAAAAAATGGTCATGGGAAGTTTATTCCTTAACCCCCAGAAGCTATGAACAGCAACACTGAATGTATAGAATGGTGGGCTGATTTCACAATTACCAAGCATCAAATGTGTATGGGTCAAGCCTGAATTTTTTTTTTCCTTTATGATGGTAGGGCTCATTTAGTTCCAGTTTTTGCTTTTGGACAGAACAATGTGATTAGTCGTCAGCTTAAGCTGAACGGCCTCCTGACTGCTTATCACATTGGTCGCAGCAAATGGGAGAAGTGGATAAAAGTTTTCTTGAAGAGCTGTTCGGTACTGCCATATGCACAATATTGTGTAATGCCTTATTCCACACCCATAACTGTTGTTGGTAAGTTGTTTTCCATTTTAGAACCTAAAGTTACTTTGTTATAAATTACAGAAAATTCAAGCAAATTTCTAAAATAATGAGGTAGAGTAAACCCTTTCAACCAGCTTCCATTACTTACTAGTATATGTTTCTTTATATATATATATATATATGTATTTATGTATGTATGTATAAAACAGACATATTACAGACCAACATTGCATTTAATTTGACCCAGATTATTACTGTGTAACATTTTTCAGTTGGATCACCCATCCCTGTGGAAAGAGTGGAAAATCCAAGCAAGGAACAAATAAATAAACTGCATTCTGAGTATGCACAGAAGTTGAGGGAGTTATTCTATGAACATAGGGATTTCTGTGGAGTGCCACAGGGTACTGAGCTTGTGATTCAGTAGCACCAGAGCTTCAGCCCACAGTCTCACTAGTGTGCCTGTACAAAGAAACTGTAATCCAAATTTTATTCTTGTGAACCTTACATGGTGAGGCAAGAAGCAGCACAATTGATACTGAAAAGATGGTAAATTATTTTAGTGCTTCATTCAGGGATTTTTGAACACTTATTCTAGATCTGAAGACCAGCCCTGAACAACCTAACTGATTCCATTTCTCAACAGTTATGTACTTGACTTCAAAATAAACAAAATTTCTTTTGTTTTGCCTTTCCTATTTTTTACCTTTTCAAACCACGTAGAAACCTTGCCTCCTTAACGATAATGTGATAGGTGAAATTTCAGACAGCGTAGTCCAAATAGTTGAGATCAAGGATATTTTCTCTTTTGCATAACAAGACCACCATGGAAAAACTTAAGGATTAATTTAGGAAAAGATATCTGCAACTGAATCTTCCTATGATATTATTCATCTCAATCAATGATCTTTAAAGGGAAGGTAGTATGCGCCAGTTTTCCTGTTTATAGGACTGATAGAGTTACAGTCCATAAAATTTGAAATTGCCAAACGTGCCTTTTTTCAGAAATTTGGGGTGATAAAGGGCCTCTGTTTTTCTGCCTCATATTTATGCTGATACTCTCAGTTTAGTCAGTTGGACAATGAGTTGAATGAATTTTTGAGCAAGAGAAATCCAGAAGATTACAAAAGCCTCTTCAATTTGCCAATTCACCAATGTCCTAATTAAAACCCTGAGCTCTCCTTGTGAATCACAACACAAGGGTAAAAGTAGATAAGAAAAGATATAGAAGAGAACTACTTTAAGAGGAAATCTTTGTGTGCACAAGGATGTCCCAACCCTCAAAATCAAGAAAAGAGAACATGAGCTTGTGCTCTCTTATACCAAGAGGTCAAATTTGGTAACACAACAGGAAATCAGAACCTTTGAAGAATTTAAAATTCAGTTTTGAATGCATTGTTTAAATGTTCTACTTTACTGTTGAGGAAAATATTTTAATTTTTACTCTTTGTTTGTTTTTCTGGTTTGTTGTTTTTTTTTTTGTTTGTTTTGTTTTTTTTTCTTAATTTTAGTACTCTAGCCCTTCTGGTATACCTCAAGTCCATGTTTCATACCTGTATCTCAAAGTAAGACGATTGTTCGTAGTCCGTGGTCCTTAGTTTAAAGTCCGTTCCACTCTTATCGTTTTCAAAATTCCTCTTCCGGTAGCGAGAAACCGCACCTATCGCGCTGTCTGTTTACGCAGTTAGTCTTCTTTCTGACTGAACTCTACATACTTGCAAGTTCTGTAAGACGAAAAAAGACTGATTTAGACTCCTAAAACCTTGATTCAGCTTGAAAAGAATGGCAAGTGAGCCTCACGAGTGGCCTCAAGGTTATGGATATCAACAACCACAGCAACCTGTCATTCAACAACAACCAGGTAAATCGAAACAACCTCACAGCTTTTCCAGGAAATGGTGTACTTTCAAACGTTCGATGAAATAACGCTTTCTGTGAAATACTAATGTTGCTCACCACCAGTTTAGATGTTAAGACAGAACGACCTGACAACACCCGCCAAAATTTGCAAGTGTTCTGAGGAAAGCTTCACCGCAGCTTGCCCGCCGCAACCTCAGCTCAACTCCAGCTGTAAGCTTGTTACACAGCTACAGGAACTTTTCCTTGACAGATTCGCTGATGATAATCTTTAATTTCGATGCATTTGTAGAATTAAAAGTTTTTTATCCATCATTACGTTGCCAATGCTTAATTCACGAGAAAAAAATTGATTTTGCAATTTTTGAGCGTAGGGGTCCCCGGACAAATGAGTTGGATGCCTGCACCTCAAGTGCCAATGGGCTGCCCTCAAGGACTGGAATATTTATCGGCCGTCGATCAAATACTGATTCATCAACAGGTCGACCTTGTCGAAGGTAGCTTTGTAGCTAAGTGATTCATTCAAGCACGAGTTTACGCTAAACCACAACAACCGTTGACCGAAACTTATTCTGAGAGTCAGAGAAGCCTAGGTGTTCTGACTGAAAGGAAAAAAAAAAGATGGAGAAAGATGAAATTAGATAGCTTCTGCACCTGCTGAATCGAAAATTAGTCACTGTATGTAATGTTAATTACCTTGAATCAAAGCAGTCCTTGTCACCCGACATGTCATCTTATAATTCTGGAACCAAACATTATCTGAACCTGTTCTTGATATGAGTCATATTGATCTTAGTTCTTCATCTTTTTATTTCAAAGTTTTGACTGGATGTGAAAGAACTAATAAGTACAGGATTTGCAATACCATGAGTCAACAAATATACTTTGCTCTTGAAGGTAAACATAGCTCTGTATTTTTTTTTTTTGTTTCTTAGCTACCAAGTTTAATAATACCAAATGTAACACATCTTAGTAGAAAATGGGGCGTCACCTGTTGGAATTTTGTTGGGGTGGAAAGAGCCACAGGGCCTAGAAACCTTGACCCCATGTTAAGAAAAAATCTATCATTTTCTCCTCCATGATTTAAGTCAACTCATTGAATGCCTAAGAGAGTGGGAGGGGTATTCCTAGTGATTGGCTAGTGGGGATGTAGCCCTACATGGCCTCCCATTTTCACAACTGAATTGAATATAATCAGGGTTTGCATTTTCAGTAGAGTTACTAGAACAAAGTAGCACATTTTTAGGATTTTTGGGTAAGAAGATTCTGGTAAGTAAGGATATAAAAAGGGAAAAATCTAGAGGTATTTCAAGCTGTTGTAGATTCATATACAGAAAGTGACCAAGTTAAGATTAGGAAAATCACAGTTGCCCAAAAGTGACTAAGATTCCAAGAGGCAGGGATACAAATCAAGCAAAAATTGACCCAAGTCCCCAACCCCCTTAGTTTCAAGAACCAGAAAACAATTCCCTATTTACCTGCAGCTCATACTTGTTTAAGCTCACCCTGAGACTAATCAGGAACTAAGTATCTCGATCCAGTTTAACCCTTAACTCCCAGATCAAATTTGTCATTCTCCTTACTGTTAACTATACAATTTCTGTTTGTTCAGAGAATTTAGTATTGGATCAACTAATTATCGTATTTACTTGTGTATAAGTCAACCCCCCATTTTCAAGATCAAAAATCGGATTTTTCATCATTTCTAGTCAAAGAAGTTAATCTCTTATTTCTGAAAATGTATTGAAAATACAGGGAATTCAAAAAAATGCAGAGCAAAATGTAACCGTATGCTGTGAAGTTTATTAGCACTTGTTGATATCACCACTGGAGAAGTATTATACCATATTTTATAAATCACATTTAAAATGAAATCTTCTTGCATTTAAATAACTTTTATCTTGATGTTTTTGAAAGGAGATTAATTAGCCCGAAGGTCAGTACTAAAGTACCTTGATAAGGATCACACATTACAATTAAGACTGCGTGAGCCAGCTCACTAAGCCACTGTAATCATTCAATGAAAACAAAAGTTCAGCACCATAAACTGCAGCGAAGCTGCTGGCAAAAAAGTCTACTCTACAGTCCAAAGACACAATAGAAATCAGCTCCAGTAGCCTTTCGTTAAGCCACTTAAAATTTATTATTTCAAACTTTTTTGTTGATGAAGAATGTGCTAAAAATTGACGAAACTCGAACACAATTAGAACTGGTTTTATAAACTCGGTTTTCCTAATGGACTTCAGGTGATTGTTATGCTAATTTCTTGGATTGCTTGGGTCAGGTCTTTGTGTATGACTTATGTGTAAGTCAAGGGTGATTTTTTGGGCTGATTTTTTAATGGGTCATAAAAGATCGACTTATATGTGAGTAAATACAGGTATCCCCAAATTGATATTTTTCTTTATTCTCATCACTTATCTAGTTGCTATAGTGTAGATGTTGTAAGGAGAAATTCTGTCTTGGTCACTCATAGGAGTAAAAGGGTTAACTCTGTTGTCTTGTCAGACACAGACTGCTGTACTCGACAGTGCTGTGGTCCAGGTCGTCCATTTGAGATGAGAATTGTTGATAACATGCAAAGAGAAGTGATGCACCTCTCTCGCCCTGTGCGGTGCCAGTGCTGTTGGTGGCCCTGTTGTCTTCAAGAGATTGAAATACAAGCCCCTCCTGGAACAGTCATAGGCTATGTGCAGCAAAAGTGATGATATAAAATTTAATATTTTTTTCTCTCAGCTGAGAAATTAAATCATGGTCATAATAACTAAACTGGTAGTTACACAAGTTTTAAGGAAACCCCTGTGACTTTGTTATTGAATCCATCATGGATAATAAATAATATTCCTTACCTGCCTGAATTTGAAGGTATGATGTAAGTCACAGCCATGGAGAAAATTCATGCATAATGGGCAATGAAAAATCCCTCTGTGTAGAAATAATTGATATTTTTAGGAGCCAAACTTAAAAATATAGAAAGGTCATTGTTCAGCTTTTATTGGTGCAATGCACATACTGCATTCCAGACTAGATTGTCTGTTGAAATTTGCATTAATTTATCTTGGTATAATTCATCCTGGCTTTCAAGGCTTAAATTTTTAGAATAATTGTCCTTGGAGTTGAAGCCAGTTCAGTCTCACATTATCAATAGCCTGACACAAGATGAAATTTAAACCAACTGTCAATTGATCATATCAGAGATATTCCCTTACCAAAATTAAGTACACTTTTAGTATACTATTTCTGTAATCAAAGTGTACTGCAAATAAGTTACACAAAGTATACTTTCAGTAGACTTGAAGTATAGTTTACAGAGCTACTAAAAGTATACTTGTAGTATACTTGTTCCCACTGAAATTGGAACACCCAAAAGTATACTTGAAGTATACTTGAAAGGTACTGAAAATTTTGCAGTGCACTTCAAGTATACTTCATGAGTAAAACCACTAGTGGCAAACTGACAAGTACAGTATACTTAAAGTATACTTTAAGTATACTTAGAGTGTATTCAAGATATTATAAATGAATGGCATACATACCTGCAGCCAGGTAAATTAATATGCACGAAGAGGCATGCAACCACTAGTTCATACGGCATATATTCAGCTGTATTATATACTTGGCCGAGTCAGATAAGCATTCAAGCAAAAGTATGAAATTCATGTCTTTAATTTATTTGGTACAACTGACCATGACAAATAACCTAAAATTTGTACAATAGACTGCTTCTAAATTGTCTTTTGATGCAAAAATATATATTTTAAAATGAAATCCATCATTGGATTATTTCATAAATTTTAACAATAAATTCCATGCAAATTAGAACTGACTCTCACAATGTTGGGATACTTAACAAAAACTATTCATTGTTTTAAAACGAAGAATATCTGTAAAATGGACTTCATCATTCAATCATGTAAAACAGAAACAAATTTCATGAAAATCAGCAATGTCACTTACAATGTCTCTAGTTGGGATTAAAGCCAATAAAAAAATGGTTGTTGTAAAATGTAACAATCAAAAAATTGACTTTGTTATTTAATAATTAGAGAAGCAAGCAAGCCTTTGTGCAAATCATAATAGAAAATAGTCTATCTACTGAGTATCCAATCATATCATTTTAATTAATCTTAATTCAATCGATTCAATTGTTTACTTTCCTGGCAGGTTGCCAACCACTTGCCCTTGTGGTTAGAGAACTAATTTTATTTCTCAGGGCTTGCTTGATTGTAGAGGCCTTCCCCCCTTGCTTTACCACAAAATCTGCAAAGAAAAAGAAACACAGGAGCTTAACTTTTTAGACTTATGCATGACAACAAGGTTGTGTTACTTTGGAAAGACTCATACCACGATCAATAATCCGAGATCACTTAGATCAAAGGAACTTCTGAATACTTGCTTGGAGTTGTTTTCCTCACTTGTTTTATATGGATTGTCCCAAAGTTTTTTTACAAGGCTGATCCCTGAGAAAGTCATGTTGATCAACATGTACAAGTGTACAGATTCCCAATAGTAATAAAATGACAAAAACACCAAATGCAATGTACTTACCCAAAATTGAGGAAACAATGTCAGCATTTAAGCCCTCTCTGGCATTTGCTCCGGTCAGATTCTTTCCCACTAGCTCAGAATTTTTATAAAAGCAGCTGAGCAGGAAACATGCTGCTGAAGTTGGGCTGTTTTTACTCTTGGCTGTGTTTATGTGATCCTCGTATAAGTAGACACCTCTACCTTTTGATAACTCAACCATCTAAAAAGGACACACAAATTTAACCATAAAGTTTTCATAACAATCATGTCATGTTTTTAATGTTAAATCGAAGGAAGGCTATGGTGAACATTTGAATTTTGAAAGTGCATGACCACTAAGGCAGTGAAAGCACTTTCAACTGATTCCCTGCACAGAAGTTTTCAAGTAGTCCCTCCTACAATAGCCATGTAAGAAATTATTTAAAACTCTAAACAAACTTAGTCTACATTGCATTTGATTGTCAGATATGCCTCTTAAGCTCTAATAATAAAAAATATATAAATTCGATAACTTAAGCTTCACAATCTAATTGCCAGGTATTAAGCCTTAAAGCATTTACCTTGAAGCGTGCTGCCACAATCTCAGGGACTTTCCCAGGTCTGGGTAGCTCTTCATAACAACCATTCACTACAACAGATAAATGGATTACATCATAGCTTTAATTACCTAGCTAACATGGGAAGATTAAATGTAGCAATCAATCAGTGGGTCAATCTGCTTGACTGTCACCAGTATTTTAATTCATATAAGTATGTAAATGTGGAAAGATACTCTTCCCTTCAAAATAATATTCATATCGTAATACAAGCATCACTATTTGAAACACAATAAGATGCATCATTAAAATACAATTTGCAAGAGTTGTAGCCTTATTAAAGTGCTTTAAAATGGTTTATTCCCTACTTTCAGAGTTATTGTAAAATTATACAAGATAGACTATGATCAACTGGTATCCGTCTTTCCCCTCACAATTAGTCAATCCAATGAGAAGCAAAAGGAAAAGCAGACAGGAAAATGCCCTGCATTTTCTATCTTATCATTAAATATGTGAGTGCTAGTCATGTAAAAAGTGAGATATAATTACCTTGAGCCTTGAGTTGAGAAATTTCTTGATTTTGTGCAGCTATGATTTCCTTGTACTCCTCACATTTTTGGCAGCTGTGGTGGAATGTGGACCTTGGCTTTTTTCCACCCACAGTTGGTCTTGGAGGAAGTTGTGGTTGACTCTGGGAGAAATCCCTGGGTCTTTTTCCACCAACTGTTGCTCTTGGGGTTTGTAAAGCTGGTTTGGCAGAGTTGGAAGGGGGAGGAAGAGAGAGGGGGGGATGAAGGTAAGATGAACATTCGGATATAATATCTCTTCCACCAAAATATTCATCATCATCCATGGGTTCAGCCCTGTCAACATTATACTCCTCTTCATCAGATAAATTGGTAAATGGCTGCTTGCTTTCGACATCTAGATTTCTTGCTAAAGAGTTCATCTCTGCAAGTATGCAGTTATCCCTTTCCATCAAAGCAGCTCTTTCCTTTTCTTTTACAGCCTTTTCCCTTTCCTTGTTTTCCTTAGCCTTTTGTTGTTCTACTCGTTTCTTCTGTCGTTCTGCTTTCTTTCTTGCAATTTCTTCCCTATCCACCATTTCTTTTTTGTGTGGATTCTTCACCCTCCTTCTCCTCACCAACATTCTTTCTGTTTTCCTTTGTTTTCTTTCCTATCTTTTTCATTTTATTTTGTTCTGTTTGTTTGGGGTTTTTCAATTTCTGCATGGCAACTTTTCTTTTCATCACTTCCTCTTTATCATCTGCAAGTTAAAACATCTCCAGCTATCAAAAAGATATCCATTAACAGTAAAAATAAACTTCAGTTGCAGCAACCAATCACAGCACAAGTTTGCAACAAAAGATTCTACATCTGTTTGTGAATTTGTTGCCTCCTCTTTCATCTATTTGAAGCTTGTTTTAAATTATTTTTATCAAATTAAATTATTTTATTAAATCCTATCAACAAAATATACAACTTGCAAGAGGCACACCATGTACCAGTAGTTTGTCACCATGCCTTTTCCATTGATTTGGGATTACAATATCCATTTCTATCCTTAATTACCTCCAGGGCTCGACACTAGCCACACATTGGTAGAAACACACATGGTTTTCAATCTCCACCAACCAGTCTAGCTAGTAAGCAAACTGAAATTGTTGTAACATCTAAGTTGACACTAACCACTTGGCTAGTAAGTTGAAAAGTTAGGGTCGAGCCCTGACCTTAATCATGACTTTTTCAAAAAGATTTTAAGAAAATGGATTGTATTTAAAGTAGGTGGCACCATTTTCATCAATGTCATGCTTCCATGATGAAAAACCGAGCCATTTCGTAACATTTCAGAGCTAATTCTTTCAGATTTGCATAGAAAAGCAAAATCAAACAACTTAGCTTCCTATCACAAGATGATCAAAACAAAAAAAGTGCTTAGACTCACCACTTTCAAAAATTATTGTGCACAAGTAAAAGGTATCCCCATACTGTGCCTCTTTAAGGCCATCTTCCCTTGTTCTAAAGTCGTCGTCAGTTTTGATGTCCAAAATACCGTCATCTACAAACTGAACCAAGTAGTACACTGTACGAGCAGGAAAGAAACATAAATTAAAAGGAAGTTTTACATATTAAAAGGAGAGGTAAATAGTAGGAACTGAAAGTATTATTTCAAATATGTGCTCCTAAATTGTAAAAATATAATGCCCTAATTTTGACATGAAGTCATGTACAAACAAATAGAGAGTTACTGTTTTGTGGTCTCTGGGGTCTCTCTTTTAAATCACCCGCGGTGGTGTGCACACGTGGCCTGAATTCGAAAATGAGCGCGAAAGTTATGAATAGACATTTCAAATTGCAAATCAACCACAAGAAAGCTATATATATTTCATTTTCGCATTGTGAATATAATTTGAAAGATATTTTGGGCCGGAACAATCGATTTCAAAAAGACCTGCAATCTGTTTCTGGAATATGTTTCACAACAAATCGGATTAAGACAGAATCAACTGGTGAACGCGCAATCGCTATGCTCTGATCGCTTTAATTCACGGCGAAGTTATGAACCCAAGGATTAACAGTTATAGGTTATTGAATTTAAGTGATAAAAATCCTTTTCGAAGGGCAAATAGCGAATTTCAATCTACCCTAACGATGTAAGCTTGATAATTTATGCAAACACATTCCGACGTGCTTTGATTAATTCACTGATTTTAACAAAGAATGGTAATTCAGAGTTAACACAAAAGGTCACAAACCTTGATCCTCCAATCGTTTGGGAGCCTTGTTTGACCTTCTGGAGGTGATACTACCTTTCCTTGACATGGTTAGGGAACGATAACTATTTAAACACGGACTGTTGCTTCCACTGTAGCTTCCACTGTAGCTTCCACTGTAGCTTCCACTGTAGCTGAATGACGGTTAGCTTGGGCCAACTTGACCTTTGGTACACGAATTTCGCGCGCCTTTCTTAGAGATGCGTGCGCATCCAATGAAGGGGCATTGTGGGTCATTCATGTCACTGGGATTATTCAGGTCAGCGATCGTATTGAGCGAGTATGGCGGACAACAATGAGAAAGTCAGAGGTCCATATTTGCAATATTTGTCCGATTCTTCCACGCGTAATGTTCCGAGAACTACAAAATATAGATGGGACAAGAAAGCTAAATTAATGAGCGAGAGAGAGGAGAGCTGTCCAGAAGAAAGTAGCTTAACAAAAAGTCCCAGTCCGAGTTGTCAAAGGAATGAAGCAGTTCCCGGTATCTCAACGTCGTCTTTCTCTCCGGACGATTTTCAGTCGCCTGAACCAAACAATATTAATGCAAAAATGGAAGTTAACAGTTTTTCCAACAGTGGTGACGAATTTGAGACTGAAAGAGTCGAAGAGCTGATGTCGATGAGTGACGATCCAGCTCTATTTACTGATTTTGTCAGGGAAGACGATCGTGATATTTCTTATGCGGACGATTTTCCAGATGTTTTTGAAATGTTAGGTGAGAAGGAAACTGATGGGAAGAATAGCGATGAAGAGAGCGACAACGACAGTGAATCATCTGATGATAATTCTAACCGACCTCTCTATCCTGGATGTCGTCTTTCACTTGGCATAAGCATGCTGCTAGTGGTCACGTTCTGCGTGAGGCATGCTCTCTCCGGGGTCGCTCTTGCTGATTTGCTCACTTTGATTGAGCTGCATTGCCTTTACCAAACCAGTGCGCGAAATCGACAAAGCTACTCCGTGAGTTTTTCGGGAAATTGAAGAGTCCTCTGGAACTTCATTATTACTGTTCGTTTTGCCAAGAATACTTTGGAACACAAAACCAAGTTGCTGTTCAAATGCCGCCTGCTTGTGCGACTTCGAAAAGAAAAGGTCTGAATTATGCTATTTCATTATCATACCTTTCATTAACCAATTACAAGCAATAATTCGAGGTAAGTTAACTTCAGTCTCCTTCCTTGCAAAATGAAAGGCTTTTTAGTTAAAGTATATTGAAATTGAAACTTATGGAAAATTGTGATTTTCGTCTCGTCACCTTTTGGTATAAGAAAGGGTTATAGTTTTTGTCACAGTGTATTTAAGATATATATAGATTTTGAATTTTTGTATAAATAATGGAAGGTGTGAGGACTCTTGGGCAAAGTCTCCCCATACAAAACTTTGCCAATGAACTAACTTCCAGCAGCAACATACTACTTTGATTTAACATTTCTTATTCAGTAGTGTCAATTTTATTCAAAGGTATGGGAGATTCAGCACATGAAATACTACATCATCGTACGTCCAGGAAGAAGAAGTGCAAACACAGCATTGAGGATATATTTGATGGTGAACTGTACAGGAACCACTTTGATCCTAAAGGTTATTTCCACGGGACATCAACTGCTGCAAGAGGAAAGGAAATCCACCTATCCCTGATGGTGAACACAGATGGTGTTTCAATCTTCCGTTCATCTAACTATAGCTTGTGGCCTGTGTACTTCGTCATAAATGAGTTGCCTCCAGAGAAGAGGTATCAAATTATTTTATTTAATTTTTTTTTTAACCCTTTAACTCTCGTGAGTGACCAAGACAGAATTTCTCCTTACAATATCCATCCAATCTCAACCAGATAGGTGATAAGAATAAAGAAAAAATATCAATTTGGGATAATAAGTCGATCCAATACTAACTTCTCTGAACTAACATTACAAGAATTGTATGGTTGACAATTAGGAGAATTACAAATTTGACTTGGGAGTTAAAGGGTTAATTCTTTTAATTGGACAGTTCATTACATGAGGAAGCCTGAAGGTATGACTGCTTTTAATAAATGTCATGCATAATATCCTATAGGAAGTCAACAAGATGCTGTTTGAAATCTTGAGGTAGTTTGGAATGGTCATTACCCAGGCAATTAATTCTTGAGGAATCTAGACTACTGTACACCAGAAAAACATTTAATTACACCAGGTTTAACTGAATGAAAATAAGAAACAGGTAGTCACTAACTTGTTTTGTGCAAATTTGATGTTGAAAAAAATTGATTTGGCAGCTTCTATGAAGAAAACAAATTTAAGACAGTGACTAGATGAAGAGCTTTAAAAACATGTTTCAGCTTTGGTTTCAATGGGTTTGAGTTTCTCTTTCATTTTTTATTTCATATCAAACTTTCAGGTATTGCTTTGACTGAACTAATTACACAATTTGAAAATGTAACATTTTGACAGCAAATCACAATAGCTGTTCTCCTGCTCATACTTTTAGGTTTAGCACCAAGTATCGTCTCTTTGCTGGTCTGTGGTTTGGACGTAAGAAGCCAGATTTCCGCACTTTTTTGCAGCCATTTGTAAATTCTCTTCATGGTCTCTTTAAAGAAGGTACTTAACTTTTGCATTATTTTTTCTTTTCCCATTGAGATTCCAAAGTTAAATTCCCTCTTATTCTTTCCAAAGTATTTCTATTATAAACTCAATGGTCATGCATGAGTTACCATTGAAGTGTTTAGAATAATAGACATCTGTGGTTATGAGAATTTTATAAGCATGATTTTATCACACTCACTCATTAAGTTGTTTTTATTCCAGGTGAACAGGTAACTTTCTCTGATGGATCTTTGAGGATTATACGTTGTATTCTTTTGTGTGGAAGTTTTGACGCTCCTGCAAAGTGTTTATTTCAAAATATGTCGCAATTCAATGGGACATATGGATGTCCATATTGTCTTCATCCTGGTGAAACTGTGAAAACCAGTGAAAGAGGGCACACCAGGGCATACCCCTTTCATATAAGAGGACATCAAAATGCAGAGGGAGGAAAACAAACAAATTTAACTGCCAGGACAATTGAGAAACGGACACATGAACAGACACTGTTATTTGCCAAAGAAGCTGATAACCTGAAAGGCAGTGGTAAAGATTCAGTAGTTAAAGGAGTGAAAGGGATGACTTGGAGTATGGTTTTACCAGGTTTTGATATCATCAATGGTGTAACAATTGACTACATGCATTGTGTTTTGCTGGGCATCACTAAAATGTTGTTAACTTTATGGACAGAAAAGTCATATTCCAGTAATCCATGGTATCTTGGGTCAGAAAATGTCAAGAAATTGGAACAAAGATACTTAGATATTAAGCCCCCAAATGTCATAACACGTACACCCAGAAGTCTGTTAAAGAATCTTGCACATTTTAAAGCATCAGAACTGCGTTCTTTTCTTTTGTACTATGCCCTTCCCTGTCTCTGGGGACTTCTAGAGGAAGTTTATTTTCAGCACCTCGTGCTTCTGGTAGATGCAATCTATTTACTCCTACAAGATTCCATTTCACCAAATGATGTAGAGAGTAGCTCATCAATGCTGTTACACTTCTGCACAAGGATGGAGGCCCTGTATGGTAGAAGGTATGAGACATACAATGTGCACATGCTGCTTCATCTCCCAGATTGTGTGAGACATCTTGGTCCACTATGGGGCACATCATGCTTCTGGTTTGAGGGCTAGAATGGGGATTTCTGTTTCATGGTACACAGAATTTTGACATTCAAATTACCCATGCAGTTTGCATTCATCAGAAGATACCCGAGCTAACCCCTCTGCTTCCTGCAGGATCAGCAGCAAAGAGCTTCTACAAACATCTTGTGGAAGGCTGTCCACTGCCCACTTGTAGAGAGGAAATTGCAGAGAAGGTGTATGCGATAGGTAGCCTTCAAAGGCTTGATTTAGATCCACAAACCAGTGTAGTTGTTAAAAGATCTACTTGGGGAAATTTTAACTTCACATAAATTCAAGCGGCTCTGGAAACATGGAACAATGTTTCAGTGTAGTCAGTATCATGCAACTACAAAGAGAAATAGCTATACAGTTCAATTTACCAAGAATGGTACTTTAAATTTTGGAGAGTTGCAGTTCTTTTTAAAGTGTTCTCAGCTTTGTGAACATTCTGATAGAATTCATTATATTGCCATCTTGAAGCTGCTGGAGCCTAACCCAAAAATTAGCCTTTCAAAGGATAAGTTCACAAATGCTATGGTTAATCACATTGTTCCTGTTAAGAAAGCAAAAGGAGCATTTGTTGCAGTTCCTGTCATGGATATTATTTCAATGTGTGTTTCTGTCAACATCAGTGATTCTACAAATGCTGATTTTGTGTGTAAGCTTCCAAATAGGTTTGAAAAGGACTAGGCAGTAGTTACAGGGCTCGACACTAACTTTTGAACTTACTAGCCTTGTGGTTAGTGATAACTTAGACTTTACTAGCCAAAAATTTTTTTTACTAGCTAAGTAAATGAATGAATCGTGTCAGTTCTAATTTTGTTGAATGGGCCTCATGTTTTCCTCACATCAAATCTCTAGGTCAACAAATCACAAAGAAAAATCTAGCAATTTTCCCACAAAGACTTTCAGGACTCTGTTTTTCTTTGAGATGTTCTTGGAAAAATATAGAGACCTGGAGACATTGTAAAAACTGTTGAGACTTCTTCACAGACAGGCACCATAGAAATGTTTCAAAAGCAAAACAACAAATCCTGGAAACCTTTGTTGGTGAAATTTGATGGCAATAAATGCCTGATTTAAATGTCAAAGGAGATCAATCCTTCTTATCTAATTATTTCTGTAGTTGTAAACTTTGTCAGTAAGTATACGATGACATGTGTTTTCACAGTTAATGAAATGTTATCCCTTTACAGTGCTGCACGAATTTGTGCATGATTTTATTTGGAAGTTCATGTTTTGTTCTACATATTTCACAAGAAAATTGATGTGTGCTTTCAGAAAATGCTGTTATGTCTGTCAAATATTTCTTTCAACATAATAACATGTTCAGTTACCTGTTTAGGGGCCACACAGTGAAAAGTAAACAGACTTTTTTTTAATACAGATGTAAATTTGCAATGGTGCTGAACATCACGTGCCTAGTGACATGATAGATCCACAAAGACTGCGAGAAAAGTGTTTGTGTTTGTCTTCTTTGAAGAAAGACAGAAACTAGTTTGGTCAAATTTAGTTTGTTTACTAGCCAGTGTCTAGTGGAAAATAATTGAAAACCACTAGCCAAAACTGAATTTTTAATAGTCTGTGGCTTGTTGGCTTCTGTTAGTGTCAAGCTTTGCAGTTACAATGACTTCAAAGAATATGTATGTAAATGAGCCGTGCAGACCTGTGTGTGTGGATGGTATTTTCAAAGTTGAAAGCTAATATACAGTGTAATATAATTCTTCTGAGAAGATAACTTTGCTGTGCAGGCTTTTTTGGTTTTTAGTACAGTATACCTGTAAACCAGCCAATCTGATTGTGTAAATGTATATGATCTTATCGACTGAAGCCTAATTAGTACCTTTTTAGTATAGTTATTTCCTGCTACTCTCATTTGTGTGAGACATTAAAGTAATTATGATCTTTATCAACTGAAGCATCAGTACTTTTTCAGTAGAGTTATTTCCCACTTAATCAGACCTGAACTTGATTTACATTTGTGTCAAACATTTAAAGTATACTTGTACCCTACATCAACAACAAAGAAAATGATTTTCACTTGAGCAGTATACTTAAAGTGTACTTGTACCCTACATCAACAACAAAGAAAATGATTTTCACTCGAGCAGTATACTTAAAGTATACTTGTACCCTACATCAACAACAAAGAAAACGATTTTCACTCGAGCAGTATACTTAAAGTGTACTTCAAAAATGGTACTGCAGATGTACTTAAGTAAGTGCAGTACTATTGAAGTATTATTGAAGTATGATTGCAGTATAACCACTATTGACGCAGTATACTTGTAGTATACTTAAAGTATACTTCAAGGCTATCTTTTTTGGTAAGGGATATTATCATGGCACTTTATTTCTTAAGGGGGCTTAAAACTGTAGAGAAGAAGCCCTACAGTGCAATACAAGCTGTTATAAGTTGATATTGGCCATAATTGTTCCTCAGGCCGTCCCCATGGAAAATAAAGCTAGAAATTCAAGATTCTCAGCATCAGCACATCATGACAATCAATGGACCATGCTGTCCTTGTGGCTGTTCAGACATTGAGTTCCCTGTGAGTCCTAGTAACATAAATTGAGGACACATATTTATTTGCACTGCAATTGTTAAAAGAAATACAAATGCTGATTTCTCTAAAGGTATAAGTGTTTATATGGTGCCCACAAGAGTAACAGAAGTGGTTATTTAGTATTCAAAAGATCTGATCTTCTTAACCCTTTAAAACCCACAATCTGAGCAATAATTTTCCCACAGAGCAGTATGCAACCCATTGTAAAGTTGTTAGGAGAATTTGTGTTTAAACAAAATATCAGTGAACTGATGTGATTGTTAATAATCACCATTCCATTGCTATAAAAGGTATTAAAATTGTGCAATAGCTTGAGCTGGTTACCTGTCAACAACCTCTGGGAGAAAAAAAATTAAATTGCTTCTTTCTCAACATGCAGGTTTTTTCAGCTGACGGAAGCAGTGAAATTGGAATGATAACCAAACAGTGGACCGGATGTACCCGAGAGACATTCACTGATGCAGCAAACTTTGGCATCCAATGTAATGAGTTTTTGATAAGTGTTATGCAGTAATTAATATCAGTGACACACATTTCTGCAGCAGCAGTCAGTGTCATATTTTGACAGTTGAATATTTAGTGAATAAATTTTTCCAAACACTATTTGATCTTATAAAGATGAAACAATTTTTAATAGAAAAAATCCGAGCCCCAGATGGGACTTGAACCCACGACCCTCCGTGATCTAGTCGGATGCTCTAACCACTGAGCTACTGGATCTACTATTTGATCTGATTGTTTTATTCCAACTTTAGTCCCTTTAGATTTGGAGATCAAGTTCAAAGCCATTTTACTGGGAGCAGTCTTCCTTGTTGTAAGTTCATTTTAACCCTTTAATTCTCAGAAGTGATCGACATGAAACTTCTCCCCATAATATCCTAACATGAACCAGCAAATAGGTAATGAGAATATTAAAACTTATCAAGTAGAATTTTTTATCTTGATCTAGCACCAAATTCTCATTACTACTTCACAAAGAAATTTGTAACAGTTTAAGGGGAGAAATAATAATTTGATCTTGGGAGTTAAAGGGTTAAATATCTTATTTGAAATAAGTACAGACACTCATGCTGATTGAACAATAAGTCAATTAAGGATAAATTGCATGACCAAAACTCACCTTAAAGCAGTTTTTTTCTTTTTCTGGACTTAAGAAGTGTACAGTTTAAGGCACAAGAGTAAACAGACCAGATTTTGTGATTGATTCAGGTAGCCAATCAGCTAATGCAAGCAGCTAAATGTATTATTTAGAGGTGTGATGTTCAAATCATAATTTTCATTTGTCCTTTTTTTTCTTGAGCATAATGAAAGAATAACTTTGGTTTTGAAAAACATGGAAGGAATTTCTATGGAATAAGATGCCTGGTTTTGCAGTCATTTGATGGAATCATCTAATAGCTTTTCTGTTGTTGGTACTTACAGGATTTCATGTTCTTTGAACGTGGCAGCTAAATATGAACAGAGGACTGTTTATTCAACATTTCAAGGATGGAAGGAACAGGATTTGCCTCAAAATCTTTACAAATATCGAATTATTTCAGAGCTCTTTGTTTTCTATTTAAATGACAAAATATGGATGAATATTTGGTTTTCTTGAAGTTTCTCTGGCATGGTGATGCACTTGAACAGAATGTATTTTCAAGGTTCTTTTGATCCATTATGCTTGTAACAAATAATTTTAAGAGTGGTCACTGAAAACTATTTACTGCTTTGATTTTAGCAACAATATTGATAAACCACTTTGTACAAACAGGAAAACACTTTGTTTTAACAAAAATGTCATTTTTTTCACCACCAAAGTCAACTTTCATATTATATGATTTGGGATGTATTTAAAAGCAAAGATTTTTGTGCTGGCCTTTGAGGGTCAATAATTTTTTTCATTTATTTCAAGAGAGAATCAAACTCCTCTTAATCAATGTTGTACACATAATGTGCTTATCCAAATTTACCTTAGTTAATATCATCTTGTTGGTGGCAGAATGGACCCTGCTTGGTCCAATGACTTCCATATATACATTTATATTACTTCAAGTAAAATCGCAGTTTTTATTTTTGATTTTTCCCATCATTATATCACCAATACCTTTTCAAGAAAGAGTAGTCACTGTGTCAATATTTATTGTGAGACCTTCAGTGGGCACTAATAATTACATATTTGTTATATTTGAAGTACACAATGTTGTTATATATTTATTAAACTGGAAATAAAAGAAATTTGTTTTTCTTTTGAAGTCCATCCCTTCTTTTTAAAAATGTTTGAGTTTTGACTTCATTTACACTTGTATGAGGATTGCAAAGAAAATAGGACAAAATATGGAGAAAGAGAAACCCAATCATTTTTTGTTAAACCAAGTATTTTAGCGATTCTAAGTTTGAAAACATGCAATAATGAAGTTGCCGAATTGGGGGTGCGTCTTATAGCCGAGTGCGCCTTATAACCGAATAACTACGGTAAGTTATCTTCAAGGTCTAAAACACAGTAAGTGATATATGTAGCTGAAGATGAGTTAAAATTAAGTTATTCATAGAGTGTCGTGACGGAGGGAATATTACACTTGATATTGAGTCCATTTACAATCAGTGGTGCAATCCTCCAAACGGACAGGAGTCTGGGAAGAGAAGGAAGAAATGCTGACTAGGGAAACTGAGCAGCCAAGAAACTGTAGTTGGATTAGAAACGAGTCCTTGTCAGATCGAGTTTTATTGCAGTTGCAATGGCATTGTTAGACCTATTAGAACCGCTTCTTGTGCATTGGCAGACAATTTTAATTGCTTCTGCCATATTTTCGGTTTATTTTTACTGGATTGTGCCATATCGGGCGGCTAGAGCTATTTACCCCAAGGGACCAATCCCGTTACCGTTCATCGGTCATTTGTGGGATACTGTAAAACACAAGGGATTGATGCATCTGCAAATGGACGAATATTGCAAAAAATACGGTCAAGTTTACTCCATGCTTACCTTTGGCAGCAAACCATGCATAATAATCTCGGACCCAGAAATGCTGAGAGACATTTTCGTAAAAGAGTTTGGCTCTTTTGCTGATCGCCCGGTAAGCTCAACATACATAAACCTTTTATCAATTACGGTAATCACCACCGAATGTCTTTTGTTAATGTGCAGTTTTTTTTCTTTTTGTCAGCCTTGAGTCTTTGATGTAGTAGAAGACGTTCACCTTAGTTTGCATTTTGGTCAGATGTCAAGTGCTTAATTGCACAGTCAGCACTTTAAAATTAAGTTCGGATGGGGCGTGGCAGGGAGAATAAATTTTTTCAGGAGAATATGCTTTGACAAAATTGCTGACATTGTCAAAAATTTTTAGACAATGGACAGAACCATATCTCTAAACTAATTTAAGAATGGGGTATGATTTGGAGAAGTGGACACCCATCTACCCAAAACTTACACATGCATCCTGCCTGCCTGAGCTACATGTGGATGTCAATATTGACTGAATTCTCTCACTTAACTGATAGTTAGGATTCTTTTTATCATTTAAAGGTATTTTTTAAGCTACCTGAACCTCTGAACAGCATGTTGACAATTGCTACCAAAGACAAGTGGAAACGTATTCGTAACACTTTGTCACCAGCTTTCAGTGCTTTGAAGATGAAACAGATTGTGCCCTTGATGAATATTTGTTGTGACAATTTGATCAAAAAGCTTGGTGAATTTGCTGATAAAGAGGAAAGTGTTGACATTAAGAAGTAAGTACAGAAATATTTACCAAAAATTAAAATTTTTAAATAGCTTTTTGACACTTATCAATGTAATGTAATTATATTTGCTTTAAAAGGGTGTTTTTGTGGGGAAATATACTTTTCTACATTTATTCAGCATTTTCACAAGGTAGCTCCTCATCTGCAAAATACATCTGCCTAAAAATACATCTTAAAAATAAGTTATATCTACCAAAAAGAAATACAACCAATTTTGTCAGACAAAGGGCTTGCAATATATTCAGAAATAGGCTTTAAAAAATAAACATAAGTGTGCTAGATGCAATTATGCTGCAGTACAGACAATAATCCTCCAGCAAAGCAAACCCCTTTGCCATTAAGATATGATGCTTCAAAAATTATAGCTTGAGATATTCAGTAAACAACATGACACACACCTCTCATGATATACAGATTGGTAACTTGTACCTCTCTTTTTCCTATAGACTTCATCAGTGTTTAACAATGGATGCTATCGTTTCTGCTGCATTTGGTTTTCAAGTGAACTCACAGAACAATCCTGATGATCCTGTTCTTAAAGCAGCTAAGAAAGCAATGAACCAGTCAACTTCTCAGAAAATTCTGCTGACATTTCTATCTACAATGCCATTTGGGGCAAAGATCATGGAGAAGATACCAAGTTTGTGGATGTCAAATAATATTCCTCTCCTGAACATTACAGAAGAAATAGTTCACACCAAAAGAGAGAGTGGTGGAAGCTCTAGCACTAGGAAGGTAGCAATCTTTTGGTTTTACTTTATGTAATTAGGTAATTAAGGATAGACGCTCTAATTTTTTTGGGTGTTGTGTCTTTAAAACCTAACCAAAGAGAAGCCTAGATCAAAACTGTCTGAGTAGTTTTCACAAACCAGACCAGAAGGACAAACAGCTTGTCTTGTATACTGATATTGACTTATTGTGCTCAGGTTGTTCAAGTGTGAGATCATCTTAGTGATTCTCTTTGCTGTTTACCATACAATTCTTTTCATGTTAGTTAAGAGAATTTTGTATTGGATCAACTAATAATTATTCCCTAATTGACACTGCATTTCTCCTATATTCATTCTCATCACTTGTCTGCTTGAAATTGTATTGATATTGTAAGGAGAAATTCTGTCTTGGTCACTCATGAGGGTTAAAGGATTAACTGTCAACAGTTCTTTTCAGAACCACCCTTTAACTAGAAAATCACTCCATTTACTCCAGTTCATTTTTTTGCTGTAATTTTTTCACCAACACTGAAAATTTAGCTATTGCATATAATTTTACTTATAATGCTTACATTTTATAGGACATGCTTGATTTGATGCTGGCAGCCTCAGATGACCCTTCAGTACCAGAAACAAAGAAGCTCTCAGACATGGAAGTCATAGCACAAAGCCTTGTCTTTCTTGCTGCAGGATATGAAACCACCAGTACCACTTTAAGTTTTGTTTCCCATCATCTAGCCATAAATCCTGAAATTCAGGATAAACTGCAACAAGAGATTGACAGTGTTTGGCCAGATGAAAACCAAATGTTGTCCTATGAAACAGTCCATGAAATGCCATACCTGGACATGGTCTTGGCTGAAAGTTTGAGAATGTACCCTCCAGGTATCAAAGACAAGTCGTATTTCACTGAAACCAGCTGTGTACATGAACCCTTATGTGGGAGGGGCAGTGGCCTGGTTGATAGCATGCTGGGCTGGGCTGGGAGAGGTCTGGGTTTGAGCCCTGGTCAGGATACTTAACTGTCACAGTGTCTCTCCACTCAGGGGCATAACTACTAGCATGCAAAATGAAATGGCAGGGTTAGGCTATGGTGGACTTAAGCCATTCATTCACGGGTAATAGCAATGCTTTTGTCACTTTATGCTGCAGAAAAAAAAAAGGATAGGCTTTGGGGATGAGGGCTAGAAACTCAAGAGCAGATGGTTGTCTTTTCTTTTCTTTATTTTTTATGTTCTGCTGTGGGTGTCTAGGTGAAAACTCTGGTAGGTGAATTCTTACTCCACCATTCTCTGGCCACACAGGAGCCCTCCAGGTTTTTTTATCACTGTTATGATTATAATTATTATTGCTATTATTATTATCATTATCTTTATTATATTTATTATTATTATTTTTTTTAATTGACACTTGGTCCTAACAATGAAGGGCTCACTGAGCCTCACACATGAGGATCTCCTTTGCCACACCCTTGCTTGCCTTGGAAGGCATAAATCTACATGCATTATTTTAAGGGGTGTTAAGAGACAAGGGAGTTTCCATGGCAAAGAACCACTCAAAAACTTAATTTCCCTTACAGCTCAAAAGTCCTTCCAGGATATGGAAGCCTTGAAATGCTTGATTATATTGGCTTATTTTTGGAGGTAAATAGTTGAAGGTTTTTTTTTTTCTTCTTTAGGATTTGTCATAGTCCGTGTCTGTACAAAAGCATGTGTTCTTAAAGGAGTCAAAATACCTGAAGGTTTAATAGTTGCAATACCAGTGTACAGCATTCAGCGAGACCCATCCATTTATCCAGACCCTGATGAATTTGATCCAGAGCGCTTCTCACCTGCAGCCAAACAATCCATTAATCCTTACTCCTACATGCCTTTTGGTCATGGACCTCACAATTGTATTGGAATGAGGTTTGCGCTAATGGAAATGAAGATGGTGCTGGCAAGAATGTTGAAGAAATATCGTCTGGAAGTAGCGGCAGATACAAAGATTCCTCCTGATGTTTTTGTTGCATCTACGTTGTCATGTTCTGGTGTTAATGTTAGAATAACTTCACGAAAGTAAAGGGAAAATGCTTAGGAAAACTGTTGTCCTAAGTCTTTCAACACTTCTTGTGCTGATGATAATTGACTTACATTGAAGAACTGATTCAGGACAAAGCTTGCTGTTGTTAGCATAATCTATTACATTTTTCCTTTTCTAGTAGTAAATAGGAAGATCAAAGTTGCAAGATGTATACCTCTTTCTTATTGAGTTCAAGGTCCATACTTTAAGTTACAGACCAAGTTTTTCCACTCTGATTTATAGCCCAAGTGCAATGCACATGGTCCACAGATCCAAGCAGAAAGACAAGGTTATGTAAATTATAGTGTGGGGAAAACATTTAATTGTAAGTAAGTAAGTAAGTGAAGTATGGCCCACTAAATTGACCAATCATAACACACATACTAACTAAGAGATATCATAACAGCATTTATTTCTTCTAGCTACTCAAATAAATTTTTAACACTAAACCTCACAATGTCAGAATACCACGTGACCTTAGACAGTCTGAGGAAAAAAGAATCCAACCTAAAACTTGAAAAAACATTGCTGTTGTTGTAGTCAGTAGTGTACCATTACACAACATGTGGTTGAATTTATATACTGACAATATTTTGAATGTGACAAGAGAAATAAAGAAGAAGCTCAGGGTATTGTGGCCCTTCATCTGGTTGGTTGATGGGTGCACTGGAATGGTCGCCAAATAAGTCTGTTTGAAGAGTTCCATATTTTGTTTAAATGAGGTAACTATCATTTTACTTCTGAGTAAAACGGGGGAGAAACTGTAAATATCGTGCCTTTAATATTTGGATGAAACCGTGAAATGATCCTTTCATCTGCTATGACAATCCTTTAGAGCATATTGAGCAGTTTAAAAGAGACTCCTTTGGGTGGGAGGAAGTTCATTGGGGCCAGTATCCCCGTTTTTTTAACTTTTTCCTCGAGTATCCCGTATCGCTTAAATGTTTTAACCAAACATCTCCTATCCCAGTAACTGCTAATTAAGCCTCAAAAGATCATCTAGAGCACCTTTTGTAAGATCGACATGGAATTTTTGTTGATTAAATCTGAATGGTACTGCACGGACTTACAAGACTACGTGAATCAGTATTTCTGGCTACGTATGACCAATCCTCTCAGCCCAAAATTACGGAGAAATTTTGGTGTATTCTTACGCGACGTACTTTCCAGAGGGGGTTGGGCAATAAACATTTGAAGGTGAGACTAAATGTAAACAAGGAGATTTTGGGTCTACACGGAACGCTTCTCAAGCTTTGGTACGAAAATGTCCATTTTAAACTTTGCCGAGCAATTTCTTGAGCACTGGCCAACGATTTTAATCGCCTCATCCATTCTGTTGGTTTATTTGTACTTTATTGTCCCATATCGGACGCTAAAAGCCGTCTGCCCTAAAGGACCGACTCCTCTGCCGTTCATCGGGCATTCGCTGGATGCTATAAAGCACAAGGGGTCAATGCATCTTCAGATTGACGAGTATTACAAGAAATATGGCGATGTGTTCTCCATGTTTATCTTGGGCAACATGAGCAGTATTGTTGTCAGCGATCCTGACCTGCTGAGGGATCTTTTCGTGAAAGACTTCGCTTCCTTCGCCGATCGCCCCGTAAGTTCCCAGCACGATTTTGGAGTGTTAGCTTATTTCTAAATAAATAGTATTTTAAACATCTCTCCAAGAAAGACTTTGCCTTTCTGCTTCTTTTTTGTCAGTTCCTTACACGACTTTGAAATGAAAGCTTAAAATTATACACAACTCCTTCCAATTTCCTGATTTATTGATTTTTAATTGTTTTCAGGAATTTTTTAAACAACCTGAACCTCTTTGTTATATGATGTCAGAAGCCAAAAAAGAACAGTGGAAACGTATTCGCAACACTTTAACACCGTCTTTCAGCGCTCTCAAAATGAAGCAGATGGTTCCATTGATGAATGCATCCTGTGACAATTTGATCAAAAAGCTTGGGGAATTTGTTGATACGGAAAAGAGTGTTGATATTCAGAAGTAAGTAACCAAAAATGCTGCAGTACTGTGTGTTCTTGCTTCCTTAAACTATGGAAACTGCCTACCTCATAAAACCACAGCTATAATCATTATTAATATTTGGCAGGGTAGGCCTGAGTGAAACCTGAGCATTCTGATTGGTTGCCACTAGATATTTTCCATATGGACTGTTTCCACAGAAACAGTCACAAGCTGTGTATTTTTTTGTTCAGGAAAGCTGGCAAACTCACAATCAACAAGTTTGGTCTGACTGCCATGTGATGAACTATAGATTAACTTTGCTTTCTGGAGCTGTACCAGGGAATACTGGTCCTTGGTCCTTTTTTAACAGACCTCACTATACTCAGTCTGTACTACCATGACCTCTGGCCAATATTTTCAGTATGGTCCTCAAACTCAGTTAGTAAGAAGTTAGTAGGGCACTCATGTTCCATTAGTAAGAAGTTTTTTTTTTTGTTAGAATTCACCAGTGCCTGACAATGGAAGTCATTCTTTCCTCTGTTTTTGGTTTTCAAGTGGATGCGCAAAATAATCCAGATGATCCAGTTCTGAATGCAGCTAAACTGACCATGTCACAAACTACTTTTCAAAAAATTATTTTGGGGGGTGTAACCTTGTTACCTTTTGGTATGAAACTATTGGAAAACATTCCAGCCTTGTTCCTGTCAAATTTTACACCTCTTTTGAAAATCTCGGAGGAAATAGTTCAAATTAAGAAAGGAAGTGTTGGGAGATCATCTAGGAAGGTAATATTCACTATATAGGCTGAAAAAAATTCAAATGCAAATTCTAGATCTTACAAACAGTTTTTGTCATTAGTGGAGGATGTTATTGTCTTGTTATGAGTATGGAACAACAAAAAAGTTTTGATTCCCCCTGAGGAGTGAACACCAGACCTTCAGATTGCAAGCTCTGATACTCTACTCTGAACTACAGAGACGGTATTGATTTAGGCTATTTCTAGGTTAATAGTTGACACACATCCTGCGTATTGTTAGGATCAGCAATGTTGAAAGTAACATATGTGACATTGTAATCATTTTCACTTTCTCCATCATCACCATCCAAAGTAAATAGTATCAACAAAATCATCACTTTGTTTCACCCATAGTCATAGACACTGTGGTTACTCTGTGTTGCTGATTACACAGTAGTGCAGAGCTACCATCACATTTACTGTTACCTGTACTGTTGATACTTTATTGTCTATTGTCACCATAATTATAATCACAGGGTCGCACTCATCATCATCATCATTATTTGCAGTGGACATAGCACCATGGAAGCAATGGTGATAGCATTGTTATCATTATCACTATCAATTTCATCAATATCATTCTCATGAAATGTAAGGTAGCTAATTTCTTACTCTTAGATCGCACTTCTTTTGCTACTAGTTTCTGGTATCTTTAAGGTGCAATTTAGACATAGAGTGTCACATAAATTCAGTTAATTCAATTGCAATTTTTATTGCAGGACATGCTAGATTTAATGCTCTCAGCAGCAGATGACTCTTCACTGCCAGAGTCCAAGAAGCTCTCAGATGCAGAAATTATTGCTCAAAGCTTTGTCTTTCTTGCTGCTGGATATGAAACCACTAGCACCACCTTAAGTTTTATGTCCCATCATCTGGCAGTGGATCCTGAAATTCAGGAGAAAGTACAACAAGAGATTGACAGTGTTTGGCCAGATGAAAACCAAATGTTGTCCTATGATGCAGTCCATGAAATGCCATACCTAGACATGGTGGCAGCTGAAGTTCTGAGAATGTACCCTCCAGGTATAAGAGACAGTTTTTTCAAATTTAACATTATAATGAAAATGGTGTTTATAATGATAGCAATTGGTTTTGGAGTGAAGTGACAATTGCAAATATGGCTGCATTCACAAGCTAGACACTTAGTATACTGATTCAAAGGAAACGTTTTATGGTTGATGGAATAATTTAGAAGAAATTTGCACCTAGCATCCATTTGGCAAACCTTTATTCATTCATTCGCATTACAGAAAATAGGTATGATCATTAAATGAATTTTAAGTCATTGATCGCAATTGATTTATATCAGTTATCCAGCTGAAATACATGTCCAACATACTGTTACTGTTATACTACCGGCACTGCTATTTTATCATCATTACTCAAACTAGTTCTCAAAGTGCTGTGGTCTGGCCCTGATTGCATGATTCAGTTTCAAATGATTTGACCCTCTAAACTTGATAATGTAAATTGGCTACCGTAAAGAGTTTCTAAAACTGACATTTCTGTTCGCTCTGACTGAGAGCTAACGTTCAAAACGTCACCTTTGTAAGCTGCTGACGGTGGTTTATTTACATTATCTACTCAGTTGATGAAACGAAATTATTTTTGTAACACCCTCCACTAGTGGTGTAGCACAGTTTCTTTACAAACTTGTACCCCTCATTCATTTGGTCACGAGCATTATTACTGTATGTGACTCTGCTTCTATTTTGTAGGATTCATTACAGCTCGGGCCTGCACAGAAGAGTGTACCATTAAGGGAATCAAGATGGCTGAAGGTTTAACAGTTGTGGTCCCTATTTACAGTATCCACCGAGACCCACGTTATTATCCCAATCCAGATAAATTTGACCCTGATCGCTTCTTACCTGCAGCCAAGCAGTCGCGCAATCCTTACACTTACCTACCCTTTGGTCACGGACCACGTAACTGCATTGGAATGAGGTTTGCGCAAATGGAGATGAAGCTGGCGATGGCAAGGATTCTGAAGAAATACAGCTTTGAAGTGGCGCCAGATACAAAGATTCCGCCTGAAGTGACCATCTCTTCTACCCTGACGTGTTCTGGTGTCAACGTTCGAGTGAAGTCTCGTAACAAGTGAAACGGTGAACCTTCGTGGGGGGAGCTGTACACAGTCTATTGTTATATATCTAGACTTTCACTCAACAAACAAGCAATGTGATTGGTTGATTCTTGGTCACGTGCCCCTGATCAAATTCAAATGTATCCCGACCGGGATACAATTGCACAGTTGTTACCCGTGAGCCGAATACAACAGCACATGATTGTTTAAGGGAAAGCCTAAATATATAACAAAGCACTTAATGTATGGTCCCTCAGGAAACTAGTTTCTCGAGTTCTCTTGGGAAAACAAAACTAATTGTTCCTCTCGGGACCTTACAGTAAGTGTCTAATGTCACGTTATGGGTCGACTATTGATTTGGTAGTAAGAAGTGCTGAAACATTGAGACTTCCATCACGTTTTTTGTCCTTTTTAACTCGTGCAAATGAGTTTTTATGGAGACTCCAATATGCAAATGAGTCACTAACTCACTCACTAAGATGTAGACACTGTCGCAGTGGTAATAAGTCATCCCGAACTCGCAGTAGTAACCATGCACTAAACGGTAGAGGCTTTGTTATAGTTTATACTAGGCATTGTTGCTTTAAATATCACCTTCCAAGAGAGCAAAATTTATCAAGTTCAGGCCCAAACCTGAAAGTGAGAATTGCTTCAATCGTAAATTCAATTATCATATGTAGACATTGGGGGCTGGATCAATCAGTAGCAGACCACAAAAAAAACTCTGTGCTCGTCTGATAAAAGAAAACTTGTGGAATTCATTGCCGCAGATCTTTAATTTTAATAATTCAAATAAACTTGTTGTTACATTAAATGTGTTCTTAGGAATTTTCTTTCTTTCTGATGCAAGCAAGAGAAAACCATCATCATCATCATCATTTGTTATTTGCCTTATTTACACAACACAAAAAAAATTTATTTACAGCGGTTATAGCTAGAAGGCGAGGAGACCCAGGAAGCCACCTGGCTTATGGGAGAGCCACCTCACTTACATTAATAAATAAAATAAAGAAAAAGAGCTGCGAATGTGCAGCTAGGCCAATTCAGTGATTCTTTAAGTAAAAACTCCTGCATTTTTGTCTTAAAACTAAGAAGATTTGACGAACGAGTGACTGAAATAGGAAGAGAGTTCCAAATTTTAGGACCTTGGTAGAGAATTGTAAATTGCTTGGGATTTTTACGGCACAAATGCGTTCGATAATTACTGGCTGTTCTGGTACCATAGTTGTGAATTTGGTTATTCGTTACAAAAAGATTGAGAAGCAATGGAGGCAATAAGTTATTTCTATAATAAAACATGAAAAAAAAACATGAAACCTTGTAGACAGATCATAACTTGATCATTACTTTATAATTTATAATCAAGAGGTTTACTTAAACCTCTTGATTATAAATTAAAGGTACACGTTGTTATTAATACTTCACCTAAGCGCGCATTTCAAGAAGAAAACACAACACCGGTAATTCTTGGATCGGAATCTCTTGGCGTGATCTGAGTATGTACCTGTATACCTGAGATAATATACGGGTATACCTCTTGGGTAGTGTATACCTGAGGGTTATTTCTAATCTCTTGCATACCCTCCCGGGTAGTGTATACCTGAGGGTTAATTTTAATCTCCTCCTTACCCTCTTGGGTAGTGTATACCTGAGGGTTATTTCTAATCTCTTGCATACCCTCCCGGGTAGTGTATACCCGAGGGTTAATTTTAATCTCCTCCTTACCCTCTTGGGTAGTGTATACCTGAGGGCTATTACTGGGATACCTGTGGTAGCCCAGTCATAAAATGCCTTTGTTTTTTTGTCGTCTTAATAAAATCTGTACAGACATCACACAAACCAACTCGTGCACAAAATAAGAAGAGTATATTGAAGGCTTGAAATTATATTACGATCGATTTTCATCAAGAAATGGGCCAGGAATTTTCCACAATAGTGCAAATAATCGTGAAGGCTGATCGAGGAAAAGCGACTGCATGACGCTCGGTAAGCTGTAAGATGACATGTTATTATTTACCAGAAGTAAAAACTCTTCAGATTCTCAGTCTGCATTTTGTACCCACTCTGCAGTCTCCAGTCTATATTTTGTATCCGGTCTGCTGTCTGCATTTTGTACTAACAGGTATCTGTGGCACCAATACAGTTTATTTTTGGTTACATTTATTCGCACAACACACATAATCTACCACAAAATACCTGTTTGTGAGGTAATTCGACATTTTCGTTCTTTTCCACGTTAATACTCTTCTTTCCTTTTGTAAGAATGTAGACCACAAGTAATCCACCCACCCTACAAAAAATAACTCTTACATGCATAGCATGCCTATGTTTTGAAATAGGTGTATGCCCTTAGCCAGACTTGAGCTCACTATTTCAGTATACTAATCCGACACCCGTAGTATCACTACACTTGATTCCAAGGATCCAGTACCATCCAGGTATACCAGTTACCCTGCTCAAAGGGTCTAGTTTTTAATATCTTCCATACCCTTTTGGGTAGTGTATACCTGGGGGTTATTTTAAATCTCCTCTTTACCCTCCTGGGTAGTGCATACCTGAGAGTTATTTTTAATATCTTCTATACCCTCTTGGGTAGTGTATACCTGAAGGTCTTTGATCATGGAGGTGAAATCAGGTTCACAGGTGCCGCTTTTTAGGCTATTTTGGCTATTCTGCGAAGTGGAACTATGGTGGCTACTGTTGCTTCCCGGTATTCAATACGGGAATATTCCTCTTGAATGGTTTTCGTAAAGAAAATTCGTAAAGAAAATTCGTAAAGAAAATTACACTTTTTCTATTACATCTTCTTAATGAGAAGTAAGCAAAACGTCTCGAACACTTTGCAGACCACAAGCTGCCGTCATGTTTACATATGACGTCATGAAGGTTCCAGTACTCCGGTCGTCGATAACGGTCCAGCCGCGTCGTCTTGTCTTTTGTCCTTATGCTAAATCAGTCTGAATCCCACGGCGATTAATATTTGTTTCAGTGTCGCGTGACTTTGTACTGACGCAAAATTGAAGAGTTTACTTTGAAGCCTTTACTGCCTCCACCAAGGTAAAAGCACATTCATTTTATCTACCTTTCATGAATTAGCATGCATGTCAAGTGTATGATTTAACATCTAGCATTCTTTGACTTGAGATGCAATCGGCAGAAGAGCTTTCGAAGCAATTCTTAGAGACTCGCTTGAAAGATTTGTTATATGGAACGAAACTTACGAAAACGAGCGACTGTTGTTGTAGCAAGCATGTTTCAGTCGGCTTTGCTTCTATAAAATCCTATTTTGAATGAGTTCTACCAAAAGCACCGATATGAAAATACTCTGAACGTGCATTCGTTACTTACATGTGGTATTTTTCAGTTAAGAGTCAAACATTAACTTCGAGTCAGCGCGGGAATTGGTAATAAATCATTTCCGAAGTCTACTAAGTTCCAGTACCCTATCTTACTTCATACTTGTGTTCACTCCAATGCTATACCGAATTGCTTCTGCTTCGAGCTTCAACTCATTCACGCTTGTAAACACGTTAACTCTTGTTTGGAGCACGAGTAGCGTGTCGGGTTCTGCAACATGTCGTGTTGTTGTGTTTCGCTTTGCATCACCTTGCTATTGTAAACTACATGAATCATTTAATTTAGAGATGGCCGACTGTGAAGAATCTCTAATGTGCATGGCAAATATTGCGTCAACTTATAAATTGAAGCACAAACAGTGAATATCGATTTCTCGCCTTACTTCACGACCAGGGCCGGGTTGTTCAAAGCTGGGTTAAGATAACCCAGAGTTAGGGTGAAATCTGATTTCAGATCTGATAGCTTTAAAAGAAAATTCTGTCAAATTCTTTTTATCTAGAACATGACTCTTTGATGCTCTAAAAAGAGCACAGGACATTAACCCAAAGAGGCTTTTTGAGTAAAGGAATAAAGAAACCCAGATTAAAATTTTAACCTTTGGTTAGCGCTAATCAGCTTTTGAACAACTGGGCCCAGTACTGAAAGAAGTAAGATAATTTGAGCTATTTTTCGTAGGAAGGGCTTTAATTGTTTGAAATAATTGCCTCATTTGTTGTGGTATGGTGGTATTTGGTAACATTAAAATTTTCCCTCTGCCTTTATAATATAATCAAAGTGCTCTGTGGGCAAACTCGTGAATTGACACATGATTTTTTGGATTATGTTTAACGTTATCTGGTTTAGGGAATTTTGTGGTTGATTGTCATATCTAGAGTAGAGCAGTAGTTCAATGTTCGCTAATGTAGCAAAGAAACAAAGTAACGTTGGGATAAGAAGGCATTACAATTGAAATGATCATAACAATAACAAGATAGAATTTCATTTCAGGCCTGGTTATCAATTTTGTGGTGTATAACTTTCGCATTTTAGTACGTAATATGTATTTTGAATCTTCATATTGTCTTGAAACTTAAAAGAAAATTGTTCTTTAAAAATTCACTGAAAATCGGTAGCTAAAATTGTTTGTTTGGGTGTTATTTGATTTTCGTGTTAACTTGTAATTTCGTTAGTCGCCGGCGTCTTTTGTTGTTTCACACAGGAAAAACACACGATCGAAACGTAACGATCGATTTTGTCCTCAATCTCACGCCGTAACAGAAAAAGCTTTCGAACATCTGTAAACTCTGAGCGCTTCGCAGTAAGTGATATTTTCAATGAATCTTCGGATTGTTTTCAAGTTCAAGGATGGTAAATTACAATTTTATGAAAAACGAAGGTTGTTCCGTTATTTCAGTGTGAATCCTTGCATGCCTGCCAGTCGCTGGCGCCGCTTGTTGAAACTAAAACGAAAAAAAAAATTATTTTAAGATTATCATTGGCTTCTTTGTCACCCCACCACTATTCTTAGCAACAAAGGTCGCCATTTCGTTTGTTTGCTGCTCGCCAAAAACTACCAAATGCACTCAAAAGCCTAAAATCGAAAAAAAGTTTACAGGAATCGATCGAGGAGCGAGCGAGCGAGTGCCATTTCCTACATCTTATCTACAACTCGCTCTTGCGCAAGCGCGCAATTCACGAGTTAAAAATGGCAGCAACTCTATAACACGTGATTGATATTGTAAGAATTATTTTCAGATATATCATATAATTTCTCACCGCGGGTGACAAGATGGGTTTAATATTTCAATCCTGTATGATTTTGTGTGTGTCATTAAAAAGTTGTTAATGAAAGCGAGTACGTTTTGGATAAGATAGAATGAAATATAACAGTAGCGAAGACAGAAATTGTGTGTGACGTTCGAGAATAAGTAGAACAAGCCGCTTCTGCTCATTGAGGCCTAGATTTAAACGCAGACATTAAAAAAATATATGTAGTTTATAGAATTAAAAAATCTAATAATACAGATATGAGTGAAAATGATCTAAAGAATATGAGGCAATCTGAGCCTATACCCCTTAATAATGAAACTGAATAAAAAGTCCAGAGAAAGTTAAGCCTAAAACTAAAAAACAGAAAAAGGAAAAAATAATCTGGAACATTTGTTTGACGATGATAATCAAGCCAGAAAACCAATGATATTGATAACGAGATGAAAAAAGTCTATCGAATTGACCAAAAAATAAAAATGACAAATGATACGATTAACAAAAAATATGAAAAGCTAAATCTGACCGAAAAGAGCAATACCAATAAAAAAAATAGTAAATGTATAATTATTATTATTATTATTATTATAACTATTTCAACGATTAGGCGATAAAACCGCCAAAAGGTAAAAAAATAGCATTCAAAAATCATCAGGGCAAAAGATACATGTCACGAATCAAGAGGCACTTTATCATTGATAAACATCATTACGTGATAGAATATATTGGTAAAAGAGTGTATGAGTGCCCTGAAAGCTAGGATGATTTTAATCACCCAGTCAATATATTAAAATCTTTGGAAAACTTTCAAAAGCGATAAGTTAACTTTGATGCATATATAAATTGTAAAAACATCAAGTCGGTATCAAATTCTGATCGAAAGATAGAGGATGTTGATTTACTGGACGAAGAATTAATCATGTTTAAAAAGAATATGGTATTTATAATAAATATTTAGATATGCATTAAAAAAAAATTTCTTAATGATGAAAAAGCAAACTCGTGTTATATTAATTTGATTGTTAATAAATTCAAAAACTAGTTCAGTACTAGAAAAATTTATAAAATAATTCAAATAGTACGCGCGCTCTGATTGGCCATAAAACCATTTTACATGAGCGTATGTAAACACCGTTTTCGTTCCTCTTTCATTAGTTATTTTATAAAAGAAATGAAAAATGGTTTCCGTGTTTACATAACCTGATGTAAACACTTGGGAGGTTGGGAGAACACTCGATAAGCTGGAAACCACTCCGCTTCGCTTCTTTTAGCTGTGCGTGTATCGGGTTATGGATGCACGCGGAAAGTTTGGAGAGCACGAAAAATGCGTAAGAGTAGCTCGAGGCGCAGCCAAGAGCAACTCTAGCTTTTTGAGTGCCCTCCAAACTTCCCAAGTGCATCCATAACCCGATACACGCACAGCTAAAAGTATGGGCAAATTCTTTCATAACAGAGCGATGACAAGGATCTGCGCGAAGAAGCTAAGCCTTTTATCGTGATAGAGTGCAAAATTCTCACAACGTACAAAAAAAGAAAACAAACGTCCCTATTGCTGGTCAGAAACACGCCACTTTTTATACTTTGGTTTGAGCGAGAAAATTTGAGCCAGTTAACTGATAACTGTGAGAGAAAAGCTCAAAATTGACGGGGAAATTAAAAAATCAAAGCCAAATGAACTCACGTGTCACGTTTTAAAAGTCAAAAACCTGAAGTTGTCAAGACAAATTTGCGAAACGTGCAACTTGCGAGTTTTTTTCGGCTTTATTTTTGTTGCTTGTTGGATCAGGACCTAAATGGTCAATGACGATAGAAAAATTGGGCAGTTCTTCGCTGGTTTCTTCCATATTTCACGTCACCTTATTTACGCAAGGGCGTGCGTAAATAAAGATTTTGTTCATAGCGGCTCAATAGGACTTATAAAGGGCAAGCATGCGCGCTATGTTATAAAACCATATACATTTGATTTTAACAATATAATAGATGAAAACAATATCAATTATTTTGTCTGAATCAAATGTTCCCGCTCAATAACGTTTAAAATAAACAAAAGATTAAAAAATGAGTAAGATAAAGAAAAAATAAACAATATCAAAAAAGGCATCTTCAACCTAAATAAAAAGCCAATAGATACTCCTGTAAATCATGGCATCAGACTAGTAAACAATATTGATTCAGTTAAAACAATAAAAAGTATATGTCTTTTCAATTTCAGATGCTATCAAATAAATAATCGTGAGTCTAAAAAGGTTTACAGTCAAGTCAAGTCGTAAGCTTGAGAAACTTTTTCCTTATTTCTAACAATGCTATGAAGACTTTGACTACACAGAAATCGATCGTATGCTCGGAATTGAAATATGTTTGAGTATCAACTCTAAAAGCGTTGTTCGCTTCTAACAACAAACGGAAGCGTTCTCCGTTTCTGACCAAAAAAAAGCGTTGTTCGTTTGGTATGTATTCATTTCTCACTCACGGACATTTCGTAAGCTTGGGAAACTCTTTCTTGTTCCTTAAAATGCTATTTCTTGAACCAAGAAAGAGTTTCTCAAGCTTACGAAACGTCCGTGAGTGAGCAGCGATTACATACCAAACGAAAAGCGCTATATTTTATCGTTGGAAACGAACAACGTTTCCCTTTATTGCTAGGAACGAACAACGCTTTAAGAATCTTCACGGTGTTGTCGGAAACAAAGAACACTTTAGTAATAAAAAAGTTTTTAACGTTATTGCCTATTTACAGTCTGAAATTCTAATCATTTTAGTACTTGTTTCTTCGGGTGACTTGACTTTTTTTTTCGGGAGACAACTAAAATTTCGGGCAACATGACACAGGTTTCGGGCGACATGACTTCGGCCGAGATGACTCTCGGGTGACTTGACCGGTTACCGTCTAAAAATGTACTCAAAAAAGAGGGTTTCTTTTGAGGTTTAGAAATAGTTTGTAAACTACACAATAAAACATCAAATATAAGACTGTAAATTATCATAATGTCATCGATTCAATTAACGATAAAAAGGTTACAGTTCTAGAACCAATGGAAAATATAGGCATAACAATAACAATGGATAAACTCATAAAACATTTCAAACTACCATATGCGAATACACGTGATAGTGTTCAAGGTCTGAGCGGCATAAGTAAAAAAATTACAATTCTTGGTTGCATCACACCATATGTTGATAGATACTTCATATGGACTGCTCCAACAAGAACAAGAAACCTTAAAAACGTCCAAGTTTTTTAAACATTCGAAAGGAGAACTAATGTCTCTAAAAAGTCGTGGGGAAAATTACATTTCACTCAAAAAATTAATTGATATAAACAGCAGGATATGATTCCATAATAGCATGTAACAAGAGCTCTTCGGCGACGATTTCTCGCCCAAGATCTGACACCATTATTTGAAGACGAGCCCATCGTCGATTTTCAATCGACTCTCCCCACCGTGCTCGTCGAAATATTTTACCGCTCATCATCCTCTGCTCGAAGCTTCGCTTCTGCACTGCCGCGAGCTACATTTCAATAAAGAATCCAAGAAATGATGACATATTGTTTTTCCAAGGATCAATTCCATATCGGTCTTCCAAGAAATAATTGTCAGCAATTGAAGCCCGTCCAAATTAATTCAAGCTCAAGAATCATCTGACGAAAAGTTTAAATCAAATTGTCTTAATTATGCCAGAGCTTGGAGAAAAATGCGATTACACCCCTTAACGATGCGCAAGTTGTTGAA